AGTTGTAATATATCATTTGAGCTGAACCAAAAACTCAGGAAATTCAGAGTCACTGGACCGTAAAAGGTGGTAAGAAATATCCCTGTCTATGTCGATTTCGTCAGCCAAACTAAAACTACACGAGTCAGAGAGCAGGATACGGTCAAGGAGTGTAGAACACGTGCGTCCAATCCGTGTCGATCTGTTGATAACGTTTATCACGTGAAATTAGTTAATGATGTAATTAACAACACGCGTATTTCCACTAAAATCGACATTGATATCACCTACTATTTCTATATAAGAAGTTTCATGCAGTTTCTAGTGAAAGTCTAAAATAATCCCGAAAAGTGTGTGTACTGTTCGTAGGCCTATATAATCCACATAACAGCAATTTCTTATTTGAAAACTGGATATCTGTCCAAATAACTTCTCCCACTCGAAATTCTGAATCAGCTCTACGACGGGTGCACAAGAGACTGGAAGTGATAACAGCTATCCCTCCTTCCGGAGTTCCTCTATCTTTGTCGTAAAGTGTAGAACTACCAAGGAGTATATTGTCGTCTGCTATAGATATATCAAGGTGAGTCTCGATTCCACAGACAATATCACAATCTAAGGTAGACAATATCATAATCTAAGGCAACATTTTCTGAGTATGAAATCTTATTTCTTAAACTGAATAAGAGATAAATCATAATTTTGGTGAAAGGGGCCTGGTTAGGATGGACGTCATTACAGTAAAGAAAGAGAAGCTGTAGTACAAAGGGAACAAAGATATACTAGATCAGGTAACATGTAGGATAAGATATAAGATCAGTTAAAAAGAACACAAGCCCTACAACCGCCGCTCTATCCGTAGTGTCATCCGTACTTGGTTTATCTTGTACAGGGCGACAGTCGGAGATGAGTGCTAAATATACCTACATTTTTTTTCAATAACGTAACACTCAGACTTTACAAAAGTACAGCGATCCTGACAGAGATAGAACATGTCAAAGGTAGGAAATGTGAGGATAGAAGTAGGGTACCATGATGGGGGTATTTGGTAGGAACGTAAGTGATAGTTCATGTGTCTCTATGAAAACTGCAGTTTACATTTAAATAACATTGTACACTTGGTTAATAAAGAATAAAAATCACAATATTATAATATTTGATAGGCCAATAAAAACAAAGCTTGAATATATATTCTAAACATTATTCTGATAATAACAATCCCTATTTATAGATTAGTTTATCAATTAAAAGTATATTAATAATGAATTTATCATCACAGTTCATGATGTATCAATTGTCATGATTTAATATGTACCACACGCTCTCACCAATACCGTCACAGTTCATGATGTATCAGTGATCATAATTAATATGTACCACACGCTCTCACCAATACCGTCACAGTTCATGATGTATCAGTGATCATGATTTAATATGTACCACACGCTCTCACCAATACCGTCACAGCTCATGATGTATCAGTGATCATAGTTAATATGTACCACACGCTCTCACCAATACCGTCACAGCTCATGATGTATCAGTGATCATAGTTAATATGTACCACACGCTCTCACCAATACCGTCACAGTTAATGATGTATCAGTGGTCATGATTTAATATGTACCACACGCTCTCACCAATACCGTCACAGTTCATGATGTATCAGTGATCATGATTTAATATGTACCACACGCTCTCACCAATACCGTCACAGTTCATGATGTATCAGTGATCATGATTTAATATGTACCACACGCTCTCACCAATACCGTCACAGTTCATGATGTATCAGTGATCATAGTTAATATGTACCACACGCTCTCACCAATACCGTCACAGTTCATGATGTATCAGTGATCATAATTAATCTGTACCACACGCTCTCACCAATACCGTCACAGCTCATGATGTATCAGTGATCATAGTTAATATGTACCACACGCTCTCACCAATACCGTCACAGTTCATGATGTATCAGTGATCATAGTTAATCTGTACCACACGCTCTCACCAATACCGTCACAGCTCATGATGCATCAGTGATCATATATTAATCAATAAGAAAGATGAGGATAATCGCAGGAAGGTTCGTTCAATGATATCCTGAGGGCAGTTGCACTATAAGATGGTCACCATTTCCAGGTTTGGAATTGGCTTGTGAACGAGACTGTCTAGCATTTTTCTTGGTCTGGATGGTAAATGAACCGTTGTGCAGTCTGCCATCAACAGTAAGTTTATTCCAGTAAGTTTAACTCCACATTTACCCCTTTGTTCCGCAGATCTAAATTTAAGGGTTGGGCCGAGTTCTCTACGTCGCTGTTGGATTCCGTCTGGAAAAGTTCGTTAATGTAGAAAGGCGAACCTTTCAGCTTACGCGCACGCCGCAACACTCCTGTCACGATCTTTCAAGCCTATCGAGATTTTTTCATAATAATTTCGAAGTTTTTGTACATATCATTTTGGAAATGGTTTTGCTCTTGACGTCGGTACGTACTTGATTACGAAATTGGTGCAGATGTCATCATGTCATATCTGTACAATATTCCATTGGCTTCCCCTGCAGCCGCACTTACGTGCATGTTACCGCATGTATCAGATTTACTAACTAACACAGATTTCCTGTTCCCCCTATATGTTTACCCATGGTAAGATTATGGTAAGTATGTACATTTAATTGAAATGGTATACCTTACGAGTTCACTGTATCAAAGTGCATCCGCATGCAATAGCATAATATATTATTACATAAGGTCACGTAACGAATCGTCAACGATATGGACCCCTCACAGGTGTTCAACAGGTAGGCACGCGAGCACGGGAATGTTGTGTCAATAACACCCACGTATAACTTGTGAGGATTATAATTCTCGCACGCTAAAGATCCCTTGTGACTTTTCGTCAAAAAAGTATTTATGGGTCTAGGGATAATGCCAGACTATACAATTATGTTTAAGACATTAGACGGAGCTCAAAAGAAAACCGACATCCGTCGGTGAGACGATACCCAGACACGGGAGGAGTCGCCGAGACGAAAAACCCTGTCAAACAACTAACCAAGGCTAACAGGACAATGAAAAGTGTCACTGAAAGTGTTTTTTCCAAAATAGTCACATTCATATGGATATCACCACAACAATCTCCAACACAAAACTATCCAAATAGAACATTTGAAATCACAATACTTCATAGAGAAAGGGATGAAAACGGCCTTCAAATCTCCGGGTCTGATTGTACGACATGTCTGGACGCCGTCCTGATTTATCATATCTAAATTATTGTTGCGTTAAAATTACACAATGTTTCTCTTTAACCTTTTTATCTCGTGTGTGATGTTTTTACTTTCTCCCATTCATTACGTAACCTGCAATCTGGTCTACCCGGTTACTTAGTGTAGATGTACGCGTCCTGTCTTTCCACTAAATGTCATACTTCACCACTTCTTTATTTTACGACAACTGCGAAACTAGATTTTAGTTATAACAACCAGTCTTGTTGTTCTGGATGGAAGCGCGAGAGGATTCTTATTGTGGGTGGAAATCGGAGTACCCAAGGGCAGGTGACCCATATCTTTACACGTTCGTTCCAGGAATCGGCTAGGAAAAGGCGAGTGCGCTACCACTACGCCGACCGACCAATATATCATATAAATCTTTATTATTACATATCTTTTTATTGATCTTCATCATTTGGTCTTGTATCTGATAATCAATGTTGGTTGGTTACAGGTTTTTCTTCACAGTGACTCGACCTGACTCGAGGTGTTTTCTCATCGACGAACGTCAATGTTCTGGCGACGTAAATAAAGAATGAATGTACATTGTTGTTTTTAAAATCGATCACCATGCTTTTGTATCAGTTAGGTCCTCGATTTTGTACGGAACACATCGGTGAAATTTGGAATGTTCCTAATGTCACGCTATCTAACCGCAATGTTCTCTATAGCAAATTTGTTTGTTAAGTTTAAAATTTCATTGGTGCAGACTCCACAATATTGCTATATTTCTTCATACTGAAAAAAAAACGCGAACAAGTTCTAGATAGACACAGAAGTTTGATTTACAGAAAGTTATCTTTCATCATTCTCAAATATCTTGACTTGTATTAAACTTTCACGTATCGTCTATTCCATGATTTACTTTGCTATATGACGATGAGTTGAAACAATTCTTGTCCATTCCCTTTGTTTAAAAGCAATCAAATGTGTTTAAATCAATAAATAAAACAATCTAGCGTCAGACTAGGGACATACAGTGAGAGGAGTGAGATAATGGCCGATTATATTCTAGTTATTTGATAGCTTTAAGAATTAGTTCGAATGTCATCTCACTTGATTCAGAGATGTAAAACTGCAGCAACCTGGCGGCGAAGGTTTCACGTTCTTATTTTTGCGTGGTTGTAACGGCTCATAGAAATTCGTGCTAATTCATTGTATATTTATTACAAAAATATGTTTAAATGTTTTTTTTATAAATTTTATAAGTTTAGCTGAGAAATACTTGTACCGTGAAAACATGTAAACGTCTAGTGTTCCGAATATGTTATATAAAGAAACAACTTTGAAATTGTTATAAAAAAATCAAAACGTGAAATATAAAAAAGTGTATGGAAATGTATGTACAAATAGGAAAACGCTCTTTTAAACAAAGCACATCGATATTTGTCGGAACATATATTTCCTGATTGCCATGGTGACGTTGCTTAGAACATCAAATATTACAATAAAGGAGCTGTAGTAATGATCCCACGTCGATTTTGTTCAATCCATCGTATTTTGTCAATAAAAACGGATTTTAAAATTATACTACTGAGTGTTCGACCTTTTCGGATCACTGCCTTGTACATTCTGTAGATCACGTGACATCGATTGTGTCTATAAATGGGCCCGATACGCTATTTCGTCCCGAGTATCTAGAGTACACGGAGACAGAAAAACTGTACTCAACCATCCAACTTTTCGTTTTCAGCTGCCGGTGTAAAATAACAACTCCCTCGTTGGAAGGAGTAATTAATTTTACAAGATGAAGAAGAAAAGTTACAGTACGGAGCCACCGTCGTATAGTTTAGAGAAGGGAAAGGTTAGTTTTTTTCATGCTTATTTGTATTGTAATACAAGCGTAGATATTAAATAGTGTTGGGTAGTAATTCAAACATAGAGATTTGTTAAACATCAAGAGTAAAACTGTCTATTGATATCCTATCACTGATGGTCATTCTGTTTTAGAATCGAACCCTCCATTATATAGCGTATGTGACTTAAAACCTGTTAAATTCACCTTTGTGGATTATGGAAAAATGACTTTCAATGGAAACGCCTGAGGGCAATGGCAAACCAATTACTGTTAAAAAACGAACCCAAAGCCGAAAACGTTCCAGTCGATATTCAATTCTTTATTACGTAGAGCATTGCAGCTCATCCGAGTTCCTAATGACATCTTCGGGTATGTACTACAATAATACACAAACTTTCTCGTCCAACGCGCACACCATCAATTAGCAAAGTGTAGAGGGAGTTCGACATATTACTCGTGTACAAAAAATCTTTTTTTTTTCTTGTTGATAATTATGATTAATTTTGATAAATTTGATAAATTTGATATATTTTTCCTGTTCACAGATGTCATAAGTTTGATGAATTTAAACACACTGGATCTATTACAATAATATTTCTTAATGAAAAGTTTCCTTAAATCCTCATTTCTTTCACATTTAACAATAAAATGATTTTTTTCTTCTACGTCACCACTTTTACATAGAGTGCAAATTCTATTATTCCTTTCTATATTATTATACCTCTTCATTTCAATACTCAATTTGTGAGATGACATTCTAATTTTGCTATTTCCTTCAAATAAGAATTTCCGATAGATTTTGTAAGATAACTCAGAAAACCAAAATCTACACTGATATAAGGGTATCAGGATGGTCGGGTGGCGCAGTGGTAACGCATTCGCTTTTCACCTAGCCGACCGCGGTACGGGGTAAGGGGTAAGGGGTCACCTGCCCAACCACGTGGGTTTTCCCCGGGTACTCCGGTTTCCTCCCACAATAAGACCCCTCGCGCGCTTACATCCGGGCCAACAAGAGTGATTAGTATAAGTTGATATAACTTGTTTCGCAATTGTTGTAAAATGAATAAAGTTTATATTTACACCGATTGTCACTATCTTGTTAAAAGATATCGAACAATCTAGTTTTAATAATGTATGTTCATAATGCTAAAAGTACCCTACACCCAATCTTAAAAGTTCATTTCTCACACCATACAGCCATTCACTTCGTTTTCTAACACATCAAGCATGGCATTTTTTCGGTCATGAAATTGGATAACCTACTAATTTTGTTTTATGTTCTGGTTTTTGACCTTTCTAAAAACTATCTGCTTTGGTAGACGATATAAAGAGGCTCCTGAACTCAACAGAAATTACAATGGATCAATACCTTTTTAATAAGAAGACACAAAATGAAATGTTTTTTGCAAGTCCTAAATATCCAGGAAAGTAATGTTGACAGTCGAATATTCCGAATGACAATTCTAACCCAGACTGCAAATATTGTATCTTTATATTTTTGCAAAGGGAAAACGCTGATAGTGTTGACGCTAGGTAATTCAGCCATACGCTATTAAAAAACAAACGTTACACAGAACGTCATATTAACAGCGCCGTCAACTACCACATCACAAACCAAACGTTACACAGAACGTCATATTAACAGCGCCGTCAACTACCACATCACAAACCAAACGTTACACAGAACGTCATATTAACAGCGCCGTCAACTACCACATCACAAACCAAACGTTACACAGAACGTCATATTAACAGCGGCGTCAACTACCACATCACAAACCAAACGTTACACAGAACGTCATATTAATAGCGCCGTCAACTACCACATCACAAACCAAACGTTACACAGAACGTCATATTAATAGCGCCGTCAACTACCACATCACAAACCAAACGTTACACAGAACGTCATATTAATAGCGCCGTCAACTACCACATCACAAACCAAACGTTACACAGAACGTCATATTAACAGCGCCGTCAACTACCACATCACAAACCAAACGTTACACAGAACGTCATATTAACAGCGCCGTCAACTACCACATCACAAACCAAACGTTACACAGAACGTTATATTAATAGCGCCGTCAACTACCACATCACAAACCAAACGTTACACTGAACGTCATATTAACAGCGACAGCGCCGTCAACTACCACATCACAAACCAAACGTTACACTGAACGTCATATTAACAGCGGCGTCAACTACCACATCACAAACCAAACGTTACACAGAGCGTCATATTAACAGCGCCGTCAACTACCACATCACAAACCAAACGTTACACTGAACGTCATATTAACAGCGGCGTCAACTACCACATCACAAACCAAACGTTACACAGAACGTCATATTAATAGCGCCGTCAACTACCACATCACAAACCAAACGTTACACAGAACGTCATATTAACAGCGCCGTCAACTACCACATCACAAACCAAACGTTACACTGAACGTCATATTAACAGCGACAGCGCCGTCAACTACCACATCACAAACCAAACGTTACACTGAACGTCATATTAACAGCGGCGTCAACTACCACATCACAAACCAAACGTTACACAGAGCGTCATATTAACAGCGCCGTCAACTACCACATCACAAACCAAACGTTACACTGAACGTCATATTAACAGCGGCGTCAACTACCACATCACAAACCAAACGTTACACAGAACGTCATATTAACAGCGGCGTCAACTACCACATCACAAACCAAACGTTACACTGAACGTCATATTAACAGCGCCGTCAACTACCACATCACAAACCAAACGTTACACTGAACGTCATATTAACAGCGGCGTCAACTACCACATCACAAACCAAACGTTACACAGAACGTCATATTAACAGCGGCGTCAACTACCACATCACAAACCAAACGTTACACTGAACGTCATATTAACAGTGCCGTCAACTACCACATCACAAACCAAACGTTACACTGAACGTCATATTAACAGCGCCGTCAACTACCACATCACAAACCAAACGTTACACAGAACGTCATATTAACAGCGCCGTCAACTACTACATCACAAACCAAACGTTACACAGAGCGTTATATTAACAGCGGCGTCAACTACCACATCACAAACCAAACGTTACACAAAACGTCATATTAACAGCGCCGTCAACTACCACATCACAAACCAAACGTTACACAGAACGTCATATTAACAGCGGCGTCAACTACCACATCACAAACCAAACGTTACACAGAACGTCATATTAACAGCGCCGTCAACTACCACATCACAAACCAAACGTTACACAGAATGTCATATTAACAGCGGCGTCAACTACCACATCACAAACCAAACGTTACACAGAACGTCATATTAACAGCGGCGTCAACTACCACATCACAAACCAAACGTTACACAGAACGTTATATTAATAGCGCCGTCAACTACCACATCACAAACCAAACGTTACACAGAACGTCATATTAACAGCGCCGTCAACTACCACATCACAAACCAAACGTTACACAGAACGTCATATTAACAGCGCCGTCAACTACCACATCACAAACCAAACGTTACACAGAACGTCATATTAATAGCGCCGTCAACTACCACATCACAAACCAAACGTTACACAGAACGTTATATTAATAGCGCCGTCAACTACCACATCACAAACCAAACGTTACACAGAACGTCATACTAACAGCGACAGCGCCGTCAACTACCACATCACAAACCAAACGTTACACAGAACGTCATATTAACAGCGCCGTCAACTACCACATCACAAACCAAACGTTACACAGAACGTCATATTAATAGCGCCGTCAACTACCACATCACAAACCAAACGTTACACAGAACGTTATATTAATAGCGCCGTCAACTACCACATCACAAACCAAACATTACACAGAACGTCATACTAACAGCGACAGCGCCGTCAACTACCACATCACAAACCAAACGTTACACAGAACGTCATATTAACAGCGCCGTCAACTACCACATCACAAACCAAACGTTACACAGAACGTCATTTTAACAGCGCCGTCAACTACCACATCACAAACCAAACGTTACACAGAACGTCATACTAACAGCGACAGCGCCGTCAACTACCACATCACAAACCAAACGTTACACAGAACGTCATATTAACAGCGGCGTCAACTACCACTTCACAAACCAAACGTTACACAGAACGTCATATTAACAGCGCCGTCAACTACCACATCACAAACCAAACGTTACACAGAACGTCATATTAACAGCGCCGTCAACTACCACATCACAAACCAAACGTTACACAGAACGTCATATTAACAGCGCCGTCAACTACCACATCACAAACCAAACGTTACACAGAACGTCATATTAACAGCGCCGTCAACTACCACATCACAAACCAAACGTTACACTGAACGTCATATTAACAGCGGCGTCAACTACCACATCACAAACCAAACGTTACACTGAACGTCATATTAACAGCACCGTCAACTACGACATCACAAACCAAACGTTACACAGAACGTCATATTAACAGCGCCGTCAACTACCACATCACAAACCAAACGTTACACAGAACGTTATATTAATAGCGCCGTCAACTACCACATCACAAACCAAACGTTACACTGAACGTCATATTAACAGCGACAGCGCCGTCAACTACCACATCACAAACCAAACGTTACACTGAACGTCATATTAACAGCGGCGTCAACTACCACATCACAAACCAAACGTTACACAGAGCGTCATATTAACAGCGCCGTCAACTACCACATCACAAACCAAACGTTACACTGAACGTCATATTAACAGCGGCGTCAACTACCACATCACAAACCAAACGTTACACAGAACGTTATATTAATAGCGCCGTCAACTACCACATCACAAACCAAACGTTACACAGAACGTCATACTAACAGCGACAGCGCCGTCAACTACCACATCACAAACCAAACGTTACACAGAACGTCATATTAACAGCGCCGTCAACTACCACATCACAAACCAAACGTTACACAGAACGTCATATTAATAGCGCCGTCAACTACCACATCACAAACCAAACGTTACACAGAACGTTATATTAATAGCGCCGTCAACTACCACATCACAAACCAAACATTACACAGAACGTCATACTAACAGCGACAGCGCCGTCAACTACCACATCACAAACCAAACGTTACACAGAACGTCATATTAACAGCGCCGTCAACTACCACATCACAAACCAAACGTTACACAGAACGTCATACTAACAGCGACAGCGCCGTCAACTACCACATCACAAACCAAACGTTACACAGAACGTCACATTAACAGCGGCGTCAACTACCACATCACAAACCAAACGTTACACAGAACGTCATACTAACAGCGACAGCGCCGTCAACTACCACATCACAAACCAAACGTTACACAGAACGTCATATTAACAGCGGCGTCAACTACCACTTCACAAACCAAACGTTACACAGAACGTCATATTAACAGCGCCGTCAACTACCACATCACAAACCAAACGTTACACAGAACGTCATATTAACAGCGCCGTCAACTACCACATCACAAACCAAACGTTACACAGAACGTCATATTAACAGCGCCGTCAACTACCACATCACAAACCAAACGTTACACAGAACGTCATATTAACAGCGCCGTCAACTACCACATCACAAACCAAACGTTACACTGAACGTCATATTAACAGCGGCGTCAACTACCACATCACAAACCAAACGTTACACTGAACGTCATATTAACAGCGCCGTCAACTACGACATCTGGAATTCCTTCCCGTTTTTATCTACTTCTAATGCGTGAAAAGACAACGATTGAGGAAAACAACAGTCCCACTATCAGGGTATTGAATAAAGTTTGAACCAATTGTATTGGCCTACGAAATGTCAAAGCGAGTGGTTAGTTCTGTATCTTTTTACAACTTAAAAGTGACTTCTCCCGAGACATTTTCATTAAACTCTCTATACCAGCGTGAATGTTTTTGTGTGTGATATTTGATTAGGTCAGGCGCATGCTTAAGAACCATTGCTACCTAAGTGTGGTCGCCGTGTGACTATACTAGTACTCAAGCTAGAGAGACATCAGCCGCTATGTCAACACATCTCAACTTGATGTCATATTGAATGGGACACTTGTTTTGTAAACACAAGGGGCTAGCGAAGATTTCCGTGGTTTAGATTGGCTCATGAAAGAAAACAAAGATAATCTGACAGATATTGTTATGCAAATGTACTATGTGAACTATAGAATTACTGGTTTGACCATGTTGTTGTTCCTAATTAGTAACAAAGCACGTCATATCATTCAACAATTACACAATGAAGTTAATCAGGTTGACAGGTGACACGTAACTCTCTATTGTTAGTAACTGGTAAGTATAGGACCCCTTTGTCCAGAGGTATATTCGGTTAATGGAGTCGTGTTAATCCATTCAATTTTTCGAATTCAAAAGGTTTATGTGTCATTAATTCATTAATTAAAATGACAGATGATGAAAATAAAAGTATAGATTATTGTTCAAATAAAGCGCTGTAATCGTAAAAATAAATCTAATCTCTAGTCAAAATCAATTATTCGAGAGCGAAATATATATATATACATATAAAAAAAACCAGATAAAAAAAACAATACAACGAGAATAAGACCACGTGATCCGAAAGGGTAATCATCTTCTGCTTCATCAAAGAGTAATCTTTATAACATATGACTTAATATCGCTCATAGGGATTTTTTTTTCTTCACGTGGATTCGTTCAGATAGCTCGCGTATTCATGACCTCATCGATGTTTATGTGATCTAGTATCATTTAACAGGATTTCGTGTGAAATCTTAGCCAGTCATATCCTGTTTCAAAAATCCATGTGTAATGTAACATGGTGGATCTGATACGGTCATCTCGTTCTGTAGGACGAAAAAAAAAAGAAATTAGACTTATTACGATGTAATTAATACGTCTGAAGCTTGATATTAATTGTTTAACAACAATATCATTTAATGGTTGAACTCAGAAAATATTTATACCAGAAAATCGCTTAGCTAATTATTCTCCTCTATAACTTTACATTTTCACAACTAATGAAGCTATTTTTAGCTGTTGATTAATTTACAATGAACATTCACTCAGGTTTAGATCGTGCTATAACTTACAAAGTTTACCTGTGTTTGCCTAGTGATGTATTTACTTTTGTCGACGAGATTAAGTATGCCGAACACGAACATGCAAAAATGTCTATTTCGGAAGTTGAACAAAGCAATCATATACCTATAACGCTGAAACATTTAAGTGTTACTGTACTATAATGATTTGAAGGTCAAATACTCTGATGTTGGGAAGAACTTGGCCTTGATTATACAAAGCCACACCTGTGCAAAGGTCAATGTAAACTGGAGACTGTGTGAACATACATGTAGGTCTGGTTAAATGCAGCCCGAGAGGTAGAGAACAACTCAAACGACTCCCCAGACGATTCTGGCGAGTCCTAGGTAGTTTTAACAACTGTCCAAATAACATATTTAAACATATTAGTTAAGTTTTCTAGAAATGATGATAATATCAAGCTTCAAAGAAATACAGTTGAAGGCATAATTTCTTGATAAATCAAAATGTGAAAAAAATAAAGAAATTTAGATAAATGGAGTTAATTCAAAGTAACGAGCTTAACATCAATATATATATAATCAAAACGCCGATTAGCTTGATGAAATAAACGTTCTACCTACCTTCAGAAAAATTGGTATCATCGTGTGCTTTTGTTTGCTTTTTGTAAACAGAATTGTCTTAATTCTATAATCGTTTGTGTAGATGTAGTATTGTTGGTTTATATTTGCTAGGGCGAAAAAAGGAGATGAAAAGGTATTTACCAAAGTTCACATATATACAAACGACATTGTCTTCTTTCGATAGTGGTAGTATTTGTCAATTGAATTTTGTTCTATGAAAACAGTACTTTGAATAAATGTAATATGCGGAAACTTCGAAGATAGAAAAAAAAGTCTTGTTAACGTTATCATTTTGTCTTTAGAATGACGGACTTGACAACCCCGGTTTTGTAAACGACAATGGAGACATGGAGAATGTAAGTACATTGTTTTGTGTTTCTCGAGAAAGGCATGATTCTTATTGATTTCTTTTGTTTGTTTTAAAACTCCTCGTCATTTTGTGTCGATATACTTCATCAACACCTTCCACTTTCAGGGTCAAATCGACAAGAAGGATGAGGAAATTGATCTTTGGGAGTTACCGGAACTGAAGGATACATCAAAACCTTTCAAAGGTAAGGACATAGAGATTATTTGACTTAGTCGTCCTGTTACGTGTCACGTTTGCAGTTCTTAACACGAAGTATTATAAAACTCGTGTCTGTCTGAAACTTGCAGTATCACATATATATATTAACTGAGTGATATGGCTAAGAGAAAAACGCCGTTAAAATGCTTTCAGCTGGCATCTCAAATTGGTAATCATTTAATTCAATATGCCCAGAAATGACAACTGAAATCAGCTCAATGCTTTTTTTTTCTATCATCAAATCAGTGTGACTGTGGTAAGATTACGATGTAGTATTGCCAGACAATGTTAAATATGTGTAAATAAGAGCTGTAAAGTTAATGACTAAAAGATATCTGGTAGAAGACGGAAATGTGGTAACGTGACCATAAAAATTCCCCAGAGTCGAAAAGCATCAGAACTAACGAACAATTTATTGTGCTTTGAAGTCATTATCATATCTTTTTTTAACTGCTAGAGATGAACGGCAACGAGAAGGTAGTGTTCGTGTTGTGGGTCATACTAAGAATAATCCTGTTCCTCGGCTTCCTGTATCTCTTCGTTTGTTCTCTGGATTTTCTGAGTTCAGCGTTCCGACTACTGGGAGGTACGTTTTTGCATGCCTTGTTGTCGGTTTCCGTTACCGTGTGTAAGTTATTAAGTAATCATTGATTGGTTCATATCTGTCAAATCAAGTGTTTTGTAACAAGGAGACTATAAATCTGATTAAATATATATATCAATCGCAGGTCACGCAGCTGGTGAAGTGTTCCGGAACAGCGACATTCTGCGGAACCCCGTGACTGGCTTGATGATTGGTGTTTTAGCTACTGTCTTAGTACAGAGTTCTTCTACCAGCACTTCCATTGTCGTAGCCATGGTTGGAGCAGAACGTATGTGCCTCATAACTGTACAACACATTAGTATAATTACCGTCTTCCATCCCATACAAGTATAATTTAGTAATAAGGCGAAAATGTCCAATAAAATTTCGATACACATAATTATCCTATTTGCATTAAAGTTTATCTACAATTAGATTGATAACTCTTTTCTGAGTTTTCAGGTATACGTATCCTAGCGGGGAAAATGATTTTACTATTTTACTCAGTAATAAACTGAGTTATCTCCCCCATTTCGCTCATGTCATGTTCGCTCAATCTTCGTTTACAGTACTTGAAGTCGCGACAGCCATTCCAATCGTAATGGGAGCTAACATCGGTACTTCCGTCACCAACACCATCGTAGCCCTGGGACAAATCACCGATAAGGACGACTTCCGGCGGGCTTTCGCGGGGGCCACTGTCCATGATATGTTTAACTGGGTCAGTGTGATTATACTGCTTCCGTTAGAGGTTATATCAGGTCAGTAATATGCTTTCACGGTTACGCAGAAATAATGGCTTTCAATTTTTCTACTTTTAAAAGTCGATTTATGGAAACAAAATTAATGAATACTTAAACGCAAATGTAGATAACGAATACAAATTATATGCAGTAACATCAGAGAGGGGGTTTTCTTAATCGCTGATAATTCTTTTCAGGATACTTGTTCCGCTTAAGTGGGGCCATTGTGGACAGTCTACATCTGGAAAAGTACAAAGAGGGCAAGAAAGACTTGCTCAAGGCCATCACGAAACCTTTCACCACTAAAATCGTTCAGGTAAGTTTGTTAGATTCATTTAGGGAAAACACCAAAATCCAATCGTAATCAACCACGACTGAAACAACGAGATAAGTCCTTATTCAATGTCAAAACTACTAGAATATGAACGAAAGAAAGAGTTATACGGAGACTCGTTAAACGATCGGGTAAAGATAGGTCTTTAGATAAACAAGTAAAATAGGACATCTATACGGGCAATTAAAAATAGGACCACTAAACGGTCAAGTAAACATAGGACCACTAAACGGTCAAGTAAACATAGGACCACTAAACGGTCAAGTAAAAATAGGACCACTAAACGGTCAAGTAAACATAGGACCACTAAACGGTCAAGTAAACATAGGACCACTAAACGGTCAAGTAAACATAGGACCACTAAACGGTCAAGTAAACATAGGACCACTAAACGGTCAAGTAAACATAGGACCACTAAACGGTCAAGTAAACATAGGACCACTAAACGGTCAAGTAAACATAGGACCACTAAACGGCCAAGTAAACATAGGACCACTAAACGGTCAAGTAAACATAGGACCACTAAACGGACAAGTAAACATAGGACCACTAAACGGTCAAGTAAACATAAGACCACTAAACGGACAAGTGAAAATCGGACCACTAAGCGGTCAAGTAAACATGGGACAAGCAAAAATATGACTTCTGTACGGATATGTGAAAGAAGGATATTTAAACGGACTAGTAAAAATAGGATTTCAATACGAACAAGTGAAAATAGAACTTCTAAACGGACAAGTGTAATAGGACTTCTAAGCGGACATGTGAAAAAAGGATTTCTAAGCGGACAAGTGAAAATAGGACTTCTAAGCGGACAGGTGAAAACAGGACTTCTATCTGGATAAGTAAAATAGAACTTCTACACGGACAGGTAAATATAGGACTTATTAACGGACAAGCAGTATATACTCCACCAACCACACCCTCCATATATATTAGGGAAGTTCAGGAAATGTAATGTTCTCACCCTAGGAAATACGTCAATGACTGTAGTGTAATACAGGAAGTAAAATTATCAGCTAAAACGAGATCCTGGATTTTTATTTCAATTCTGAATAAGACCGTTTATTGATATTTTCGTTTTGATATCTTAGCTTAAAGTAGAAAAAGAATTCCGATACATCAACTTGTAAAGCAATAGGAACGGATTTTTAAGAATACGACACCTGCAGTTAAACTCAATGTCAACCGAAAGATTTCACGAAAGTTATGTCATGTTCTTAAAATATTGACCGGATTATATTAAATATTCAAGTATTCTTACGAGAATTTCGTAAAAGATAATAGAGGTTTTCCGAAAGAGCTGTCGACATTTGTCATAGAAATCGCGGTGATATTCGGAACACGCATGTGAAGATCGAATTAACTGTGACATCGACATATTGATAACATAGGCGGAGATATGTCACAGTTAAGAAAAAATAAGGCTTGGTGAACTGCTGTCCCGATTGGTATGTAAAAGATCGAGATAAGCGGCTGATGTAGAAGTGTTTAGCATGACATTGACTCCTGGAGATTTTATCTGATAGACTCGGGTAGTCTCATGGCGGCATATAGTGTAACCCTTATCCACCCACTATCTTGTCGCTTCCTGTCGTGTCCCGTTCTGAACCGAAGTCACACCTGAAAAGCCTTTCAGCTTATTTGGTTCATGTATTATCGACACAATCATAACATGAACTTCTAAGCTTTCTCCTCCTCAGGTGATTGTAGGTCGAGGCAAAAAAAGGTCAAAGGTCACAATGACTTTTTGTTACTGATATGCATGAGAGCAGGATATTTTCTTGTAAAGCTTTCTTTGGTTCATTTAAGTGTACTTTGGTACCAAGGTTAAAATATTTTCTTGGTATCATTTTCTCCAAACTAGGCTCATATAGATTTATAGGTCTCGTATGAAAATTGTGCTCATCGAATAGTTTCATTAAAACACAATATAAATAAAATATTGTAATTATTTCCTGACAGGTGGACAGCAAAGCTATCCAGAAGATCGCAAAAAGCGAGGATGTTTATTCTCTACTCAAGCTGTGCTGCAAGTCCGAGACTCCAGATCCTATCAACAAGACGCTCTCCAATGGAACGTGGTACATGGAGGAGCTGAGCGACGTCTGTGTCACACCATGTACGTAAAGGCCTATCAAACAGCGAAATGTTTTAACTAAGGGAGGGAAACACGTTTAATGCTAACAGAGGAAAATAAATCTCACTATCATTGTAGAATGCATTAAGATTTAAACAACGACAGTATTTGGTTTTGGGTGTATTTGGCAGTGGAAGATCTAATAGATACGACTTGTGTTTACCGGCTTTTCAGATTCGTTCTTTCATCAAAGACTGCCTCCTGCCATCAGATTAATATGTATTGTTTCGTTTTCAATAGCTACTCACAAATGTTTTAAGCTCAGATGATAAATTGTCTTCATTTATAAACAAAAATGCAATCATAATAATGACAAAGGTTTCCTTATGTTGTTATCAAATGTCTTGTGAATTGCATGATAGATATTACAAGCTGAAAGCAAATTATCAAAATACATAGCATGTCACATGTTGGTCGAAAAATTTGATATTTCATGCTAATTAACCAAGATACTCACCCTAGTCTAACATAAATCTCTACTCTGTATTTACAGGTGAATTCATCTTCAAAGACACCGGTTTGAGGGATTCTGAAATAGGGGTCATACTGCTAATAATTGCACTAGTACTTCTGTGTGTGTGTCTGTTTGCCATCGTTAAACTTCTCAATTCTCTCTTAAAAGGAAATATCAGGAAAATAATAAAGAAAATTATAAATGCCGAGTTTCCGGGAAAGTGCGGCTACTTCACTGGTTATCTGGCTATTCTTGTGGGATGTGGACTCACCATCCTTGTGCAGTCAAGTTCTATCTTTACCTCGGCCATGACACCACTGGTCGGTGTTGGTGTGATAAGTATCGAGAGAATGTACCCGTTGACCCTTGGATCAAACATCGGTACCACTACGACAGGTATCCTTGCCGCTCTGGCGCAAGATGCTGACAAAATTAGAAACCCTTTGCAGCTGGCTTTCTGTCATCTGTTCTTTAACATTTCGGGAATTCTCATTTTGTATCCAATTCCATTCATGAGGGTCCCAATCACCCTTGCAAAATTTCTCGGAACCGAGACTTCTAAATACCGATGGTTTGCAATTTTTTATTTGTTTTTAATGTTTTTCCTGCTGCCATTGTTCGTATTTGGACTGTCTGTGGCTGGCTGGGAGGTCATGACTGCCGTTCTCATCCCCATCGCTTGCATTATAATCTTTATATTCATCATCAAAGTCATTCAAAGAAAGAAACCGAGTTTACTCCCAAAAGTCCTTCGTAACTGGAAGTTCCTCCCGCTGGTGTTCCGCTCCCTCGAGCCCATTGACAGGGTAATGCAACTGTGTTTCTGTAGTTGCTGTCGTTCCAAGGCAGCTGATGAGCCGCCCCATCAAAGAACGGATATGGATACGAAGATTTAAATGACATTGGTGTACTAGATGATATGCATTGTATATAACGGTGATGAAACGAGAATATATAGGAATGGCGGTTGTAGATACGAGGATACAAATGACGGTGGTAGATACGAGGATATAAATGACGGTTGTAGATACGAAGATATAGATGACGATTGTAGATACGAGGATATAAATGACGGTGGTAGATACGAGGATATAAATGACGGTGGTAGATACGAAGATATAAATGACGGTGGTAGGCACGATATATGTTCAACTAACATGCTGTAATTGACACTGCTTTCTCGGTCTAATAATAAATGACTACAGTGTTCACATGATAGTTATATATCGTATCTGTTTAGTCGGACCTTCTTTTGTTTCGTTTCCTCTTCCTTCTTTAGAAACAATTTGATCACATGGCCACTGACGACGGCTTCTCGTGGTATATCATTTTGTTTATATTCACATGAAATGAATCCTGAACGTGGATTTTTTTGTTTCAAATCCTACTTGTATGTTATAAAAATGAAACTGATGTTTAAATAATAAATGTATATTTTTTTAACATTTTTTTTTAATTATTTTTATAATCATGTTCATTGTCAGTGCTCTTTTGTGAAGGCGTTTCAATGCATTCAGTACCAAACGGCACATCCTTGTGTCAACCATTAAGGAAGTGAGTTATTGCCGTCTGGGACCATTGTGTGTCAATGTGTAAAGTAGGTACTGGTATCTAGGACACCTCTGTGTCAACCAGTAAGGTAGTAATTGGTGTCTGACACTACTATATGTCAACCAGAAAGGAAGTTTTGCTGTCTGGGACCCCTGTATGTCAACCAGCAAAGTAGATATTGATGCCTTGGACCCCTGTATGTCAACCGATAGGGTAGTGTTTGCTGTCTGAGACCCCTGTATGTCAACCAGCAAAGTAGGTATTGATGCCTTTGACCCCTGTATGTCAACCAGCAAAGCAGGTATTGGTGCCTTGGACCCCTGTATGTCAACCAGCAAAGTAGGTATTGATGCCTTGGAACCCTGTATGTTAACCAGCAAAGTAGGTATTGATGCCTTGGACCCCTGTATGTCAACCGATATGGTAGTGTTTGCTGTCTGGGACCCCTGTATGTCAACCAGCAAAGTAGGTATTGATGCCTTGGACCCCTGTATGTCAACCAGCAAAGTAGGTATTGATGCCTTGGACCCCTGTATGTCAACCGATAGGGTAGTGTTTGCTGTCTGGGACCCCTGTATGTCAACCGATAGGGTAGTGTTTGCTGTCTGTGACCCCTGTATGTCAACCAGCAAAGTAGGTATTGATGCCTTGGAACCCTGTATGTCAACCGATAGGGTAGTGTTTGCTGTCTGAGACCCCTGTATGTCAACGAAAGGGGTAGGTTTTGTTGTCTCAGACCACTGTGTGTATGGTAGATATTGATAAAGGTCATCTATATATAAAGAAGGCAATGAGCACATACTGACAGTTTGTAAGGCCTCTTTCCTATAGTCATTTGTGTAAAAAATCTTTACGTGAAATATGCTTCTGTGCCTTTTTCTTATCTTTCTTTTTCAAATAGGTTTCTCCACTGATCATCTACTATTCCTTGCTCGTATTTTCCACAAAGCCTGGTATGTAACTCAGAACTTAACGCAATCTAGTCGTTAAATTTTATTTCCGTCTCGTGGGGATTCGACAAAATTAGAGTAATGAATACGGATTTGGATAAATTTCGCACAGGCAGTTTTGTCAAACTGTAGAGAGCTCCCATTACCTAATCATTAAAAGCGTATAAAAAGTTCCTTCAGGTAGTGTTGCTGGGTTTCAAATGGGTATGTTAACTACACTCCTCTATCTTAAAAGACGTCGACAACCACATCTAAATCCGACAATTATGACTGTACCATAGATTTATCAAAGCATCTACTTTTAATCGTTCACAGATAATTAATGTTTTCTTTTCTAATGGTTGTGAAAACCTTTGATCAACATGTACAAAGTTTTCATTTTATTAATTCTAAAGTACATTGTACATATGTGTGTTCAGACTTCATATTTTTTAAATTAAGAGAGAGTAAAATGTGAAGGAGAGCGGTTGATCCTAGATATGCTAAATACCTAAACGAGTCAAAAGATTATTTCAATTCCTCTCTTCCTTTAATGATTACGAAATGCATTAAACATTGAAGCATTACAAACAAAATGCTTTGATTGAAGGTAAAATAAAATGCTAGCTATGCAAGTGGCCTCTGCTTGCCTTATATTTAATTGTACGTACTAATTTCGGACATAGTGAGAGTCAAGTCAAATCTTGGTGAACCCACAACAGAAAAAGTAAAATCATTTGATATGCTCGGATGTACACGAAGAAACTCTCAATTCTGATCGCGATGAAAAAGATTTCCAGATTTTTATTGATTGTACAACACACTTCACTGTATGAATTAAGAGGTCAAGTAAGAGAGCAGCCTAGGACAAATATAATTGTAGCCGGAGGACTCGACGTCTTTCCTTCAGCATGATAAATATAAAGTGCTCTCCAGGTAACATCCACACATAGTGTTCAGACAATAAGGCATTTATCGTTTTAGTCAAACGGTTTAAGACTGTTTATGGAATGGATAATTTGGTTAGATAAACCAAATTTCAATCTTGTAAACGTGATCTTATAGACATCTTTTTTTTTGTTCCATGTTGACACAAATATGATTGATGTGTTTAAACACTGTACGAACTTCCTCAAAGGTAAAATGTGGTATTTACTTTCCTCTTCCATTTTTAAAATTTTTACGTTTTATGATAATTAACGAGGCTTGGTTCAAACGTGACCTGGCATTCTGAAAAATGAAACCTGTAAAACTTTTAATTTTTCGTTTTCGTCTCAGAAAATTTTATCGTCAAGATCTAGATCATAAAAGGAATTGGACAACAACAAAAAAGTAGATATCAATCAAATAGTCAGTAAATTATAGAATGATATTAAATAAAACTGAGACAGAAACTGAAATATAATTATGAAGAATATATGAGAAGGAGACACTACCATCAGTTATCACTAATGAAAGAAAAATTACTTTGTAATTGTGTCAAGATTAAGTCCAAATGTGTCCTTAAATGGAGGCAGACACAGACTCAAACTGTCCATTCACTTATAAGAAACGTCCAGTATCGGTAATGAATCTGATTTAACTTAAAGACAGATTTATTCATAACAGCATCAATAAATAATTTTAATTTTAATAAATGTTTGGGTATTTAGAGGAATAGAAACAGGATTGTAGTACAAAAGGAGTTAAGGAGGAGATGTTTTTGAATATTGAAAAAAGGACAATGAGGAAGTACAATCCTCAACAGGATGACCATGATTACAGGCTAGGTGGGAATTAAATAAATCTGAATTAGAATAACTAATTGACATAGAAGTAGATTTACTTTTACTACCAGTGCACTGGTGATTGACATCAATAGGCGCTGGCGACAAAAACACTTTTTTATACTACTCATGTACGTCATTGTTGGAAGCAGACAAGATGGATTACTCCATTTGTTAATAATATTTTTAACACTATGCCACGGCGTAATTCCGACGTGTTGTGGTAACACCAACATTTCACCTCTGTGCCACGACCGACATGAATCACTCAATCACGGTACTAGCAAAGACTTATTTTGACCTCCCTGACTAGTCAAGACGATATTTTTTACAGAGATTCTTGGAAGTAATCGAACCTGTTATAAACATATTCTGATTAAGATCATGATTCACGGATAACAATTGTAGAAATATCATACATGTTCTCAAATTTAGTACAACCTTTGGACAAAATACTTTCCTCGTCCTATTATCTGCATTCCAAACCTGATTCGATTTGCTCTAGGACCTGTTCATGAGGGTACTAATTTCGTTCAAGATATCGGAAACAAACTCACAATACGGGGTTTCGAAAGATGCAGATTAATGAATATTATGGAGAAGTACTTGAAGTGTTTAAAGCTCGTTTGTATGCTTGACAGTTCCATAGTTATTCAACTTGCTCTCATTTGGGATGGATAACAAAACGTATAGCCATCTTGAACACCTGGTATTATTCTCCTGGTGCCTATTCAGGAGTCTCCATGTAAATATTTCTTTTGTCCTAGTTTTAACGAAATAGAGTTTGAAATAACAATTTGTTAATATATATATTTCCTTTGTTTGTCTGATAACTTTAGTAACAAATATGATAATTCTGTAAGAACTTTGCTGTAAGTTGACGTAAATTGATATTGGAATCATACTTTGATTTCGATATTCACCATTCTTTCCTAATCTAACAACGACTAGGATCAGAGTTGATGTTACGTTTTCCTAAATCCATTAATTGATAATATGGGTGCAATTTCAACTGAATATCGAAAAAGGACGATCTTGATGTAAGTCTCGGGTGCAAAGACATTAGTTTTAGTTACCAAATCGTCATTAAAGCGTCAAGAATCGGGTTTTCAAGCAAATGGTAAACAATAAAACAGTAGCACGGTAGTGCTATTATTGCGACAAACAATAATAATCATTATCATTACAACGATAACTCTGTTCATGATTTCATGATTGAAGGAAAACATTATTGTGGTTTCTTTTGTTTTTATATCTGATAAACAAATGTCATCTGTTGATTTCGTTATCGTGATGTCAGAGTTATTACTCCGTAAACAATAAGACGATCGTCAGTGATTGCTTTTGAGTGTGTTATATATATATATAAATTTTTGTAATGTTTCATTAATTGTCATGAATTCTATAGAAATCACATAAAGAGTATTTCTCTACACGTCGATTCTTTTGTATTTGTGATTGTGTCTATGTCATTGTGTACTCGTAAATTCCAACCTACATCTGTTTACTTGTTACGGGTCCAAATGTAAATTCCTGTTTTCCCATTCAAAATACACTGCGCATATCTTTGTAGTGTTGATTAATAATTGAATAAACTGATTCTCGGATTAATTTTGCTAAATATTATAACCTATTACTTCTTTCAGAATCGAGATTTAAGAGACGCGAACTCGATTCGAATCTGGGAAAGTTATTTCTAATTGCTACTAGGTCTTATAGTTTCGTAAGTGGAAAAGGCAACAACAAACAATTTTATGTTCAATGTAGTATTAAAAGAATAAATGATGATTCTCTATTTACCATCACGTGCCACAATACTTGTAATTTGAAATATTTCATGTTTTACCGGCATTATATCCTGCAGCTTAAACATACATCTGCCAAACATTTTTCTCAATACTATATATGCGTCATTTTACTTACCTTTCGCAACTGTCATCAATACGTTCGTATGGATAAATTGAAATTATAAAAATATCTCTCGTGAACAGAATTATGACGCCATCACGTTAAACATATAAATCAAAGCAAGCTTTCCTTGGGATTTTCCCGCAGTTATACGTCAGTTGTCACAATTAACTGGCCTGAGGGTAACGATGAGTCCTCGACCGAGTTGACGGCAGGTTTCGTGAGAGAGGAAATCATTAAACAATATACCATGATGGCGGCTAGTACCTTCGACGTGGAGAACAGAAATAATGATAGTAAGGTAAGACCTTATCACAGTGATTTGAATATAATAATACCATTTCCAACTATCCAACTTGTCCCAGTTTTCCACACCACGTTCATTTACATAAATCAGAGATGATGTAATCACAGCTGTGCGCACTGAATTATGTAACGATATAAAGAGACAAGGTTCATTCCACGTTTCCTCTAAGCATAAACATATTAAAAGCTTATCTATATGTGTCATTTCTTAAAATAAATTATAGGATATGAAGCGGAGAACAATTTTTAGCATTTTCTACCAAATTCACTTGCTATAATAATACACTGTATATGGTATCTTATTTTGTTTACTACTACTGATACACATATCACATACATTGTTGATGGCCGAAGCTATGACACATGTTTGTGTGCCCGGGAGCTACCTGTCCTAAATTTAGTCTATTTTCTTACGTGCACATTTCTGTGATGATGTTACCATGCAAGTATTGTCTTATACGAGAAAACACTGTGGTGGGAAATTACTTACTCACCGATTCTGTAATTCATATTTTAGGTCTAGAAATGTATGGTATAATAGGCTAGATTCGACGAAAGCATCGCTTCAATTTCGCCGAATTTAATACTTGACTACATTTGACATATCCAAAAAATTCATACATATATATATCTTGTAAATATAATTATATCATGTTCTATGTATATAAGGTAATTTATCTCTTGATAAAAAGGCAGATTGCCTCACTCGTCCCTACTGTCGATATTACTTCATTGATCATATAGCTATTTCAGCAATACGCATCCAACAAACATTTGTTTGTTAAGATCCAGCACCAATATTGGACCATACCGTCGATATATATAAATCAAGCATGCATGCATGCACAAAAATGTGGGGTCTCCATGGCTTCAGATGAACTTTTCATACACAGCTCATACAAGAACATAGTTCTTATATTCTTATAGTCATATTAATATACCAGAGATTTTTAAGGAATGTTGCATTAACAATTCATATGTAGTCGTTATGTTTATACACAGACAATAATAATCAATAATAGTAAATAATCGTGTTTTAACAAGTGAAACCATTAATATTCTATATATTTCATCAATAACAGTCAAATATCAGTTAAAGATTTTTGTGAATAACATCATTCTGTATTTAAAAAAATGAAAAATACCAACATGTTAACAATCATTAACCAAGTCAAATTCCATAAAACTAGGACAAAAACATCAGGAACATACAAACATGACAACATAATCATAATTCAAACTCAAATTTCGTACTACACTAAGGCAAAATATTAACAACATAAAAGATTACACAGAGACTCCTGAAAACATACAAGGTGAATAATACCCTGCAATCCGGAAGAGTAAGCGTCTTCTGCTTCATCGATGACACCCGTCATGCAAACAAAATTATCAACAACGGAACCAACAGGCAAACTTACGATCACCAAAATACGTCCAGCTTATGTCGCACAAAGAAATTGAATATTTCTCAATAAGATCACTATAACAGCCATAAAACTTCAAAATAATTTTCCTAAACCTGCATTGTTTGAACCCTTACGTTACGAGTTCGTCGGTTTGTCGACGACGTCTTGCACGAAAATCGTAATAATTGGAACAGACTTTTGAATATCGAATCAACTGTGACATGTAAATACCATAGGTTGGAGATGCAGGGATATTTATATCCACAAACGGACAGATTAACAAGGAGACTCCAGTAAAAGTCGATGGAGACTAAGATAATGTGTTCTGGAATATTAAGAGTCGACGCCCGCCATGTAAACCTTGGTCAATCCAAGTAAGTGATGTAACGTTTTCAAATGAGAACAAAGTATCAACAACAGAACCAACAGGCAACCTAACGAGCATCCAACACGCCAGCTTCTTATCACACAAAGAAATAGAATAATTCTCATCGAGATTACTATAGCGATCAAAGAACTTCCCTAAAATCTTAATCAACTTTTCGAAGGCCTGTTTTACGAGTTTGTCTTTCAGTTGACGACTTCTTCCACAAAAATCGTATTAATAGGACAGAACAACATATATCGAGTCAACTATGACATGTAAATACCGTAGGTTGGGGATGCAGGAATAGTTTGATCAAGAAATGGAAAATTCACATTAGGGAAATTAGCACGTTTATAATACAGCTTTGCGGAAAGTTGGTTTCGTTGTAGGAAAAGATCGAGATGTGCAGATGACGATTATGTTGTGTCTTTATATACGATGGACGTGGTCAATAATTTTCTTGTTAGACATCATCAACATACATATATGAAAGTGATATTAAACGACTATGTGTCCTGTTTTGATAAGCTCTTCATTAAAATTCGGCCTCGTATGGAAACTAAAACAAGTCAGCCAACAGAGGGGCACAATGAGTTCCCATATATGGCAATAATCTATTGGAGGAAAATCTTGCCACCAAACTCGACGAAGATGTTGTAAACCAGAAACTCGATCATTTTATGATTTTGTCTTCTGTATATTTCTTCTTCGATAAAAGATAAAAGAAGTCAATTCTGCTAGCTTCATTACTGATATTTTTCCATTGTCATGTTAAGTGTTGTATTTTGCTTATTTATTTCAGATCTGTAAAATTAGAATAAAACAACAGAGAAGAGTTTCTCAATTCTCAAATCCAGTTAATCATTTTCCATGCAATTCCATCCACCGTTGTTCTTTCTCATGCTAAATTATATCTTTAAAGATCGCATAGACACGGAAGTCCCTTTATTCCTATTGTGTGACAAAATAAATGCAGTTCTTAACGTACACTGATTCAGCAAATTCATTAATTTACACGTGTATCATCTGATTTCATGTCTACAGGAAATCGAAGAAAGGAAAGGCAACAGATGTACATTCATTTTTCTCTTCATTTTCAAAGTCATCCTGTTTTTCGCATTCCTCTACTTGTTCATCTGCTCTTTGGACTTTCTTAGCTCTGCATTCAGACTCCTTGGCGGTAAGTGCATATTGTTTAAGCTGGCATGTCCGGTGGGTTATTTATGCTACTTCATTGTTTCGTCATATTACCTCGAAAGGACATTATTTTTTTTTATTCTCGCTAATCTATCATATGCTGTCCGAACGAGAATAAAGAAACATTAAAAATTCATAGAGAAAGGACAATAATAAAGTTAACGTGAAGGGATGTAATTTTATGAAAAAGGAAGAGTTTACTTACATCTTCGTTTTTTTTGCTTAATAACTGCCGTCCTTTCACTCCGAAAGGAGGTAAAGAGATGGGTCAAATGTCGTCCTTTCTGGCGAGAGAACGAAAGATAAAATGGTACAAATCAGCCAGCGTGTGTATGGGCAGGCATAGGTCAAAACATACTCTAATCGTCTTATATGTAGTAGTGATTGGACATCCCAACAGCAATCGTGACGCGGGGACGTTCAATTAGGTGGCCAGTTTCTATAATCAAAAGGCAGTGAAAATTTAAAATGATTATAGCACTCTCTTATTGAATTTGTAAAATCGTGACGTAAAAAGGATGGTTAAAACTGCAGAACCAAGGTCCTAAATGAAAATTGTCAATTAAGATTGGATCCAACATTAACAAAACATTGAAAATTGCTTGAAAGCAGTTCCCTTGCTTACTGTAGTCTTTCACATTTTGTTTATTTTCAGTTACCTGGAATGATTTCGAGTGTTTGACAGTAGGCTTGTTATCGCAATTTCTTTAGAATCCTTGATCTCTTGAGGAGATGACATACTTTATAGGATGATCAGAATACAAAATGGCCTTCAAGTGGTCATCTTGGATTTTGAAAGTGACTTAACAAAGAATTTCAAACATGACAAATAGTTTCTGAAATGTTTTCAATATTAGGTCACTGCCGTGCGGTCAAACAGATGTCAGATTCACTATTCATAGAAAATTGCTTCAGACAAAAGTTGAACAATATCAATGCAAAGAAGGATTTCTAAGAACCTACATTTCCCCAAACTGGCCCCACCACCCCCACCCCTGGGGGCTAGGATCCACTTTTTATACAGAAATGATTCCCTTCACCAAAGAATACTTCAGACCATATTTGGGCAAAATCCAATCATTCCTACCGGATTTGCTCTATTTCCACTATCGGGCCTCATCCCTCCCATCCTCTCGCCCTTGCTTTTGTTTAGCGATGTTTCCTGTCAGCGAAAAAAAATAGGACTTATGTAGATCATCGATAAAGGGTGTCAGATTTATTTATGGTGTTAGTCTATATACTTATCACCTTTTCGTTGTTACCCTGTTCCTGCTGGTTTTCCATTGTTTGATATAACATAATTTCCCATGCTTAAATATATTTCCCAAATCCTAATCCGTGAATTTTAATGTTCTGAGTGTTGCTACTATACAGAATAAGTTGAGTATTCGCTCAAGATGAAAAAAAGAATTTGAAACAATAAAGAAAATAGAAATAAGTAATGAACACAAAACACCGGAGACAAAACAATGTGTTGCAGATAAGTGAGGTTTTCTACAGCAATTTCACCAATTAAGTCTAACCGGATGCTCTAATTACAGGCAAGGCGGCTGGACAAGTTTTCCGAAACAATGTGATCCTGCGAAACCCCGTTGCTGGCCTGATGATTGGCGTGCTAGCTACAGTCTTGGTGCAGAGTTCCTCCACCAGCACGTCTATCGTTGTATCACTTGTAGGAGCTGGACGTACGTAATATGTATTCTAAACAACAACTTGCATACGTAATGTTTTGGTAGAGTGTGAAGTAGACTTCTTTGATAGGTAATACGCATAAATGACCACGTGTTTTGCAACCAAAGGTCGCCAGTAGGAACGTGAGGCAAAACATGGAACAATGGCAATATAGTAAAAGATAAGAAAAGACTTCTTCTTCAAAACCCTCAAGACAGGGAAGTTTTCATACAAATTCAAGCATTATACTGTTATACTAATAAAAGTATAATTTACTTTGAATGTGAAATAATTCATATTATGATTATGTAAAGGATCAAATTTATCATAACTAAAACCATATTGTGCGTAATTGAGTGAAAATATATTTACATACATATCTATATGTATATTTGTGTCTCGGCAGTGTTGGAAGTTAAAACAGCTATTCCTATCGTGATGGGCGCTAACATCGGTACATCAGTCACTAACACCATTGTAGCCCTGGGACAGATAACGAGCAGGAAGGAGTTTCGCCGAGCCTTTGCTGGGGCCACTGTCCATGATATGTTCAATTGGATGACCGTTATTGTTTTCTTGCCATTGGAAGTCATTACAGGTAAGAAATAATGTCTAACCATTTAAAAGAGTAAGAAAGAGGAGATAATGGGTCAAAATGTTGACGGGCAAAATAGAATAGCACTCCGACCTCCATTTACTTCCGCCATTCACACTATAAAAGCATCTATTCACTAACACATTTACTGCCCGAAGTAACAATTTGAATGTCTGTCCCAGTACAGGACTGGTGTTTTGATAACTTTTAGTCATTTGTTCGTACTCTCTGAGAGAACATATAGTCACCACCTTGTCCGTCCGTTCATCCTATACATTGATCATACACAGACAATGTGCATAGTACCAAATTCGGGACCGCAAGCCAGCCCTTAATTAAAAAGTTATTAACCTAAAACTTTGTGTCTCGAGCAAAACTTTAAATCGCTTGCTTTTGAATTATGAGTTTTTGCCATTTGTTAAAAATATCTTATCCAAGGCATACAGTTGCTTGCACTTAAAGTAGGGTAATGAGCCTTGGAGTATACATCGGTCATACGAAGACAATACACAGTATACTAATGGTAGGGCCTGCACACCCTTAATTACAGAGTTATTTCCCTTCGTTAATTTGTTGTTGTCTAGAGCATTACTTTGCCTGCATTCAAACTAGGATAGTGAAAGGTGATATATACATCAGCCATACCAAAGAAAGGTGCAGTGAAGCAAAGTCAGGGTCCATGACCCCTCAGTAAGCGTTATTGTCCTTAGTTATACTTTTGTGTCCTAAGAATAGCTTTGCTTGCATTCAAACTAGGAGAATGAAACTTGATGTATACGTTGATCATACTCGGAGAATGTGCCGTATACCAACTTCAAAGCCTGTAACCCCTAAATTACAGAATTATTGGCCTTTGGAAAAAAATTGTGTTCAATTGAGTCGTTTTCGGGGAGCATTCATCAGTTCTACTGATACTAGTTTTTATTTTTTTGCAAAATTCGGCGAAAGAACGATTGGTTAGTTCGGAAATTATCATTCTCACCATACCTTGTATTTATGTAATTGTATTGATGGAGGCGCCAATATGCTGTACTACGTATTAGTCATTTACGCATTTATATGAACATGAGGTCGCATCAACAACGATATTTGAAAATATACTGAACGATAAATCTATTTTTAATTCAGCGGTGTTACATTTCTGTTTATTTCAGGCTATCTATTCCATTTGTCAGAAGTAACGGTAAACAGTTTAGCATTAGAGGCATACGCTGATGGAAAGAAAGACTTCCTAAAAGTGATAACCAAGCCATTCACTAAGCGAATCATTCAGGTATTGTAATTTAATCAAAGAATTATATCATTCCTTGGATTAATGCGTCCAGTTTTGATTTTCCTCAGTTGCCCTTAGCATCACTGATGAACCTTCGAATGACAAAATGACAGAGTCCTAATTATGTCCTACCTAAGGTATGTTTTCTTGACAGAGACCTCAGTGTGTCCTATCCAAGGTATGCTTTATTGACGGAGTCCTAATTATGTCCTACCTATGGTATGTTTATTGACAAAGTCCTAATTATGTCCTACCTAAGGTATGTTTATTGACAGAGTCCTAATTATGTCCTACCTAAGGTATGTTTAATTGGCAGAGACCTCAATATGTCCTACCTAAGGTATGTTTAATTGGCAGAGACCTAATTATGTCCTAACTAAGTACATTTTATTGACAGAGACCTAATTATGTCCTACCTAAGGTATGTTTATTGACAAAGTCCTAATTATGTCCTACCTATGGTATGTTTATTGACAAAGTCCTAATTATGTCCTACCTATGGTATGTTTATTGACAAAGTCCTAATTATGTCCTACCTAAGGTATGTTTATTGACAGAGTCCTAATTATGTCCTACCTAAGGTATGTTTAATTGACAGAGACCTCAATATGTCCTACCTAAGGTATGTTTAATTGACAGAGACCTAATTATGTCCTACCTAAGGTATGTTTTATTGACAGAGACCTCAGTGTGTCCTACCTAAGGTATGTTTTATTGACAGAGACCTCAGTGTGTCCTAACTAAGGTACATTTTATTGACGGAGACCTAATTATGTCCTACCTAAGGTATGTTTTATTGACAGAGACCTCAGTGTGTCCTAACTAAGGTACATTTTATTGACGGAGACCTAATTATGTCCTACCTAAGGTATGTTTTATTGACAGAGACCTCAGTGTGTCCTAACTAAGGTACATTTTATTGACGGAGACCTAATTATGTCCTACCTAAGGTATGTTTTATTGACAGAGACCTCAGTGTGTCCTAACTAAGGTACATTTTATTGACAGAGTCCTAATTATGTCCTAACTAAGGTACATTTTATTGACGGAGACCTAATTATGTCCTACCTAAGGTATGTTTTATTGACAGAGACCTCAGTGTGTCCTACCTAAGGTATGTTTTATTGACAGAGACCTCAGTGTGTCCTAACTAAGGTACATTTTATTGACGGAGACCTAATTATGTCCTACCTAAGGTATGTTTTATTGACAGAGACCTCAGTGTGTCCTAACTAAGGTACATTTTATTGACGGAGACCTAATTATGTCCTACCTAAGGTATGTTTTATTGACAGACACCTCAGTGTGTCCTAACTAAGGTACATTTTATTGACAGAGTCCTAATTATGTCCTACCTAAGGTATGTTTAATTGGCAGAGACCTCAATATGTCCTACCTAAGGTATGTTTAATTGGCAGAGACCTAATTATGTCCTACCTAAGGTATGTTTTATTGACAGACACCTCAGTGTGTCCTAACTAAGGTACATTTTATTGACAGAGACCTCAGTGTGTCCTAACCAAGGTACATTTTATTGACAGAGTCCTAATTATGTCCTACCTAAGGTATGTTTTATTGACAGAGACCTCAGTGTGTCCTAACTAAGGTACATTTTATTGACGGAGACCTAATTATGTCCTACCTAAGGTATGTTTTATTGACAGAGACCTCAGTGTGTCCTAACTAAGGTACATTTTATTGACGGAGACCTAATTATGTCCTACCTAAGGTATGTTTTATTGACAGAGACCTCAGTGTGTCCTAACTAAGGTACATTTTATTGACAGAGTCCTAATTATGTCCTAACTAAGGTACATTTTATTGACGGAGACCTAATTATGTCCTAACTAAGGTACATTTTATTGACAGAGACCTCAGTGTGTCCTAACTAAGGTACATTTTATTGACAGAGTCCTAATTATGTCCTAACTAAGGTACATTTTATTGACGGAGACCTAATTATGTCCTAACTAAGGTACATTTTATTGACAGAGACCTCAGTGTGTCCTAACCAAGGTACATTTTATTGACAGAGTCCTAATTATGTCCTAACTAAGGTACATTTTATTGACGGAGACCTAATTATGTCCTAACTAAGGTATGTTTTATTGACAGAGACCTCAATGTGTCCTAACCAAGGTATGCTTTATTGACGGAGTCCTAATTATGTCCTAACTAAGGTATGTTGTATTGACGGAGACCTAATTATGTCCTAACTAAGGTATGTTGTATTGACGGAGACCTAATTATGTCCTAACTAAGGTATGTTTCATTGACAGAGACCTAATTGTGTCCTAGCTAAGGTATGTTTCATTGACAGAGACCTAATTGTGTCCTAGCTAAGGTATGTTTATTGAGAGAGTCCTAATTATGTCCTACCCAAGGTATGTTTATTGACAGAGTCCTAATTATGTCCTAACTAAGGTACATTTTATTGACAGAGACCTCAGTGTGTCCTACCTAAGGTATGTTTTATTGACAGAGACCTCAGTGTGTCCTACCTAAGGTATGTTTATTGACAGAGTCCTAATTATGTCCTAACTAAGGTACATTTTATTGACGGAGACCTAATTATGTCCTACCTAAGGTATGTTTTATTGACAGAGACATCAATGTGTCCTAACCAAGGTACATTTTATTGACAGAGTCCTAATTATGTCCTAACTAAGGTACATTTTATTGACAGAGACCTCAGTGTGTCCTAACTAAGGTACATTTTATTGACGGAGACCTAATTATGTCCTACCTAAGGTATGTTTTATTGACAGAGACCTCAGTGTATCCTAACCAAGGTATGCTTTATTGACGGAGTCCTAATTATGTCCTAACTAAGGTATGTTTTCTGGCAGAGACCTAATTATGTCCTAACTAAGGTATGTTGTATTGACGGAGACCTAATTATGTCCTAACTAAGGTATGTTTCATTGACAGAGACCTAATTGTGTCCTAGCTAAGGTATGTTTCATTGACAGAGACCTAATTGTGTCCTAGCTAAGGTATGTTTTCTTGATAGAGACCTCAAAGTGTCCTAACCAAGGTATGTTACATTGACAGAGAACTAATTGTGTTTAACTAAGGTTTGTTTTCTTGACAGAGACCTCAATGTCTTTCACTAAGGTACGTTCATTGACAGAGACCTAAATGTGTCCTAGCTAGGGTATGTTTAAATCTGCGGTGCAATCTGTTGCAGGTCGACAAGAAAGGAATCCAAAAAATTGCACAAAACCAAGATGTTGACTCTTTGTTGAAAATTTGCTGCAAGTCAAAAACTCTCAAGAACGTTAATGAAACATTTACGAACGGGACAAGCTACGTATTATCATCTAAAAAGATATGTGTGCAGGAATGTAAGTACATGCTATCAAAGCAAAAATTTTACTTTTTTAAAACTGAGATATTGTAGTATTTTTGTAGAAATTTCAGACAAGAAGAATCTTAGTGTTTTTTGGTGTCATAGGAAATTATTAACATTTCCATTACTTAAAAATGAACCTGAATTTATTTGATTTTTTCATTTATATATTTACAGGCGAGTATATTTTTAAGGACACCACACTAAGTGATAGTGAAATCGGGGGCATCCTACTTGTAGCCTCTCTAGTTCTACTTTGTGTATGCCTGTTTTTAATCGTCAAGCTACTGAATTCAATGCTACAAGGCAAAATACGGAAAGCTATCAAGAGATTCATCAATTATGAGTTTCCCGGGAAGTGCGGCTACTTTACCGGATACCTCGCTATCATTGTCGGCTGTGGTCTAACTATCCTAGTGCAATCCAGTTCTATTTTCACATCCACCATGACGCCGCTTGTCGGTGTAGGAGTTGTCCGTCTCGAAAGAATGTACCCACTCACGTTAGGATCAAATATAGGAACCACCACGACGGGAATACTAGCAGCTCTTGCACAAGATGCGGACAAGATGAGAAACCCTTTACAAGTAGCATTCTGTCACCTTTTCTTCAATATCTCTGGGATTCTCATGTTTTATCCATTACCGTTTTTGAGATTTCCGATACCCTTAGCTAAATTCTTGGGTAAAGAAACGTCAAAATATCGATGGTTTTCCATAATGTACTTGGTCTGTATGTTCTTCTTACTTCCTCTTCTAGTATTTGCTTTGTCACTCGCTGGATGGGAGGTAATGGCGGGTGTTCTTATCCCGATAGGCACTTTTATTGTTATAATCGTTACAATCAAAATCATACAAGCAAAAAAACCATCCATTCTACCAATGAAACTCCAGAACTGGAAATTCTTGCCAATTTGTTGTCGATCGCTGGAACCTGTCGATAGAGTGATGAGTATGTGTTGTTGTGAAAAATGCACTTCTCTGAATGAAGATACTGATTCCGAGACCGAGGGAAATACGCCGGAAACGAAGGTCAATCAAAGTAAGGACCGCGAGGTCACACATATATAATCAACGCTAAGACAACCAAAGAAATAGTAAACTGTGCTGAGAGCAGCTTATAAGTCTTTATAGTTAGCACTATCTGTGCACGCAAAATTGTATATGACTTACTAAGTCGAAGGGGGCTTCATTTTAGTCTCTGTTGTGGTTACACAAAGAAAGAAATCCCAAACAGTTCGCACCCTTCACTGTGGGGATTACAACATCAAAAAAGAAATTTTATTGATTTTCTTCAATCGTCTTATCAAAATTTAAAGATATTTGTACGCCAAACCCATTTTACTAGAAAAGTGAAAGGTCGAGGTGTTTGCTTACACTACGCTAGCCGATATAAATACATTGAAACTTTAGGAAATTTGCTTAAGTTTGCATGTAAGTTTTTAAATAGTTTTGCAAACATTTTAATTCTAATTAAAAATGACAACCAGACTGAGAATCTTTTATCCGTCGTTAAGTACCTGCTGCAATAGATAACTTCATTTCTGTTCCCGAAAGTCGCGAAAGTAATTTCACGCTCCGATGCCTATATATGGATCTCTGACGCGGCTATATATGTTTGTTGAACGATTCTGTCGTAAAAAGGAAAAAAAAAACTAAATCCGTAACATGCTCATGTTTAAACGATGCACTTAGGAACCATCCGGATCTGTATAGCTGTGTACTAAGGCATTTTAAAGTTTTTTTTACAACTAGAACAAATGCTCCACTTGCTTTCAATATGTGTGCATTACTCGTCTACTCACTTCAGTGAAGTTTTGGTAAACAAGGTGTGTACAGATCGGGTCTTAGATACGCGTATGTAGTCATGATTGAAAACTAGATTATATACTTTTTAAAATGTGGTTTCTATGGAATACCTGGACGACATGACAATTCGTACTTTCAATTTGTCACTTGCCACTTTGTATTCTCCATCAGTCATTTGCTACTTTCCCCTTAAAGTTTGTACTTCCCATTAATTATTTTCTGCTTCCAACTTGTCAGATTGTACTCTCCTATTGTCATTTTCTACTTCCAACTTGTCAGATTGTACTCTCCTATTGTCATTTTCTACTTCCAACTTGTCAGATTGTACTCTCCTATTGTCATTTTCTACTTCCAACTTGTCAGATTGTACTCTCCTATTGTCATTTTCTACTTCCAACTTGTCAGATTGTACTCTCCTATTGTCATTTGGTACTTCCAACTTGTCAGATTGTACTCTCCTATTGTCATTTGGTACTTCCAACTTGTCAGATTATACTCTCCTATTGTCATTTTCTACTTCCAACTTGTCAGATTGTACTCTCCTATTGTCATTTTCTACTTCCAACTTGTCAGACTGTACTCTCCTATTGTCATTTGCTAGTTCCAACTTGTCAGATTGTACTCTCCTATTGTCATTTTCTACTTCCAACTTGTCAGACTGTACTCTCCTATTGTCATTTGGTACTTCCAACTTGTCAGATTGTACTCTCCTATTGTCATTTTCTACTTCCAACTTGTCAGATTGTACTCTCCTATTGTCATTTGCTACTTCCAACTTGTCAGATTGTACTCTCCTATTGTCATTTTCTACTTCCAACTTGTCAGACTGTACTCTCCTATTGTCATTTGGTACTTCCAACTTGTCAGATTGTACTCTCCTATTGTCATTTTCTACTTCCAACTTGTCAGATTATACTCTCCTATTGTCATTTTCTACTTCCAACTTGTCAGATTGTACTCTCCTATTGTCATTTTCTACTTCCAACTTGTCAGATTATACTCTCCTATTATCATTTGGTACTTCCAACTTGTCAGATTGTACTCTCCTATTGTCATTTGGTACTTCCAACTTGTCAGATTGTACTCTCCTATTGTCATTTTCTACTTCCAACTTGTCAGACTGTACTCTCCTATTGTCATTTGGTACTTCCAACTTGTCAGATTGTACTCTCCTATTGTCATTTTCTACTTCCAACTTGTCAGATTATACTCTCCTATTGTCATTTTCTACTTCCAACTTGTCAGATTGTACTCTCCTATTGTCATTTTCTACTTCCAACTTGTCAGATTGTACTCTCCTATTGTCATTTGGTACTTCCAACTTGTCAGATTGTACTCTCCTATTGTCATTTGGTACTTCCAACTTGTCAGATTGTACTCTCCTATTGTCATTTGGTACTTCCAACTTGTCAGATTGTACTCTCCTATTGTCATTTGGTACTTCCAACTTGTCAGATTGTACTCTCCTATTGTCATTTTCTACTTCCAACTTGTCAGATTGTACTCTCCTATTATCATTTGGTACTTCCAACTTGTCAGATTGTACTCTCCTATCGTCATTTGGTATTTCCAACTTGTCAAATTGTACTCTCCTATTGTCATTTGGTACTTCCAACTTGTCAGACTGTACTCTCCTATTGTCATTTGCTACTTGTCATTTTAGGCACCAAATGACTGATTATCAATGAACCATGAAACAATACAAAAATAAATAAAAAATTAATTTATCCTTTGATACCTGACATTTGATATTTACCAATTGCTGTTTTATCACTTAATACAATTTGTCATTTAATATGGCAAGCCAACTATTCAAAGTGCAATGTCAATCTTCTGTTTCACCGAATTATACAAGATATGTATATAGTATGAGGTATCGCACATCACATATGAGATATATATTTAATAAGATCAAAAGATATATATAAATAATTGAAATTTTGTTTCTATCGGAGATAAAATTTATGAGAGTTCATGGGATGGAAAATGAAAAATTAGACTCTCCCAGAATCATTTGTTGTGTTAAGGAATATGCACTCAATAGTGAAAGGAACATACTGCTCCACTCTGTTGAGAAATGTCCTGGGTAATGGTTCTTCAGAATGCATTATTGGTATATAGAACAATCGATTTCCATGTTTGTCCAAAAACATATTCAACTATATACCTATATAAATGGTACTTGAGAAATTTAAGTTTGACAAAGTCTTGTTCCTATATCAGACATCCTATATGAGATGAAACCTTGTAGTATATAAGATATTTTATATATACTATATAGCATATCTTCCATAATTGAAATATATGATATGAACCAGCACTGCTCCTCAAATAAATAACAAGATAACTCAAAGCATGATTTTATACCCCGCACCCCCTGTTTGAATGAAAGACACACAATCATAAATATGTATGTTCATAATAAAAGTTTAATTTCTCTTTGTTATTTTTAATTGTTCCATGCAAGGTACTGAAATGGAGAATTTCTACCACTAGAGTACTAGCTTGATGCCTGTATGAAGCCTAGAGTACCTTGAATGGTTTAAGAGAACTGGTCTGAAAAAACTGAACTTAATGATAAGGCCAATATGTTTCCATGGTAACAGAAAAAATTTAACTAGGGCACTAACCTAATATATACAGAAAATTTTGTGGAGTTGAGTGGAATGGTTTCGAAGTTGTACCCAGGAAAAGAAAGTTAACACTTATTTTGTGTTCTTTTGACTACCATATGTTTCCATGGTAACAGAAAAAATATAAAAAATGAAATGTCATAAATAGCAAAAAGCACAACTAGGGACTAACCTAACTCCATATATATAGAAAGTTTTGCTGAGTTGAGCTGAACGATTTTGAAATTTTAGCCCAGAAAGGAAAGTAAACCCTAATTTTGTGTTTTTTGGCTATGTTTCCATGGTAACAGAAAAAATATAAAAAAATAAAATGTCATCAATAGCAAAAGACACAGCTAGGACACTAACATAATATATACAGAAAGTTTTGTGAAGTTTTGAAGTGATAGCCTGGAAAAGCCCTCAGACAGACAGACAGATGGACAGATGCACACACAGACCCCAGATTAATATCCCCATCAAAAGTGTTTCACGAGGGATTATAAGTCATCATAACATAATTAAGCATATTTACTTGTTCAAATTTAGCCCACAATCAGATGAAAGAACGCTTTTACTATTTCTTATGAAGTGCTACATGGACCTTTCTAAAATTTCAATTTGGTTCCTCTTGGTCCCTAGTTGTGCCTGTTTGATTTTGGGACCTATCAAGAAAACAAAATAAATGACCAACTGCCTGCCATCTTAAAAGAATGTCTGTTATTGCTATTTCTTAAGAAGTGTTGGAAGGACCTTTCCCTAGCTTCATGTGTAGTTGCCTCTTTGTCCCCAGCTATGCCCTTTTCATTTTGAGGCTAATTATGAAAACAAAATGGCTGACAAAAACATTGGTTGAAAACTGTGGAAGGAAATCCCTGGACCTATGGACAGATGAACAATGCCATTCCATATGTGGGTCAAAATTTTTGAAAAGTGTCTAAAAATGACTGACACACTAATATCTTGGATTTGGCAATTTATGATTGTTATTGCTATTTCTTAAGATGAATTGAAAAATTTTATATATTGTACATGTAATTAAGAGCAAAATCAGAGGAAGGAAGTAAAAAGAAAGGAAAAGATCAAATTCAAAGAAATAAAGATGAAACGATGGTGAGTGCTAAAATCCCTCTGGAATCTTTTGTCTTTTCTTATAAAATACAATGAATCCAACTTTGCAATATGGACCTTCCCTAGAGAGAATTTTTGATGCCTATTAGGAATTGCCTATCTTTCATTCACCACATGTTTTTATTTTCAATAATATAAACATGGTTTTGCTTTGTTGTAATTAATTTACATATATTACTTTTTCATAAAGACTTGCACAAAATAAAATTGAAGCTATTTCTTTTCCATTCCGTCAGTTTGATTAGCACATACCCTTCAATATTATGTCATGAATCAAGATCATCCAAAAGTAAGAAAATTATCAAATTTGACACAGGGTCATTACAGCATGAAAAGAAAATGGGTTTTAACAATTTCTGAACAAATGCCAAAGTACTTCAAATTTCAAATACAAAGTAGAAAACTGAAAATTAGATACAGGTGGCATGTCATTTCAGGTACTCCATAGATTTGAGCACACATAATGCACCCCAACCTAAAGGTGAAATACAAATTACCAGTACAATAACACAATGACGATATCTCTGAATTTATTCTAGAAGGAGGCTGCTCAATTGTGTCTTCATAATGACCATTGGTAAATTTCTCAACCAATAGAATGTATTAATAAATAATGTTATGGTACATGTAAACAGGAAGTATTGTTAATGACCACTTCATACACATCAATGCTACAAAAACATTTATTGCACATATTCCTTTTATTTACCACTTCATACATCTTATTTATAAAGCTACATCTCCCTTTCTCACCACTATCATAACTATTTCAAGCTTTCAAACATAAATCTGTGTCTACAACACACACATATTAATTATTGAAATCATATGAATATGTAATGATTCAACACTTAGCACAACATTTTGATAATCTCTTTTTATGACCTACTCACCTTGATCTTCCCTGATATATATTTATGACAACAATTTCCATTTAGCTGCAATATCTGACAGGAAACTTGATATATATGTTACATCCCCTTACTTTTGTTTGGGTGTACAATAAAAAGTTATGCTCCCTGTTGTGAAAATTTCAGGATTCAGTTTTTCAATATGGATGAATATGTATTATAGCCTACCAGAACCTCTAATAAAGTGTGAGCTGTGAGGATTGTAATCGCAATTCTCTCTTGTGTGATTTTTCATAATACATATAGCATTGCATTTAATCTGGCTAGATCATAATGTCTCATGAAATGAATTATAAATCACAATACTTTTGTATGTAAACTGTCTGACTATTCCAGAACTAGGAAATTTAATTACTTTGATTTGTCTAATATAGACCTTACATACATTTATCTGTATTTCCATACAGGCAGAATGAAAATTTATTTGCAGTTGGAAATGCTCCACAATATATTGATTTTTATTCTTCAGGCCATACTTTATCAATCATAAATCAGTGTCATCACTCATTCTCTATTACAAAATTACTTGATCCCTTCAACACTGAAAAAAGTAGTAAATTGAAAACACTATTTCATGTTAGTAGGGCAAAATTATCAGTAATGGAATAATTTACAAAATGTAACCGAGCAATATACACAGTATACCAGGTATCAATCTAACTAGAATTGTACTTTTCCACTTCACAATGAGAATAGTGTAAAGGAACAGAATTTTAAGGTCCTACTGTATTTGTTTAGTCTCAAATTCTTTGTATCTGTATCTGAAATTTACCTGAAAGAAATTGAAATGAAAAACAAATTCATGAACTTGAAATATCAGACAGAGGCGTGTTGGATAAATACATTTTCAAACAAGTTCTACATGTATGCATCGATATTGAAATCTTAACAAATGAGTAACACAATTAAATAATTGTATTCTTACAAGAAAAACACCAAACTTTAATCTTGTGAACATCAATTACAGGTGAAGGCTTATTATATTTACAATAATGGATGATTCTATAACACATTTCCTGTCAACAAAAAGAGATGAACTGAAAGGAAGTAGTTTTGTACAATTGATTAAAAGCTTTGAAATATCGGATATGCTTCCTACAGGATCTTTTGTCATAATGTCACCTCACTTTTAGGTTAACAGACTTTATAGATCCCATCTAAGTATACTCAGCTTGTGTTGGAATGGCGCAGCAACATCTGCATAAACACACTGATCTTGTGTCTGAGCTACAGCTTAATTTTATATATACATGTACTACTGACCTATTGTCTATGCATGTGTTAAGCCACCTTGATATATTTGTCAGCATTGCCATATCATGGTGTAAGCCACCTTGATATATTTGTCAGCGTTGCCATATCATGGTGTAAGCCACCTTGATATATTTGTCAGCGTTGCCATATCATGGTGTAAGCCACCTTGATATATTTGTCAGCGTTGCCATATCATGGTGTAAGAGACCTTGATATATTTGTCAGTGTTGCCATATCATGGTGTAAGCCACCTTGATATATTTATCAGCATTGCCATATCATGGTGTAAGCCACCTTGATATATTTGTCAGCGTTGCCATATCATGGTGTAAGCCACCTTGATATATTTGTCAGTGTTGCCATATCATGGTGTAACCACCTTGATATATTTGTCAGCGTCACCATATCATGGTGTAAGCCACCTTGATATTTTTGTCAGCGTTGCCATATCATGGTGTAAGCCACCTTGATATATTTGTCAGCGTTGCCATATCATGGTGTAAGCCACCTTGATATATTTGTCAGCCTTGCCATATCATGGTGTAAGCCACCTTGATATATTTGTCAGCCTTGCCATATCATGGTGTAAGCCACCTTGATATATTTGTCAGTGTTGCCATATCACGGTGTAACCACCTTGATATATTTGTCAGCGTCGCCACATCATGGTGTAAGCCACCTTGATATATTTGTCAGCGTCGCCATATCATGGTGTATGTGACCTTGATATATTTGTCAGCGTCGCCATATCATGGTGTAAGCCACCTTGATATATTTGTCAGCGTCGCCATATCATGGTGTAAGCCCCACTTAAAGGTTGCACACTTTGAACTTTGACATGTATGTTTTTAATTTATTCATGTGTTTACATGTAACATGAATTTGAGACTTATGATAGAACAAGACTAAATATCATTATCTTTACTTTTGGCATTCTTGTCTTCCTTCACTGTTCTCTACTGCATTAGGAGGTAATGGTTCAGTTTTACTACATGTAAAGGCTATATATATTTAACTGCTGTTGTAGGGTGCTGTCCATCATCCCTGTACCTTATAAAGGTGTAAAAGCCCCTGACCTGTCATGTAGGGACATTATTTCTGTCACTTTATAGTAAAATAATAAGAAACACTAAAAGATGCATTACTCATTCCAAAGACACTAGTCCAAAACATAATGTATTTCATATTGACAATGTACTTACATGCTGGCATTGCACTGACTTCTGCTGTCACCACACAATTAATTCCAAGGTTGGACAATGCTCCTCTTATCATCCCACATGGAAAGGCCAAGTACTAAGGAAACAGAAATCCTAGGTACTCAGAAATCATTGCATCCTTTGTTTTTGTTTTTACTTGGAATTCCTTGCTTGTTAAGTGATTAGAAAAAATTGCTCAAACAAAAGTTCTAGTTGAAATCTTATTACCAGTAATAATTTTAGAACCTGACATCAGTCTCAGCAACAGAATAAACATGCCGTCTTTAGCAAGGAATTTCCATTTCAATATAAATTTTATGAATAACTATTCCAATATACGTACATACTAACTTATGTTTGTTTGCAGGAAAATGAATCACAGTGTTGTACATAAATACATATTTCAGTAAAGTATTTCCTGGTAGATACAGACTACTACCTTATTCAAATTCATCTTCAAAAATAGAGAACACATGGTCAGTGGCCTAAAAATGTATTATTCTATTTATCCTGCAACAACTTCCACAGGCTGTTTTGGCTATTCGATCTTTGTTTACCTGACATTGATGAAGAGAATGTATTTAATGTTAATGTCTTACGTTTACCTTACAACTCATGAAAATTTCAAATATGTAAAATAAATTGTTCAATATGTTACAGTTCCTGTTCTGGTTTTTTTTTTAAATTCAGATTATCAAAATTTCCACAGGCTGTTTGGGCTATTCAATCTTTGTTTACCTGACACTGATGAAGAGAATGTATTTAATGTTAATGTCTTACGTTTACCTTACAACTCATGAAAATTTCAAATATGTAAAATAAATTGTTCAATATGTTACAGTTCCTGTTCTGGTTTTTTTAAAAATTCAGATTATCAAAATTTCCACAGGCTTTTTGGGCTATTCAATCTTTGTTTACCTAACATTGATGTTTCACTGAATCATGCCTTATGACGCATGTCAGAATAATTGCTATGTAAAGAAATAGAGTTTGCACACATCAAAGGATAAATAAAAATCAATCTTCCAGATTTCTGAAGATAAGTTGTTTTTTTACAACAAAAGTTACAGAAACTAGAAATAGGGATAGGTTAAAACTGACTGATGATAAACGAATATCAAAATAACTGGATTGATATTATCATGACATATTTGTTATGTGCTATATACCCACGTTTATCAGAGAATGTATCTAATGTTAATGTCTTACGTTTACCTTACAACTCATGAAAACTGTAAATATGTAAAATAAATTCTTCAATATGTAACAGTTCCTGTTCACTGAGACACCTTTTTTTCACAGGCATGAAATGAATTGAAGATACATTGTATAGAATCATCCGACATACATTTCATTAAATAGTACTTCATTTCCAATAACATAGCCTGGCTTGAGACTTGACTGTGTATGTAGTGTATATAAAAACTGCCTGTAAGTACATGTATCCCACCTTGCTTTATGTTTGGTAGTCGAGAAGCCAATTTGTTCATTATATTTATGAATATAAAAAATAATATTTTTTGATTAATTTGCAATTGATAGTAATACATTATGTTCAAGCAGACACTGACTACATTGATAAACTGTAATATCCATACTACAAAAACACTCATGGTGATATATGTAAACCAGAACAATCTGATCAGTCCTAGATTAGTGTTGCTTTACATCATGTTAACAGCCAGGGTCATTTAAGGATGTGACAGGTTTAGGTGATGGATGAAAGCCAGAGTTCCCGGAGAAAAACCACCAACCTAAGTCTGCAGCCTGGGGATTGCCCCACACCAACAAACCTCAAACCCACGGCTCAGAGATTGGGAGCTATTGATAAAGGTAGTTTAACTCATCAACCCTAGAGCCTGGTGTAGTAATACTATGGGGTAAATATGGACTTGGGTAACAATACGTGCCTCCAATACAAGGGCATGAAAATAAACAAAAATTCTTTCATATTTTATCCAAGGCAGGATACTCCTTTTCCTTGTGGAGCTACAATTTCCATACTTTATTAACCTTCTGAAAGTAATATCTAAAACAGAATATCCTTTACCTTTGGTGCAGCATCCATATACTGTTTCCCACTAGATATCTGTGTAAGGAACCTAAATTTGTTGTCTTGAAGAACATACACACCCTAAAACAAAATTATCACTCATGATAGTACATATTTATTGTCATTACATGCAATGGTATATTTGAAGGTAAAGAAATGACAAAAGTCTTATTTAATTATTTTTCTTGATGCCTCATTTAGAATATGTAGTGTAAAATTCAAAAATAAACAAAGGACATCAAGATTTTAGTAACAAGTATGTATGAGAAGGGAGATAATTCTGTAATATCACCTGGTGATTTGTCCTCAGGTTGTCCACTTGCTTCTTGTAAACTGAATTCCAAAAGTCTTTACAAATAAATTTCATTGTATCAAGCTCATCTTTGAATCTTGAACAGTCTTTTGTGAATCTGAAAAAAAATGATTTCAAACCTTTAAAATCAGTATCAAGATTTGAATAACCTTCATGAAAATACAAACATACATTTATGTACATTTTCCTTGATCATAAGATTTATTGACAAAATTTCATTCTCAACATGTGCACTACCAAACCCAGATGTAGTAATCAACAATGTAACTGTAACTTTCCAAAGTCTTACCAGATTCTGTATCAGTACTGTTTTAAATTGGATGATATACAATGCCAAAAAATAGCCACTGAGTCTTGTATAAAGTGGTGTGCAAATGTAAGCGACTAATTTGATGACACACTGGAATATGTAAGAAATCTGTGAATCAACTGAATTATTCTAGATTTAAAAAAATTAATCATCAAAAAGAAAAAGTAACATGATAAATTACAGGCATATGACATCACCCTATTTTTAATTAAGTACTAAACTATAAATTCCTTTCAATGACATTCTATACAATGAAATACAGATATTCCTTTCATAGACACTTCTTCACCACAATCACATCCAGTGTTAGGTTGTTCATAAGTACAATATCCAAACATCCTTTTATTGGGGTTGTGACAAAATGATACTGAAAAATAATGATACCCTCACCTAGAAATGTAATTTTTACAATAAACTCACCTTTCACTTAGACTTTGACCAACACGAAAACCCAATGATTCCAATTTGGAAATGCACTGATCCTAAAAAGGAAAATGGAATGAAACATTTAAAAACAAAATGGGGCCTAACGGCTTTGGCAGTCATCTGAGGTAAGCAATATTGAATATAAAGGTTATTGGGTAAGTAGCTTTAAAGTGTCACAAAAAGGAAATTACAACACTGATGATAGTAAGACTAAAGTGATATGTTTTAAGTCCTTGGAGATCAGCCAGTGTCAATATGTGTATACCATCCAAACTGTAATCCTATACTTAAACTTCTTACCCAGTTATTTCCAGTAGAAAATAAACAACTTTATTTTAAAAAACTGAAGTTAACTTCTTTCCCTCCTCAGGGAAAAATGAAATTTGCAATTTTGGTAGAGCACCTTAAGACCCTTCAATCCATAAAGAACATTTGATTCTACCATATCTGGGTGAGGAAAAGATTTTTGAAACTTGAGTCAATTTGACTCCTCTTGGCCCTGCCCCTCATGCCCCTGGGGAGAGTGTGGACCATACATAATTCACTGTTTTGATTTGTTTTTATCTAGAGAGGTTTCTGTTTCTGTAAAATTTCCTAGAAATCTATTCATAGTTTTTTGAGTGGAAGTCAATGACATCCGACAAAAGCAATCACAATAGGTCAACATGAGAATATGCATTTATTAAAATAAATACCATGTATGTAACATTCAGACGTGTAGACACAGAGATTTATACACTTCAGATCGAAGAGATTGGACATCATCAGTTAAAAGAGTTTGGATAGTGGTATTAACAAACACAGAGTAGACAATATGCCCAATACAAGTCAGAAAAGTGTGGACACCATTACCAATAAACCTCAGGTAAAAAAGTGAAGATAGCATAATTAACACACATAGATACAAGATAGCAGACACTGGACAACAAGATCAACACATACCAGACATAAGGGAGTGGACACTAGATCAATAAACATTAGATACGATAGAGTGGACACTGTGATAAATACACATCAGACACAAGGGAGTGGACACCAACACCAATACACATCAGACACAAGGGAGTGGACACCAACACCAATACACATCAGACACAAGGGAGTGGACACCAACACCAATACACATCAGACACAAGGGAGTGGACACCAACACCAATACACATCAGACACAAGGGAGTGGACACCAACACCAATACACAGACACAAGGGAGTGGACACCAACACCAATACACATCAGACACAAGGGAGTGGACACCAACACCAATACACATCAGACACAAGGGAGTGGACACCAACACCAATACACATCAGACACAAGGGAGTGGACACCAACACCAATACACATCAGACACAAGGGAGTGGACACCAACACCAATACGCATCAGACACAAGGGAGTGGACACCAACACCAATACACATCAGACACAAGGGAGTTGACACCAAGACCAACACCCAGACACAAGGGAGTGGACACCAAGACAAAATACACATCAGACACAAGGGAGTGGACACCAGATCAATAAACCTCAAGTAAAAAAGTGAAGATAGCATGATTAACACACATAGATACAAGATAGCAGACACTGGACAACAAGATCAACACATACCAGACATAAGGGAGTGGACACTAGATCAATAAACATTAGATACGATAGAGTGGACACTGTGATAAACATCAGACACTGACACCAACACCAATACACAACAGACACAAGGGAGTGGACACCAACACCAATACACATCAGACACAAGGGAGTGGACACCAACACCAATACACATCAGACACAAGGGAGTGGACACCAACACCAATACACAGACACAAGGGAGTGGACACCAAGATTAATACACATCAGACACAAGGGAGTGGACACCAACACCAATACACATCAGACACAAGGGAGTGGACACCAACACCAATACACATCAGACACAAGGGAGTGGACACCAACACCAATACACATCAGACACAAGGGAGTGGACACCAACACCAATACACATCAGACACAAGGGAGTGGAAACCAAGACCAATACACAGACACAAGGGAGTGGACACCAACACCAATACACAGACACAAGGGAGTGGACACCAACACCAATACACATCAGACACAAGGGAGTGGAAACCAACACCAATACGCATCAGACACAAGGGAGTGGACACCAACACCAATACACATCAGACACAAGTGAGTGGACACCAACACCAATACACAGACACAAGGGAGTGGACACCAAGACCAAATACACATCAGACACAAGGGAGTGGACACCAAGACCAATACACATTAGACACAAGGGAGTGGACAACAAGATAAATACACACATAAGTCACAAGAAAGTGGACACCAAGATCAACACACACCAGACAAAACTGTGGATAGCATGACCAACACATATTAGATAAAAGATGGTGACCTGAGATAAACAATGTCATATATAAAGGTTAAAGGATAGGAAGGTTTCAAGCGTCATGAAAAAGAAATTGTGACAAGGATGACAGTAAGTCAGTATCAATACAAACATACCATAAAAACTGTCATCCTAGACTATAGCTCTTGCAAAGTTATTTCCAATGAGAAATAAACAAGGTTATGCTGAAAATTGCATTTTTTCTGTAAATAATTATAGTAAAGTTAACCTCCATCCCACGGAGAAATGTGAAACCCATTTTGGTAAAGCATCTTAAGACTCTTCCATCTATGAAGAGCATTGATTCTACCATACCTGGGTGTTGAGAAGAAGATTCTCAAAAATACATTTTTTCTATAAAAACTAGATAATTTTACCCCTCCCCACGGGGTAATGTGATACCCTGAGGCCATCAAATTCACACATTCATCAAAGAAGAGCGTTTGATTCCACCATATCTGGGCGTTGAGAAGAAGTCAATCCGACTCCTCTTTGGTTTCTGCAAAAGTTCATTTAAATTGGTTCAAGGCTTTTTGAGAAAAGTTGAAAATGTTAACTCACATCTGGTACGAGAGAGAGAACACAGAGATCAATACAAATCATATTTAAGATTGTGGACACTATGATAAACACACGTCGAATGCAAGAAACACCATAATCAAAATACGTCTGTTTATCGGCACTCATATCCATGGAAGGTACACGAGTGTGGAGTGCAATAACTGAACCAAAAATATTCAAATAATTTTTCAATAATCTTATAACCGTGTAATGTTAATATACATATAAAAATTGTGTTACTTGTTCTATTTTTTCCGCAGTTCTGTATAAATAGTTTATCATTTCCATGTGCAGGTACTCAAACACAACTTCGTCTGCCATATTTATTCCCATTCCTAACGTTCAAGTCGGATTTATGAACAAGCTGTTATAAATATCCGGACAAGACCTTTGAACACATTCGGAAATTAATATTTTTTCAAGTTCATAGTGTTCGCCCTTGTTATCTAATATAACAAACTGAAAAAGGATAAATTGCCTAAGAATCTAGTTTTAATGTTAATGATTGAAATATATTTAAAATAGAAACTCTATAAACTTGGTACGGGAAAAAATACTGTACAATATAACAATGGATTATAAGGTCCAATTTGAATTGAACTTATTTAGATAAATGCTTTATTCAGATAAGCAGTTGTCTTATAATTTGTATATTATTGTGGTAGATAATTTTGTGTTAACCGCAATTTCCGGATATTTGTAACAGGTACCCGGTTTTCATTTAGCTGTTGCAAAAAATGGCTGACGTGCGTGGTGTATCGGCGTTGCAAGACGAGTTAGAGAAAGCCAAGGAAAGCTTGAAAGATGTAGACGATAGCATAAAGAAACTTACAGGGAGAGACCCAACGGAACCAAGGTTGACATTTTGCATATATCAGATACAATATACTTCGCCTTAACAGTCAAATAGGTCTACATCGACTGTGGTTGGATTTTTCCAAGAATCTGTAAAAAAAGGGAGGGGGGGGGGGGGGGGGTGAAACTTGATTTGTCAGTATCTCGAATCGCAGTTTTAGAATCATATGAGAATATGGTTTTGTGTATGAGTAATACCGTTTTTTAAATCTCCAAATGACCAACGCATATTTTTTGAATGCCCAGTTATACAGGTACAAAGTGTAGTATACGTCCCTGTGTACGTAAACCACGTTAACACCAGACGTTTACATGTTTAAGATTTGCAGTTTAACTATCTGGCTAAGAAACCCAAACCAGAATCGGTGATCTTGATTCCATCAGTTTCTTATTATTAGAATACATTAGAACAAAGTAAAGACACCAATAGAACATTCAAGATAGATATTATCGGGAACAAGTGTATATTATCTAGAGTAACATTTGTTTAATGCTCAAGCACGCTACAACAATACAAATTTCTAAATATGGCTCCAACACCTTACTCTGACTGAACTTTTTACCAATTAAACATGAACCTTACATTACTAGAAGGTGCTTTAAGCTAAAAGACTACACTCTTGTGACAACAATTATATAGACATTGTAAATTACTACTACTTATCACCTATCAAGTCTCAAGGATACAAAGGTGGGCAATAGAGAGTCAATCAGTTTTGTAAGGACTCCTCATGTCGACCAACATGATACGATACAATAACACTTGATATTGGTAGACCATGGCAACTCAAACTTTTGATAAGCAACAATTTTTGAAAGAGGATGTTTACTTGATGTCTTAAAGTCTTTATGGCTATATATAGGTTGATCAGCAGATTACATGTACATGGTGAGAATAAACCTGAGACAAATATTTGTCATAATATTAAATAATTTATTCTCATTGTAGTATATATATGTATGGAGTTAACTAGATATATTTCATTTTAGACCCTCAACAAGACGTGTAACAGCTGTTGCTGATGGCAGGGGTAGGGAGCGCTTACTGCTTCAAGCAAGGTACTTGTTAAGCTTTAAATTGCTTATAAATATGAAATCATAATGTATAAATAAACAACATTGAAGGAATTTGTTTGTTCCGGTCTCAAGTTATTGCTGACAAGGTCAGGTAGTGCTTGAGAGGTACAATTGAAAATGGTTCAGAGATGGAGATCCTGCATGTTGTATCATTTAGTTTAACTAAGAACAATGTTCTAAACCTCATTGACAGTATTTAAGTGATTCTTTTTGTGACATAACAGTTGACATTGTGTAGTATCATACATCAATTGATTTGGGTGCATAGAATCATTGGACATTCAGGCGTACATAACAGCACCAAACTGACAGTTAGATACACATGCAGATGGATTGGCTATGCTCCTGGAGCAGTTATAACAATAACTCTTAGCATATTTCACTCCTTAGCAAAACAGTCCATTTTAAAGACAAGTTCATGCTTTTTTTCTCTCTTAAAATGGATTAAAAAATTTCACATTGTCTTCAGGTGGGGCCCAGATGAGGAACAACAAGCTAAGAGAAGAATTGCCGGAGGTGCTTTCTCAAGGTAACTTAATTGTATGGCTTTGAAGTTGTACTTGTCAGCGTAATTATCTAGTTGCACCCTTTTTTAGCCCACCATCATCAGATGATGGGCTTGTCAGATCGCTCTGTGTCTGTGATCCATCGGCTGTGTGTCCGTAAATGAGTTTTGTTATCACTATTTCTGGAGAAGTCTTCGATGGATCTTTTGAAAATTGCGCATGTAGATTCCCCTTGGTCCCTAGTTGTGCCTGTTTGATTTTGGGACTGATGAAAAAAACAAAATGGCCGACAAGCAGCCATCTTGGGTTTTTTAAATGTAGTTTCTTATGGCTATTCCTTTCAAAGTACTGAATGAATCTCCCTTAAATTTCATATGTATGTTCACCTTGTTTTGTTAATCTAAAGTTTTGTTGAGGGAAGCATTATACAATGGGGTTTTTTTTTCAGCTCCTATGAAGCAATATTTTTTGTTGTATACTAAACATAAAGTTATATTTTGGAACTTTATATATGAATTTGATGTGGTGCTCTCTGTTTTAACAGGCTTGGTCCAATGCATAGGATGATAGGCAGAGGACGTCCACCAAGAGGACGGGATAGTGGGGATGAAGATGATCTTCCCAACAAGGTAGGTAACATTTAAGAAATTAAGTCTGATAAGAGATTGGAGAAGATTTGGGGTGTTGGGATGTAAGGTTGTTTGTAATACATATATCCACCAGAGGGTTAAGAAAATGGATGCAAAAATCTGAAAGGTAGATTTATTGGTATCATAGAGGGACATGAATGTTTGACTAGACTGAAACCTGTATGTTTTCATGTAAAACATTTAAGAAATTATTCCATTCAATTTTTACATTAGCACTATCAATATTTTAGACTTTTTAAACAGGTGGATGTGTGATTTATTAACAGACTACTAATGTTTTTTAGTCGCATTTACCAGAACATGAAAGGAAAAAAAATGAAGAGGGACTTGCTGTTAAGTTGATATCAGATCAAATAAAGGACAAAAGATGCATAACAAAAAACAAAAAATATTTGAAATAATCTCGGGTTGTGTAGGAACTGGAAATTTTTATATTGTTTGTTTCTCAGCCCACTATCCAGTCCTCAGTTGTTGCTACCCCTAAAGAATCCAGGACACGCCAATCCAGCATTGAGGAACAGAGTTCAGACCGAAAGGGCACCGCCAGGTTAGCTATTTTCTTCAAGTATTTACAATACAAACATGATATGCAATAGGTCTTGTGGGAAATATAAGTAAGCTTTCTTACTTGTAACAAAATTGGATGCATCAAAGATAATAGTTCAAATATCACAATATGTATTCAATGTTTTAATTCGTTTTTGACATTTTGATTTCAGAAATAGAAGAATGTTTGGCTTACTCTTGGGAACATTGAGAAAATTCAAAGATGAAGCCAAGGAAACTGAAGATAAGGTTTGTTAAATGGGGTAGACATACATAATTGAATTCAGGTCCACACTTAAAGAGAATTTTAGAAATACAGGTACATTTTTATGCCCCCTCCATTTATGGCCGGGGGCATATAGCATTGCCCATGTCCGTCCGTCGTGTCCCAAATCAGTATATACCACCTAACAACTTCATTTAGAAGGCAATTTTCATGAAACTTCATACAAATATCAAGTATGGAAAGACCTCATGCAGTGTTGAATTTCTCGGCATTCTAAAAAAAGATGGCCACCAGGGGGAGATAACTCAAAAAAGAGGAACATCATCTTATTTCTACATAATTTGGTACTTGTGGGTTTTAAGGCATAAGGAACTAATATACTCCCTCATTTTTTCCAGAGAACAAAATTCCAAATTCATGTACGTTAAATCAACTTGTCAATTTAAGTATGAAACTTAAGTTGTACATAGTTGCATACAAATTAACAAAATCATCTCTTTCGGACCTTTCACTATTATTTCACATGGGGGGGCGGGGGCATTCATGTCTTACAGACATTTTCTAGTTTAACTAACTGTTCGAAATGTCAGTGATAAAAAGACTTTTATGCTTTCACAGCACAGTAGAATGTATACAAGTGTTTACTTTGCACATTTGCTACACTTTTATCTCTCAATACATCTCGGCCGAATATTGATGTTTGAGTTTGACTCCATTTTGTCTAAATAGATATAGTTCCTGCTTTGATCATGTTGTTACTTCAGATTAGTGAAGTCTCAAAAACTGAATAAAAAAAATGGCAAATCTTTAAATTCTAGTATTTTAGAACTGAAGTATGGAATATGTATTTATTTAACCTGAATTGACCTTGTGTATTTTTCAGCCTATAGCTTGCATCTCATAAGAATTTTTACTGCAGTTTTACCTCTAAATAGAGACTTTGAAGTAAAGATAGGAATATTAATATTCTAAAGGAATCATTTTCTTACATGGATAAATGTATTTAACATAGTTAACATAAAGGGACTGAGAACTCTCTCAGTATATATGTAGGAAAATTGTTACCTTTTCTTCCAAGGAGTGGAGAACAATATGAGAAATATGGATGATAAATGTTTAAGTGGTTTGTCAATTAAGATATAATCTTGAAATCAAATGATTTTTGTAGGAAGTTCAAAGAAAACAGATTGAACAAAAGTTGGAAGAAAAAGCCATTTCAGAGAAGGAGGATCTTCTCAGAGAACGTCATCAGCTTTTCTTGGAACGAAAACAACAACAGGCCAAAATTCGTCGTCTAGAATACAAAATGGAACTTATTGAAATAGTAAGTTTTATGTATACTGTGAACATGACAAAGAATTAAGCTTCAAGAAAAACATCATCAATCCATGCTAGTAAAAATATAGCATGCATATCTATGGATTGCAGTAAAACCATTTATTTTACTTCAGAATAAATGTACTATGGTGTCTGCCTACATTGATAGGAGGGTAACTAACCAAGTAACTCATACATATAATTATAGAAATATGCATTGTAACACCCAACATATTATATCTGGTTAGCCTTTTTATACAGATAAATATTTGACAAGAAATAAGATATAAATTGACAGTGCATCAATATAAATGTCATATTTTGGTTCATGATAAATGAATATAGACTTCTGAGGGTTGTATGCAGGTATGCATTTTATAGATTGTATAAATGTAAGATCTTAAGTAAATTTTCATTTTATGAAACAAGCCTTGAGACAATTTTATTTTTTTGAGCCTTTGTAAGCAAAAAATTTAAACCTCAAGACAAGTATCATAAAATCTCAAATGAAAGGAAAACAAATATAAAGTACTCCTTATCACAGAAATCAGAAAAGTTACATTTTGACAAGTTTATAGTAAAAATATAGAGGCAGTGATTTTGTCCTTATGATGACGTCAAAATGCTCCAGGATACATTACACTAGTGGTGTACTGGTATGCTGAAATATTACATGGGCAAATTCAATGGATAACATACAGATTATGTGATAAATCTATGTTATGGTTCAAAGGAGTATATATATCGTTGACTTAGAAGGTTATGATTTTCTATATTTGTATATAGTTTTTCTCAGTTGCTGTGACATGTTAAACAGCAAATGAAATGTTTTTTTATGTAATACTGAAAGGAATTTAAAGAATACAATTAAGAACACTGTGTAGATCTGGCAACTAGTTGTGTAAGTGAACAAGAAGCCCACAGGACATAACGGTCATCACACTATAAAGACCTTTATATGAAAGAGGCAAAAAAGGCCTTAAATAAATTGCTCAACTACTTTACAGCTTACAAAGAAGACATTGTTGGTTCATAAAAACATTTTCTGCAAACTTGAAATCATCTTCTTTACTCATGTTACTACAAAAATGCCATTACTCTGAATCTTATGATTTGTCTAAACAGAAATGTTAAGATCTCAACTCACTGGACCCAAGAGATCTTGAATATAGGTATAGGCCAATTATTTCAACAGATCGTAGCCCTTCATTTCATCCACTTATATCAAAGAACCAATAGCACCAGCCAAGACCTTTTTGTTTTTGAGAAGAAGTCATTTGTCACATTTGACCCAATTTAGTTATTGAGAATAAGTCATTTAGATTTTTTTTACACATTTGTCCCCTGTGACCTTGAAAATGGGTTAAGATAATTCAATTTAACAAACTTTGTAACCCTTCATCCCGTCATGCTACAGGCCCAATATCCTGAGCCTTTTGGTTATTGAGAAGTCATTTGAACAGAAAGATTACGTGTGGCGGTTGGTGCATGACAACAACCAAAACACAATATCTATAGGTCATCCCGACCCATCAGGTCCAATGACCTAAAAATACAGAATGATCATTAGATAGTTTTCTGTAGTTTGGAAGAGATAATTGGAAGATATATTTATATGATGGATTTTTAATGGGATTTATTGGTCTTGCATGAAATGAGTAATATTCTTACTTATTATTATATTAATTGTTCTGTTTACAGCATGATGCCTGGGAAAAGGAGACACGCAAGTTAGAAAAATTTATTCACACCAAAGCCAAACCACACATATTTTATCTTCCAAAAACTATGGATGCTGTATTAGAAGGAAAGAGAAAAGAGACTGCTAAATATGTGGATGGTATGTTTGTAAAAAAAAAGAAAAGAAAAAAAAAAGCCCTTTGATTATTATACAGTGACTACTTTAAGGATCGTGTTACTTGTTTTGTGTTACAAGCAGAAAAAAAAGTGATTTAAATGTTTGTTCACTTAGCCCATTTCTTAGAATTTCATAATTAATTTGTAATGAGGAAGGTCTGTTAGAAGACAAACTTATGTATGACATACCTGTCACCATTTTAATGTGATGCATAATGGTTTAGCATCTGTCTTATCTGTATGCATTTCAAAATAGTAATCATGCATTTATTTCACTTTAGCTTGAGTTTGGCATATAACGTTCAATACTTTGGTACATGTGTTGAAGAAAAAAAACATCATGAAATAATATATTTCTTCAACAGACATGATTGAAGAGCGAAGGAGGAAACTGCAGATTGAGATTGAAGACCTGATGGCCAAGGACCTGCCAGGTGGAAAAGTTGACATGGAAGGCGAAGAGGACGAAGGGGCCATGGAGGGGGATAGAAACACAGATAAGGAAAACAGGCGTAGGAAATCTAGTGGGGAAAGGGTAGACTTGCGTAGGCAGCTAGATCAGAGGGATAAACATAGAGGGGGTAGGGATGGGGAGACACCAAGAAAACGCAGGAAGTCTGATAGTGTAACTGAGGAAGACCGACACAATAGGGCAGGTAAGCACCGAAGGAGAAGTAAGGAAGAAGGGGATAGGTCAGGGGGCAGGAGAGACAGTCATAAGACAGGGGCACCAAGAAGGGACGACAGGGCAAAGGATCGTGCTGAACCCAGGGTGGAAATCAGTTACAATGATGAGGAAGAAGAGGAGGAGGAAGGAGAACTCCGAACTGAATCTAGCAACAACACTGGTAGTAATAGTATGGTAGTTAAAGATAAACGAACAGTAGAGCAGACAGATACTTCAGTGAAGCCAGACAAGATGGACACTGGGGAAACACAAGTTGAAATGGCCAAGAGCACAAAACAGTCTCGAGCTATGATGGCAGAAGATGAGGAGGAGGAAGGAGAGGAAGGAGAAGTGCATGATGCTGTGGATGAATGATATCTGGGAAGGGGCAGCTCATATATAAATATATGTATATGGCCTATAAGATTTATAGTACTTTTCAGTAAAAGGGTTGGGCAATTGTTTGTCTTGGCTGAAACTGGGGAGAAACATGTCTAAGAGAAAATTGTTGTCCAAGAAACAGGGGAGGGAGGGAGGTAGCTATGTAACAGCTATACAGTGGATACTTCATTAAATATAAGATATTGAATATAAATCTGTTGAAGGAAATTGTTTGAATTTAAAAAAGTGATTGGGATGAAAAATAGGGATGGGAATAGTTCTTCATAGTAGATACATATTGGTATCAGTGTCATGTATATAGAGAAGAGTTTATTGATTCAATGATGGGTGCCATTTTAGGCCTTCTGGTGGCTATCACGGATAAGTTTGATTTTAAGTATATGAATACTTGTGATTACGCCGTCATGACATGATTTGAAATTAAAGCTCAGTTATAGACCTTTCTGAGTTATGGGGGAGTAGTGGGGGTGTGTCAAATTCATAATTGCTCATAATCATAATTTACCATCAAAATCATAAAGAAAGCTTAAAATGTTACGTAGTTATGAAACTACATAATGATGTTTTAAGCTTTCTTTATAATTTGGATGCTTTGTGACATTCAAAAGCTGTAGAAAATAAAACATCTGAAAGATTTAGCCCATAGACAAAAAAAGTGTACTATAATTTCCTGTCAGATCATGGTGGTTTACGCTGAAGGTATTCATGCCCAAAAAAATACACTTGTCAGTGATAGCCACCAGAAGGTCTGAATTGGCATCCATCTTTTGACATTGTTTGTAATAATCCAGTGCAATACACTTGTGTATTGTGTTAATAGCATTTCCACATAATCATTTGTGTTGACAAATTTCAAGTTTCAGTTTTGAAAAGGACATAAATGTTTTGTGCATTCTTGACAAGATTTGTGGTCTCACATGACTGCTATATAAGCTTTTTCAATCGAAAAATGTTTTAATTTCCTGATTTCATTTTAAGAAAACTAACAAGTTTTTTTTCCCATTGATTTACATTGGTTGTTTTATGACAAATTGTAAACATCAAGTTGTCAATTAGACAATTAATTTGTATCTAAAAACAATTGATATCACAGAAATGATTTTTCAGATTTGATTTTGCTATTTCTTGATAATCCAGTGGACAACTTTTTACGTTATTTGAACAGCTCCTTGCCCTTTATCTGCCGTTGGGTTGAAATCTTGACTTAAATGGTAACAATGAATCCTGATATATTGTCTAGTTAAACACCTGACATAAGACAATTAATGCTTTGTATCTCATACATAGTATAATTGAGGGACAGAAAAAGATACATTCTAACAGGCTTGTTATAAAAGATTTCTTTTTAGATTGAACCAGGGACAGGTAAGTATATCTACCTACTGACAAGGATGTCCTCGAGTCATCATTTACAAAGCTCAAAAGTGTTGATACAGAACTATTGCACCATTTTCATAGGACAAGGGGAGGCAATAACAAGGAAGAAATGGTTGTGCTAAATACAATTGCAGCTTCACATTTTTGACTTTGGATACATTTTTTTTTAATTCATGGAACTAGTGTATTACCAATACAGAACAATAGTAAATGCCAAGAACAGATGTGAAAGCAGAAATTGTATCAGGTGTGATTGAAGCATCTGTAACTAATACTACAGTATGTTAAACTTTCATTTCCTTAACCTTCCTGAAAAGATCAACATAGCTGATTTGTTTAATCTCTTGTATGTTGGTAAAAGATATTGTTTCATCAAACTTTAAGATATACATGTACCAGGTATATATGTCCTGTGAATGCATGTGCCATTTTGTGAATGTCATTGCTTTATGGTGTTGACTGTCATACATGTCTTTCTTTAATCTAATAACCATTGTCATGAATGTGTGTACTTCATCTAAATTTGACCTGTGAATGTCTTTGAGCATTCCATCAAATATTAACCTCAGAACATGTATATTCATTTTAGCGGGGTATAACTTTATGATATATTGATGAATATTCTTTCAAGTGTACTTTCATCAATCAAAGAAAACAATATTTGGTAAGATGGTAGACATCAGGTTATTAATTGTGGAAATTAGGTAAACATATAAAATAGGGATAAACATGAAAGGCATTTAAACTTCTATCATCCAATCACATGACAGGAATATTTTTGTTCTACAATACTGTCTTTGGCCGGGCTTTAAGATGGTATCAAAGTTAAACACCTGCATATATTCAAATCAGCACTGATTTTGTATATTAACTATATTTCAATCCATGATAATACAGTTGCTGATATCCCTTTTTTGTGAGGAAGCATACAGCTTTACCCATGTCTGGTCGTTCTCTTGTGTGGAGTTATGTTCCGAATCAGTGTAATATCTTGAGAATCTTTGAACAATTATGGTTCATATTTACCCAATAGTATCATAATATCAAGTTCTACACCTTATATTAAGGTTGTCATTAGTCAGACATTAAGGGTCAAAGGTCACATTTGACAATTTCTGCAAACCATTATCATATTGATGTGGGGGTATTCATATCTAAGGCATTTTCTAGTGTAATGAAGCAATATTGGAATAAACAAATGACTTTGTATTATACTCTTTGGTACTGTTAATGCTTTTGACAGGAGATATATTAAAGTTTCAAATAAGATTATGTTTTAAGCATTCTAAAATGAAAGAAAAATATATGGCAATGCCAGAATTACATCAAAGAAATTAGTTCTATACATTCCTTATCAGAAGTAAATTACAAATTATTGAAAATAGGATTCGTATCAGTATATTGTTACATAAACGTTGTACCATTGTGTATTAATTGTAAACAGTTTTAATTCAATTTTCTTCCAATAAAGAAATAAATGATCCTATAAAACATTGATTTCTTTCGTTGTTTGTTTTTATGGTGGATGAGCTGTTCCTATGGTCTCATCTCGCCTGGTCCAAGGAATTGAAGAGTTTCTGTGATGATGCTAGTGTCAATCTGTAAATCAACTTTTAGTTTAAAACACTCATCTTGTTTGGAGCTTTAGATGAACAAAAATCAATATTGCAGTTACAGAGGGGCTGAGCTTCCATACTGCAAGATCTATAAGGGAAAGTACTTATAAATCTACTAAAGATTTTGATCAAATTTGGTCTTGAGCATGAACAAGAAGGGACTCGATTTTTTGTTAACAGAGGACCAAATCAAAATTGTAATTATACAAAGGAATTTTGGTTCTGTTGGCTCCACTATTAGATATGTGGCCACACACCTCAAAGCAGGAGTTCGATCAATGAGCTGTATAATAAATGACACAAGATCCAATCTCAAATTCCAAAAATATTTTTTTTTATTGCATAGAACATTCCATTAAAACTACAATGACAATATATAGCTGCAAATCAGAATATAGAAAATATGTCCCAATTTTAGTACTTTCTCCATAAAACTATAGACAAATACTCCAAAAAAATAAAGTTTGACAGTATGAAAATCAATCCCTAAGCCAAATGGAGAGAAAGAGGGTTTTTTTCCTTTTTTTTTCTTCTAAATCTTGTATAAATTTACAAATTCAAAGAGGCCACAACAAATGGTATGAAATAAACAGTCCTGTTTTAAATACAATGCCTGTAATCATACATAGAAAACAACTATCTTAAAAACATTAAAATTATCAAAACTAAGAACACAAAGCTGGTTCTACGAAACGTACCATCCACCAAATATTTTTAGTATTTGTGATAAAGTTCAAAAGGAATATATTTTGTACGAGCACTATAGCTTATCAATATATTTATAAATATCTCGATTGTGTACATTTAAGGCTATAAGATTAATACTTTGCAAGAGATTGATGGTTGGTTTGGTTTTATAGTGCTTCATGTACTGATATTTAACTTTTTATTTTTCTTTAAAATGCAAAAAGATAGCATTACAATGACAAAGATCTTAACATGCAGTTGAAATTGGTTATCTCAAACTCTGGACTGAAAAAACCTTGTTTATTTCTCAGTCCCATCATTTTTTTCTCAATTTCATAACATTTATAATTTGAACTATTAATCAGTGAAGAGAATATTGATCCAAAATGCATGAATCCTATATAAAAGTTCAAAGTTCTATATTTTCAATTTGTAATTATTGGAACACAAATTGTTACATTTTAGATATCAACACCGCCTATCATCATTACAGCAGATATGGATACAAAGTAAAAAAAACTTATGATCAATTTTTTTAAAACACTTGCTGATCATTATTTTTAATTAGAATGATTTTGAACATATAATCAAATTTAACCAATGTTGATTAGCGATAACAAAAACTACCTGTCAGCACTTTCTCTTTCCTTGACTGTTTGAAATTTACATATAACCACACAAATAAATGCAGTTTACTACTTAGTAATGATCAAATATACCAAACTAAGGAATACACTTTAAATTCTCAAATTACAAGGTTATATCCTAATCTTACAGACTTGGAGATAATGAAGTTAACTGCATGCTTATTTCAACAGCAAGTCATGTATTAAAAGTTAAGTAAGACCTTGGATTTGAATTTCTCCACATATTGTATTTAACTCAATAATAACTAAGACTGAAACCTAAAGTATGCTATCCAATATTTAATCCTGGAATCTGGATACAGTAGATATCTGAATCAAATTTCCAGCATTTTGTTCATGTTCCCATTGAATCACTTAAAATAAAATATTGACAACAATATCGTATGCAACCCTTCCCTAGACAATACCCTATGTAATCATTCCCTAGACCCCAAACTTTTGTAAAAAATACTTCATGCAACCCTTCCCTAGACCCAAAACTTTGGTGACAATACCATATGTAACCCTTCCATAGACCCAAATTTTTGGTAAAAATACCATACAGACCCTTCCCAAGACCCCAAATCTTGGAAACTGATTATCACAGCCCTTCCCAATAGCTTGGTAACAATACCCTAAACCTGAAATCTTGGTAACCATACCCCATACAACACTTCCCTAGACCCCAAAACTTGATAACCATACCTTATGCAACCCTCTCTAGACCCCAAACCTTTTTGACAATACCTCATAAAACCCTTCCCTTCACCCCAAACCTGATAACAATACCATACAGAACCCTTCCCTAGACCCAAAGCCTTGGGCACAATACCTCCTACAACCATTCCCTAACTGCAATGCCAGAAAACAATACCTCATGCAACCCTTTCCTAGGGTGACTTCAAACCCTTATACCTGTATTTTATAAGCCCTTCCCAAGACCCCAAACATTGATGATAGTACATTATACAAGACCCTAAAACAGGGAAACAACTTTACACAACCCTTCCTTATATCCCTAACCTTGTTAACATGACTTTATACAACATTTCCCTTGGCATCTGTGACAGTACCTTATACAACCCTTCCCTTGACCCCAACCCATGGAAACAACATTGTACAACCCTTCCTTAAACCCCAAACCTTTGTGACAGTACCTTATACAGCCCTTCCCTAGACCCAAACCCATGGAAACAACATCTTGTACAACCATTCCTTAAACCCCAAACCTTTGGGACTAAACCTTACACAGCCCTTCCCTAGACCCCAACCCATGGAAACAACATCTTGTACAACCCTTCCTTAAACCCCAAACCTTTGTGACAGTACCTTATACAGCCCTTCCCTAGACCCCAACCCATGGAAACAACATCTTGTACAACCCTTCCTTAAACCCCAAACCTTTGGGACTAAACCTTATACAGCCCTTCCCTAGACCCCAACCCATAGAAACCACATCTTGTACAACCCTTCCCTTGACCCAAAACCTTTATGAGGATACCTCAAACAAATCTCTAGACCCCAAGTCTTGATATCAATACCTTATAAGCCCTTCCCCTGACCCCAAACGTTGATGACCTTATACTAGACATTAAACCATGGAAATACCTTATACAACCCTTCCCTTGACATTGGTGACAATACCTCATAAATCCTTCCCTATTCCCAAAGTCTTTTTACGAATACCCTAAAAGCCCTTCCTTTGGTCCTAAACTTTGGAGACAATACTTAAGTAAGGCAATAAACCATGGAAAAAAGATCTCATATAACCCTTCTCCAGACCCCAAACCTTGGCAACAATACCTTACATAACCATTCCTAAGACCCCAAATCTTTCCCTAGACCCTAAACCTTGATAACAATACCTTATACAACCCATCCCTTGACCCTAACCCTTGGTTATACCATAATACAACCCTTCTCTAGACCCAAAACCTCGATAACTTAATATTGTACTACTTTTTTTCCCCGACCCTTTCCTCGGCCCCTGACCTCATTAGGATACCTTGTGATCCTCTCCCTTTATCCAAAATTACGCATGCAAGACATTTTCATGATCTTTCTTTTTGACGCTCTTTTCTTATATAAAACGCCCACGTTTTATTTTCATTATTTAACATCTCACCTAGGCTCTTGTATAGACATTATTCAACATCTCACATAGGCTCTTGTATAGCCAGAACCATACACCTTTCCTTTCTTGATATAAAATCCTTCCATTTACTTACTTATATCTGAATAAAATATCTTATCATTTACCACTTTTTTTGATATCAATCCTCTACTTTTAAAACCCTTTTCCCAATTAGTTTTCATTTCAGACCATTGCACATTTTATTGCGGCCTTTTCCAACTTATTGTTGGTTAGACACTCCCTATCCTTTTCTGCCATGGCAGTGTCTTTGGGCAAGACGTTTTATCTTGATTACTCAGGATGGCATGCCATGGAACTTCTTTATATTGTATAATGGGTAGTCACTAGCTTCCTTAAGGAGACTCCCACAAAGATATTACACTGGCTGTTGACAGGGTAATAAACACAGTCAACTAACCAATTTTTTATAATAGACCTTTTCATAACTTATCCCAGTCCTCTTTATTTACATCCTTATACATGTTATCCTAGTCCCTTTTATTTGCACTCTATACAATTTATCCAATTCTTTATAGGACTCATCCAATTCCGATACATCTTGATATAACTTTATCCGAGTCCTTTATATTTTACATCGTTATACAACTCTATCCTAGTCCTTTTTATTAACATCTTTTTACAACTCATCCCCCACTCCTTTACATTTTAAATCCTTATGACTTATCCCAGTCCTTTACATTTTACATCCTTATCCCAGTCCTTTACATTTACATCCTTATCCCAGTCCTTTACATTTACATCCTTATCCCAGTCCTTTACATTTACATCCTTATCCCATCCTTATCCTTTTCCCAGTCCTTTACATTTACATCCTTATCCCGGTCCTTTACATTTTACATCCTTATCCCAGTCCTTTACATTTTACATCCTTATAACTAACCCTAGTCCTTTACATTTAACATCCTTACCCCAGTCCTTTACATTTTACATCCTTATCCCAGTCCTTTACAATTTACATCCTTATAACTTACCCCAGTCCTTTACATTTTAAATCCTTGGGAATACAACTTTATCCCCTTTCCTTTTTATTTATATCTTAAGACAACTTAATCCAAGTCCCTTGCATTTTACATAGATATACAACATCTGACACTAACATCACCTACCTTATATAATGAGTTACTTGCTAGCTAACCAATAAAGTACAGTTGTGTATCTACTAGTATATCTTATCCCTTTAAGCAAGCACAGCAAAATTGTAATTAATGCACTGTATCTTAATTACCATCATTAGTCACAGCAGTTCTATTTAAGGTGGTTGTGACGGTACCATAACAGCAGTTAATAATGAGATTGCCTGTGACAATTGACAAATCAAGCAGTATAATTTCCTTATACAGGTTAACAACTGTATCCAAATTTCCTTGGACCGATCACTCACAGAATTAAAAAAAATTTTCCTGTATGTATTAAATGCTGCATAGTTTTACTACTGTCTCCTTCAGACTGAGACCGGATCATGCCATGATTATTGTACATTCAATAGAACTGTGATATGATCACGTATGGACTTTTATCTATAGGATGAAAAAAATTGATGAAGTAAATAAGTTTTTCAGAAATTGGATGTGAATGAAGAAGTAAAAAAATTCAAAATGCCATTACTTAATAAAGTACAAAATTACAAAAACAACAAAACACTAAACACCAATCCCATCTACATAAAATATATACTGCAGATATATTGACAATGGTATTATGACAATATCAACAAACCTTATGTGAAGTAGAAGTATTATCTACATTACTCACTGAATTTTTTTTTAAGTAACATTACTGAACACATCACTCTAACTGTAAAACAGGGTATTAAGTTCTAGGAAAGTTTCCAGGCAAAAATACAAAATTTACAATACACAACATGGTAACCAATTAAATAAAAAACCTATCCTACATTTCCCAGATAGACAATATATATCTATATGCATATGTGACTTTAAATATGTTTCCAACATGACCCTCACTACACATGGTAGTTATATCTAAACATGTAGATATAATTGATATATACAGGTACATGAACGTCTTGTACATCAAAACAAATGTGATATATGTATGTTAGGCAATGGTAAACATGCCTAAAAGACGTTCAAAACACAACAATAACTGAAACCACAGTATTCAACTTCTGCAGATTGTTTCATAAAATCTGAAAATTTGACTAAATCTTGGATCCTTCAGATCAACAACTACATCCAACAGATGTTTACTGTGAATTAAAGAGACCAGCACCATTTTATTTCTTACAGCATAAAAAAACATTTAACAAAGATTTATTTCTGTAATAGCTCCTAGTTATATTTTTAGGAACTACCTAAAATCACTTGAAAAACCTAAACAGAAGAACTGGAAAGCTCTCAGCCAGCAGTAGATATAAAATTGAACATCATTTAAAAAAATCATTTCAAATAACAACTATAAATCTAGTTACTTTCAAATACAACGCTATCCATTACACTAGAGTTACATGGTATGCATCATACATAATCTACGTATCTTCAATTTGACAAAATATAAAACATTTTAATATCGTAAATTGAAAAAAGAAAATTAAGCCTAAATACAAATCTGTTAAATATTAATAAAGATGTCAATAAATTCATATTAGTAAGATGTTTATCCAACTAATTGTGCTCAAAAATACCATTAATTAAGAAAAAAAAAATGAAGAAAAAAAGCTTTGAATGAACACCATGACAAGGACATCATTTATGAAAATTATACTTTGAAACAGAAAACTATGTCTAAATCATCAAGATAAAAGGGATGAGTGTAATGAGAAAATAGTTACCAAATTTTGTATGACCTATTACATAACATGACAAGGAAACAATAATTATTACATTACTATTTCCTATAGAGAGTAAAATAAATTTTGACACATCTAACAAAATCACACTGGTCACAAACATTCTCATTAAGTAGAATTACAGAAACAGGTATGGATTCTTTCCAAGGTTTACCAGTATAACATCAATTATGTAAAATACTGCTAAAAGGAATTAAAATCCCACCAGTCATTTATTCCGTGATTTTTCACGGTGTACATCAATACCAACACAGACCAAATTCACCTAAAACCAAATACGAAACTTGTGTGAGTTACATTGACCAAGTACTGCAGAATAAATGAAATTCTATTGAGATTTTGCTTAAACTCAATGTTTGCCTTGGTCTTTGATGTAACTGCTGCACAAGTTTCATCAAAAGCTGATGAAAAAAAAACAGGCAGAGAGGCCATGTGAAAAAATGTCTTAATAACTGCATAAATAAAACACAGATTAACAGTATCAAACACAACAGAGCAATGTATTATTACATTCCAAACAGAGGGCACGCCTGCCCTTTTTCTACACAAAGTGAAATCATTATTTTGATAAAAGATTAACAACAGTAACAAGAACCTATTGTTCAACATTCAAATACGCTTGACAAAGCAACTGTAAATATTAATACAGAGATGGTATTAACTGGTATGTCCATCAACTCTGCAATGACACAATATTTTCAACTGTCATGAAAAAATACTGTGTTTTGTAAAAACAGAGATTGACTTGTTACCTCATTACCAAGGTTTAGTCATTAAACAGATTGAACACTCAAGTGACTCAACATAAGCTGACAAAACTCAAAACATTCCATGTACATTAAGTTTTTTCCTTTCTTTTCTATGCATTTGATTTCAAATATTAAATAGTAAAAACTAACAATTTTGCTATCATAAAAATATGTGCTGCTGCACAGCCCAAAATGCTCACAAAGAAAAAATACTTTTCAAAGACTTTGTACAAAAAATTAAAACCAATAACTTTAAATTTGAATATTAACACTTTTAAAAATATATGAATATTTGTTCACAACAAGGAGTGTAATGTTAATAATGAAAGAATAAACCTCCTATGGAAGCCTACACTGCCGACATGGAAACAAGTAGTCAAATCAACTAATGAAAAGATAGCCCCTCTTGAAGAACTCCAGGAAAAAGGTTTTGGTTAATAATGAAATGTTTCTATTGAGTATTCTTTGAGTTTTATGTACAGCAAAGTTTCAACTAATACATGTTTAGCAGCCACACAGGGCCAACTGATGTGTTTATATACCACTGGGGCAGCAGTGTATTCACTTGCTTATTAAACAGGATAAAAACAATAACAACATTCACTTGTACAAGATAACAATCTTATTGCAAAGAGTTTGAACAATGCCATTCTCAGGAAGAACAAAGTCCTCCATAGACTCGCCCATCCTCTGGGAACTGACCTCCAACAGATTTGCATTGCTTGTCAGCAGCCTCCCTAAGGACCAGAGTCCAGTGTGACGACTTTTCCCCTGTCTTCCATACACAAGTATGTTGTTGCGATCAGCCATGCGAAGGATTTGTTGGAGTGTTTCAGAAGAAGTCTTACTATGGACATGGTACAGTTGTGGTATATTCTCATCAATAAGAAAGTCGTTTGGAAGCGAGGCAGCCTCAGAGGAACGTAAAACAAACAGGATTCCTGAAATTCATACATATCTTTCATGGTTGGCCAAGAACGGAAAGAATATATCTATACACATGCATGGAATTTCCTATGTTAAATGACACATGTTTGTGGAATACAAAGCAGGACATTTACATCAATAACTGTCATTTTAAACGTTTTTTAACTTTGCAATTGTAAACATCATCTATTGTAACTTACCTGTAAGAATAGTCCAATGCGCCTTATGTCCCTTTTTCATACAAGGTTCGTGGTTTGCATCTGCATCGTATCTAGGAGAGTTAAGAATACTACCACCGACAATGACAAATTTAAATCTTAACAAATGTTTTTGCTACATATACTGTATCTTAAAAAATGAAGAGAATATCAACATGGGAGCCATCTGCTTTATAACCATGCAATATATAGTATGTATATATGCAACAGACCTAGTCATCAGTGTGGCAAACAACAGCATGGAGTGTTACTTACCCAAAATGATCTGTTTAACTAATATACATAGAGGCAGCAAGTTTAATGAATCTTAGTGATATTGTAATTACCTTATGGCCCCAAAATAACTGACACAAAGGGGAATAACTCTATATTTTTCTTCTGAAAGATGTACCTGCCACTGCTTTACTTTGCAATATTCCCCAATTGGAGATGTATATGTGTTCAAGATATGGTTACTGTAATAATATAATTTCACAGATGGAGGATACCTAGCATAACATAATATGATCCATTTAGATGGGCAAACAAAATAAAAATAATTTTAGAGTCTACTAGCAACTGAAATTAACTTATAATTTTGAAAGTCTGAATTTCAATTGCTGCAGGTGCCTTTATATCACTTTTAAACTTTATTAACAATGGTTCAATACTAATGATGGGTAAAGGATACGGAACAAGACAGATATTGCCTCCCACAAGGTGGCGCAGGAAAAGCTCTTTAGATCCTGTGGTCTCCATATCCAAGACTTCACATTCACAACCATACACCTCCCTAGCCAATGCCCCCATGTCAAAAGCTGTAATAAAGATCAGATCCTTAACTGCTTGTAAACAGGGTGAAATATGTCAAGTGATTATCAAATTTTGTTTGGGTATACTTAATACTTGTAGGGCACCCCTGAAGGTGCTCATCTGCCAAGTTCCAATAATCTTATTTGTGATTATAAATCATTATGTAGTAGTTTAAACAGTGAACTTTTAAATAATTTGATTGAAAACTTCTCTATCTGATTGAACAACATCAGCTTACCAGAGAACATTTCGCCCTTGTTTGTATATCCTCTGGCTCTGCTAGTCCCAAGAATATCCTCAAAAGATACATCAGTTCTCTCCATCAAGTCTTTTGCCATTGCTAGGGCCACAAGTCCACAGCTACAAAACAGACAACACAAGAAAGTCGAATATATACAAATCACAAATACTTTAAAAATGAAATACTTTCTTACAAGCTTGAAATATAATCACTATAAGTTAAGATATTTATATAACATTTATATTTCCCTATAGGTCATGTGTATTGAGAATCAATACAAGTCCCCTTCCGGCCCCTACAAGCTATTACACTATAATGATTTATAAATTTTCTAAAAATAGTAACTATGATCTAGACATTGACCCAACAACCCTGATTTCGCCCTAGTCCAAGATAATTTGATATTTTATAAGTGTGTGAAAATGGATGAGAATTCCTCCAGGAATGAAGGTGCTAGAGCACTGATAATGATTTTCTAAATGTAGTAACAGTGATCTTGACCCACAAATCCTGAAAATTGTCCAAGATATTTATAAATATATATCATTCTTACAATACAGATGAGCATGTATTTAACTTACCAAGGTCCTTCCTGCATGAGAGGAACCACCTGATTGTGGTGCAATGACACCAGTGTAAGGCTATTCTCAAAACCTGTTCCTTCCTCTCTGCAATGACAAAATCATCATAAACAACACAGCTAGTTAGGTTTTTATGTTAACAGCCAAGGAGTTATAAATATATATTCAATCTTTCTAAAATCTGATTTAATGACTAGCCATATAAACATCATTAGGCTGCCATGAAAGACTTGTAATTGTGTTAATTAAATACCAACACTGATGTTTATTTCAAAATGTTTATGTGTAACAGTTCCAGTCATTTTGAATTGTATTAAGTATGGTCTGAATTTATCAGATACTAACTATTTGCAGGCATTAATGTCCAAAATTTCTATTTAGCAAAATTAAAGTGCAAACATTTGCCTGCATTTATTAATTGTGGCCCATAGGGCCTGTATCACTTATCTGGATCTTAAATCAAACAATGTTATACAAGCCTAAAGGTTGGGTACTTCAAATATTTCCAAATTAAAGCTCATTCATGTAACCTTTCTGATGGGGAAAGACCAACAGGTAAATTCTTATATCATCATTGTCTTTCTCTTTTGAATCCCAGGAATAGTACATATGGTTATCGGGTTAGCATCTAAACTATATCAACAAGGCAGATTTTAAAGAAATTGATCGATTTTCCCTATTTGGCCCCACTACTTTAACCGTAGAGGGTGGAGACCCTCCATATATACAAAACTGATCTTCCTTCACCAAGCATGCTTCAGACCAAATTTGGACAATATCCTGCAATTCCTAAAGAACAAGGTTGATATTCCTATTTGGCCCACCCCTTTAGTCCCAGAGACCAACCATTTGCACAAAATTGATTTTCCTTTACCAATAATTGCTTCAGACCAAATTTGGACAATATTCTACAATTTCTAAAAAACAAAATAGATTTTAAAGAATTCATAGTTTTTCCCTATTGGGCCCTGCCCATTTAGCTCTAGGGGACAGAGACCCACCGTTTATACAAAACTGATTTTCCTTCACCAGGCCCACCATTTAAACAAAATTGGTTCTTCTTTCTTCAAGAATGCTTCAGACCAAATTTGATTAAAAATCCACAGTCGTTCAGAAAAAAATAGCAACTTGTAGTAAAAGTTGACAGACGATGGATGCTGGACAGACCTGTGGTATCCCTATAGCACACTTGGCCCTTTAGGGCCAGGTGAGCTAAAAAGTACTGAATACAAATTAGCAAGTATCAAAGGTCTAACAAATTACTCACATGATCTTTGCCAGCTTCTTTTGCAGATTATCCTGCTCCACTTTAGCTGCAGCAGCATGTGGTAAGGTGATTACATCCGTAACAGATTTCTGGGTAGGTACTTCAGGTGGTGGTGGAGGGGGAGGGGGTGGTGGGTGTCTCATAGCCTTATGTGAATTCTCATAACTTTCATTTTGACAAGTAAATGATGAAGAAATAGAAGAAATAATTGAACCAGAGTCTGAAAATTTTGGACTGATTGCCATTTCATGACATTCTGCCTGCTGGCTTCGGTTATCAAAGCTCTGTTCCAAAACAACTTGACCGCTATCTGTCCTCCTACCATTTTTCTCTTCTGATGGAATCCAAGAATTTGTCATAGACAAACTGGATGGTTCACACAGAAAAGAGATTTCTTTTCCATCTGGTGTGCTTGTTACACCAGATTCAATTTCATTCATATAGTAAGGAACATCAACATCATCAAGCAGTCCTGCAAGTACTTCTGCTACCACTTTGGTGGATTCTGCTGTCTGTAGCTTTGTTGGCCGAGGCGCATGCTGGTTTAATGTAGATCCAACATATTTCTTATTCCCCTGCTTATCACCATCGTTTTCCTCATACCCAGAGGTATCCATGGTGTGTTTCATGGAAAACCCTTGACTATTATCATCATACATAAGGTCTGAATCCTCCTGAAAGAAAACGTCCAATAGAGCTGAATCTGTTTCAGAGCAGTAATTCTTTTTCAACATTTGTTGTCCAAAGGCAGTACCAGAGTCTGAAGAACTAGATGGAAAAATTTGTGGATTGTCATAAAAACTTTCAAAATAATTTGATCCAATATCATCTACTGTTTGGCAAAAAGGTTGCTGGAAGGTGCTTTCTTGTTTATTACTTGCAGAAAAGCAAGTTTCACCTGGCTTCTTTTGAACTGGAAGGAAAAGGTCATTCTTATCGCGCTTAAAATTTTCTGCAACTTTGCGAAGAGCACTTTGGGGGTAAGCAATATCTAATGTTTCCATATCTTGAATAGCTGAATCAGGAGGCTGAAAAAGTGAGAGATTGTCAACAGAGTCAGCAAATGTCTGGTCATCACATGCATGCATGTGAAATATTGCATCAGCTGCTGTTGGAAAGTGGGTGGACTCAAGACTCGGTGACTTTGCAAACATAGGCTTATATGACTGGCTTTGATTTGTGGCTGTTTGATGAACAGGAAAGCCTGATGTCAAGTTACACTCAGCTCCCTGACCTGGGCTGCGGATAGTCGAGTGTTCAGACATTGCAATACCACCTGGTTTCTTGCATGTATGAGTTGTTGCTGTGGTTGTTGAGTTTATTGTGTTTGACTCATCGTGTACAGAGGACAAAACTGTTCTATTGTCCATTTCTGGCATACCAGCAATGTTGGAGTACTTGTAGAGAAGAGAAGAAGGAGAAAGGCCATAATTTGGACTTGAATCACGTCGTCTGATAGGAATTGAAAATGGACTAGTTACTGATGTAGATTCATCTAAATCAAGCTGGTCAAATGATAAATTTGTGTAAAAGTTTGCTGAATCCAAAGCTGAAAATAGAGGTGGTGCTGATTCTAGATAATGGTCAGGTATACGAGCGTTGTTTTGGTGTGTGGCTTGTCTCCATTCTTGGCTGTAGTGTTCAGTACTAGAGCCCCTGGAGGGGGAGCCATTACCACTCCAAGGGGTTACTTCTGAGTTGTGGTCTGGATAGAAAGGCAAAGAAGAGGATGAAGGACCTGATCCATGTCGGAGATAGTCAGCAGAAGACTTTCCCTCTGGCATGAAGCATAAAGCCCCGCAATGCTATAATTAGCAACTGAAAAATGGAAAATGGGTGCATTTAATTTCAAAACAGGGACTTTAACTTGTTATGCAGGCCTAAACAATATAAAAAAACTTTATACAAATTCAATGATAACAAAATATCACAACTGCACAAATCTTTGTAAAAGGATGGGTGTAAATTTCGACCTTCTGTTGGTTATCATTATATTCTCGCAAATGCTTAGGAAATTAATTTGCACTGAAACTAACATTTATTTCAAGAATTTTTCTTTCTAGAAAAATCTGTGATCAGAAATATCACAATTTCTCCATGGAAATGTGCATATTGGCGACCCTTGGCGAGAACATTAGAGCCTAGTTCACAGTAGTTGCAGATAATATAATCCATACACATAAGCATATGAATATATCAACAATATCACATCAAATACGAACAAATCATTTGACTTCTTTAAACATCTCAAAATTAATTTAGCCACAAATAACATGCATAAAAATACTACTCTTTTGCATAGGACCCCAACAACACAAACCAAATTATGCAAAGTGAGAAATTACAATGCAGAGCAGCACATTACATCATATTTAATATCAAAATACCAGCTCGATCACAGACATCATACTCTAACTTAAACGACTGACCCTACAAGTATGCAGGATGGAATCCAGTCTGATCCTGCTTTACAAAATCATTCACACATCTACACTTCAATCAACATCCCAGCTGATCCAAGAACTGACATGTATATCTCATCATATAAAGACACATATCTGCTACAAAGGATACATACAACTAATCTGCCTTTCCACATATAACCACACTTCAAGGCAGATACAATACGTAGCCCTTGAAGCCCTAACACATCAATACTACACGGCAGCCATTTTCTTTTTTCATTTTTACCGTAACAAATTACTAAATAAAAAACTGTAAATAACACTTTTCCTTCGGGCCACTACGCACAACAGATCACTGAAGATGGAGCTTTGAAACTCTCAAGAAGACATTCCTGAAATTTATTTTATATTGCGTGCTCTCGAGTAATCCACAATTGTCTTTGAGATGATATACAACAACAAATACTCGCACAGAATACCTTCGTTCTTTAAATCATTGTAAATATCTAGTTCCTCTCGACCTCACACTAAAAACAGCCTCCCCCCCTCCCTTGAACTTGACTGGAGCCAATCGCGAGGTCGCCTTCAGTGATGGAATGATGCATTATTTCCGTGTAATACCACATAAATATTTACCATATATGTACGGTGCATGTGAAGATATTTCTCAGTACACACATGGACTTATGTGACTGGTTATGCACGCCGAAACGTTCAGATGCTGAGGACAAGAGTAGAGGTCCTACTCTCGTCTAGGCACTTTCTGACAGCTCTAACAGGTCACGTGACATAATAACACGAACAACTACTTCCGGTATAATGACAACGTGGCGGGAAATATTCATTCATCTAGGGGAACGCCCAGAGACCGGGAATCAATACTACGAAGGACTATCTCTTGTGGACTAGGTCGAGATTATGTCGGAATTAAAAACGATATGAAGGCCAGTTGTTTTAAAATGTTATTATCAAGCAACATTTATTGTTTGTAGACAAATTAAAGGTAATCTGTGCACTTAAAAGCTTATTTTTGATCGGGCCGCGTACAAAGCACGTGTTCACAGATAAAACACGTATACATAAACACTGAATAAAATACTGGATTCATTAAGCACTCTTATTACTCATCATGCAAAATGCAAATGAGTCAGGTTTTTTTTTTTTTTTGTGGGGGGATGAGAACAGACAAAACCCATGTTACAGAGAGCACGGACGACACAAAAAATATGAACTAAGAAGTGTTTCATAAACATGACCCGAATCGTAAAGGTGAGTTCTGATTTTTTAAAAGTTAACTCGAGACATTAACGGCCCATTAACTGACATTAGTGGAATGAGTTATGCATAGTAGATTGGCCGCTGGTGCATTTTTCTTCAAAAAAAATCAAGAAAATACCAACATGGCAACATAAGTCAAACGCAAATTCCATAAAACTAGGGCAAACTATGAACAAAAGAAAGATTTATACGGCTCAGACTCCTGTAAAAGTACAAGGAGAATAAGACCAGGTGTTCCGGAATAGTAAGCGTCTTCTGCTTCATCAATGACACCCGCCATGTAACCCTTGGTCAATCCAAGTAATATCACGTTCTCGAATGAAAACAAGGTATACAACAACGGAATCAACAGGCAAACAAACAAGCATCAAATATATTCAGCTTCATGTCGCACAGAGAAATAGAGGATTTCTCAATGAGATCACTATGGCGACCATAAAACTTCCATAACAATTTTCATCAACCTGCATCTTTTGAAACTTTGTGTAACGAGTTTGTAAGTCAGTTGATGACTTCTTGCACGAGTATTGTGATAATGGGAACTGACCCTCGAATATCTTTTTCAAAACAATAGCTAATTGATATTGATGTATTAACTAATATTGATGACTGCTGTAGGATTAGAAAACACACAACACATTTTCACCTACAAATAAGGCTATTGCGTTAAATCAGCTGGTGTAGTAGTCAGTTGTTAATTAATGGCTCAAGTACGTATGAATAACATCGTGTGTATGATTCATGCTCTGATCGCTTCATATGGACATGGAATTTTGTCTCATATGTGTTCATGTCAGCAAATTTTACTCTCTGGTGTATCCTTGTTGCATGGAAAACACATTTGAAATGTTAGATACACATCGTTTTGCGTACAAGGGGAGATCCTCCCGGACTAGCACCAGTGACATCACAGTGTCATGAGACATCGCAACTCAAATTGACCAACTTGCAGCTTCTACTTGGAAAGCCTGAAAATAGATAACGCGGATGATAGCGGAACTCCCGCAAGCACCCGTATTACTTTTTTAAACAGCTCAAATAAACGTTCAATTTATGCTCAAGAAAATAAAAATAAAAACCGTGCCCCATATCCTTTAAGGCGGTGACGAAATGACCGTGTAGTGTTTTCAGTACAACAATAAAGTGTGCGTTATCTTGCATACATTTGTTATCTTGCTAAATGATATAGAATGTTTTAGGAAAGAGATGCTCTTTCAGCACCGAACCCAACATATGGGCAATGACCAATTCCCTTTTCGAGGCATGGAAGCGGGATTTTCCGAAGTGGTATCACTCTTACAGTATCTCCGATTATTACTTCCCTGTCTGTTCTAATTTATTTCAATCTTTTCACTGCTTCAATTGTATACTTTGTATACAGTTCTGTTTCTTATGATTCTAGTTATCTGCAGGTATAGCAATTGTGTTTTATATTACATGTTATGGCATTAAGCGCATACTTTTATTATGAAAACAAACATACCGTTTTCTTAGTTTTAAAGATATTTTATTGTTTATAAACAATAGGCGTGGAAATAAATTATATCAAAGCTCATTTAGTCTTCTCCTAAATGAATACATACAGGAATATTTAACACTGGAATCACGTGAAAACAACAACGTATGTAAATTAAGGTTGAAGAATAGAAACGATGGTGCTGGGTATAAAGAGGTGAAATAGGGACAGAAAAAGATAGGATGTAGAGCATAGATAAAATATACATGTATTGTACATATATATAAATATATAGTAACTGACGTTAGCTTGTCAACCCAATCCGACTTAAAATCGATAGAACGAGAATATGGACACAGGAAATTAACTAACTTATTACTGAAGAAGTACATGGAGCCAAAATCTATCATATGAGTTGTTTTTCTTGATTGTTTTGTTATATGTTTAAATTTATTCGTTTTTCAATATGCTTTTGGCTGTAGGACTGGCAGGAGACCAGCCTTTCCATTTTTAGGTCATCTGACCCGAAGGGTCGAGATGATCTATAGCCATCGTGCTTCGTCCGTCGTCGTCCGCCGTGCGTCGTCCGTAAATTTTTCATTCAAAAAACTTCTCAAATACTAGAAGGCCTAGAAGGCTAATACTTGGCCCATAGCATGCTGGCATGGAGCCCTACAAAGTCTGTTCAAATGAATAACCTTGACCCACTTTCTAGGTCACAGGGGTCAAATATGTTAAAATATACAAACGACTTCTTCTCAATAAGCAAAGTCTATGAGTGCTAATATTGGGCCTGTAGGATACTTGGAGGAAAGGCTACCAAGTTTGTTCAAATGAATGACCTCGACCCACTTTCAAGGTCTCAGGGGTCAAATATGTTGAAATTTTTAAACAACTTCTTCTCAACAACCAAAAGGCTCAGAATGCTGATATTGGGTCTGTAGGATGCTTGGAGGAAGGGCTACCAAGTTTGTTCAAATGAATGACCTTGACCCACTTTCTAGGTCACAGGGGTCAAATATGTTAAAATATACAAACTACTTCTTCTCAATAAGCAAAAGTCCAAGTGCTGATAATGGACCTGTAGGATGCATGGATGACATGCTACCAAGTTTGTTCAAATGAATGACCTCGACCCACTTTCTAGGTCACAGGGGTCAAATATGTTAAAATATACAAACTACTTCTCTTCAATAAGCAAAAGTCCAAGAGTGCTGATAATAGACCTGTAGGATGCTGGGATGACATGCTACCAAATTTGTTCAAATGAATGACCATGACCCACTTTCAAGGTCACAGGGGTTAAATATGTTAAAATATGCAAATGACTAACCAAAATGATTAGAGTGCTGATATTGGGCCTGTAGGATACTTTGAGGAAGTATTACCAAATGTGTTCAAGTGAATGACCTTGACCCACTTTCAAGATCACAGGATTCAAATATGTTAAAATCTGTAAACGACTTCTTCTCAGTAACCAAAAGACTCAGCGTGCTGATATTGGGCCTGTAGGATGCTGGAAGGAAGGGCTACCAAGTTTATTCAAATGAATAAAGCCCACTGTTTTAACAGCAGACTCACTGTTGTTAAGAGTTTGGCTTGCTTTTTGTCAGATGACTGCTAAGGCCCATGGGCCTCTTGTTTATTTTTATTACCATATTGGACTTTCGTAATCCATGTTCACTGCACAATTCATAATTAGCTTACTTAAAGAGGTATTCCTCTTAGAAGTGAAAAAAGTATTTAACCCTTTTTTTGATGATTTTTTTCAAATGTTACATTTTAGAAAGTAATTAAGCATCCTGTCCTCCATGTTATTATAATTCTGTGTTAAGATCCCAATCTTCCATTACGCCATATCAATATACTTCTGTGTTAAGGTACCAATCTTCCATCTCAATATAATTCTGTGTTAAGATATCAAACTTCCATGTCAATATAATTCTGTGTTAAGATACCAATCTTCCATTCCTCCATATCAATATACTTCTGTGTTAAGATACCAAACTTCCATTCCAAACTTTTTTGATCCACCCCCAGGCCCATGACTTTGTCTCAAGTGACCTTAAACCATAAATATGCATATAGTCTGTGATGTCCAATTTCAAACATAACTCAATATTTTGATTACTTTATTGAAACAAAATTAGCAAAGACTAGTACAAACATATAAGTAAAACAATTACAAACGTGTACAAAACAATTAGTGAGCAATAAAATCACAGTACATGTACTGTACTTACATACACACTCAAACTGTGCATGTTGACTGAATTCCGTGAACAACTCAAAGCACCATATAATTATAATGTAATGTAAATGTTACATTTGGGAAGAAATAATACTGATCAATTAAAATTCACAGGCTCAATACCATTAAAATGGCAGCCTAAAAAAAGCACAAAACAGCTACAATATCACAGCTTTTTTAACATTTGATCATAATAAGACATTTCTAGACAGCAGAATTGTATTTTGGTAGATCAAAAATCACAAATTCCAACTAAGACTGATAAAGTTTTGAGATTATTATACCAAACATACTAAATTGTTGACGGTACTGCAGACAGATTTTAAAATATTGTATGGCCCATGTCAAGAATGTGCCCAGGGTTACACAGAACAAAATCATGCAGAACCCTGGTAAAATACATAGATTCATGCAGGGCCATGGGCACCTGATTACACATGATAGATTCATCGTACAGTCTGGTTACATACAACAGATTCCTGTAGGGGCGTGGATACACTAACAGATTCCTGTAGGGCCCTGGTTACATTAGACAGTTAAAATACAGATCATCATTATACACTACATTATGGAGATGTGACAGTGGCCAGTAAGGAATCATATTCAGATGACCTTTCCAAAAAACAATCAAAACATGACTGGCAAAATCATGCCACAGCCTGTTTCTCTTTGGCTCTTATTATGGTTGGTTTTAAAAATTTAAAATCATAACTGAGTGTCCCAAATGTCAACAATATCAAGATGGCTGTGCCCATTGCACAAAAAATATGTATTCACTAATAATGTATGCATTATCTATGGATTTTTGTTTTCGTCATGTAACCATTACTGAAGAAAATAAAGTGACACTTTATAAGTATATACAACACTGCTGCCATTGCCTGTTCCATTGCTTCATCTTTTTTATCCAATTTGCACATAATGCTGAACAGTCATATATGAGAGACTGGTTTTGATAGGCTGAAAAATCTTATTCTATCCTATTTAACCAATGAGGCCATCTGAACGTGACCCCTTACAGGCCACTGTCAAATCTTCATAACGTAGTGTATTTATCATAATTATCTGTATTTCAATCGGATTGAGCATTGCCCTACTTAATCTCAAGCGAAGATTCGAGGTGCTTTGTTCAACACTTCCTCCCCCTAGCAGTTTGTGTTTCTCTGGAAGCTGAAAAATGGACCGGTTTGAACAGATGCAGTTGTGTCCTAGGGCAAATCAATACCCTTGATGGCATGCTCTGAACCTCCTGAATGTTGTTCAGTGAGGTAGCCACCGGATACTAAAAGGACACCCTGCTTTAAAACGACCCGGACTGTTCACATAGAGATTAATCATCAATGGTATGTACTTTATCAATCTGTTAACAATTTGTCAGTACAGGTCAGTAATCAAATACAACCAAAAATTCACATCTAAAATAGGATAATAAATATGACTAAAGCACATCTATAACATAAAACCTCTCCAGTGTTAAAACAGCAGCCTATACCTGTCTGATTTTGAAAGTTGCACGCCTTGATTTTGGTTACCTTTTCCATGTATGATTCAGCACAAAATGTCTACAATTTGTAATATTCATAAATATAATCAGTTATAGCATGACTGTTATCATACCAAACATTATTTTGTAAATGCTAAATTACAGCTAGAGTCCTTGCAACTGGAATCATTATCTGTCATGCTTTGAGAGAAGGAACATGTATACATGGTCACTTTCCCTGATAAACATGACATAGAGCTGAAGGCAACATTAATCTGAAGTTCAATTTGGTTTTCTCAATGTTAAACCCTGAAAAGAACCTAATGAAAAAGCCATTAAAAGCACTTGATAACTTCCACTCTAGATAAAGTGATTAGACACTGCAAAAAGTGCGACTACTATATTCCCCTAATGTATCTGGATTGTAATGGGTGGGTAGGTAATGGTATTATAATATTAAATATACTGAATTTTAATTTCTGAATAAATTGAAAGAGCCCTAGACTAGATTAAAAATCTACAAAGCAATGTTCTAAGTATTCATATGTGTAAGATGTTGACCTAGGTCTTCACAGGAAGTTGATTTGCAATTGACTTGGAGCTACAAAGAAATATCACATAGTTATGTCTTTATTGTCACTTCCAGCTGTGATGCCTGTATGGTTTTCAGATATCTGTGAATGAAGTCTGCCTCAGACATGGTCAGAAATAGGACACTTTCCAAGTTAGGGAAGTGGAAGTGGTCAGCATGGAAGCTGGCACTGGTCACCATTACTTGTGCCTGTCCATTGTTAACACAAGCCAAAAACTTAGAGTTGAACCTCTTTAGTGGATACACAGTTTTATTGTAAACTTTGTACTCTATGAAGACTTGGTCTTTTGGTTCCAGTTGGTTTTGTGCATTTCGTCTAATGTCTGATATCTGGAGTCTGTGATCACAGTTCTGGCGTACATAAAAAGCTTCTAAGTTTGCAGTGAATTTGTGTTTAAGAACCAAATGGCAGATGTCCTGAAGTCTGACTGTGTCCAGAAAAGGGGTGGCTATATACACCTTGTTCGCTCCATCACTGAACCAGTGGTCCAACAGTGCTTTCCAAAGTGGATAGACAACAGTGGGGCCATCTTGGACACATCCATGGCGCAACTTCTCCAACTGTGAACTCAATTCCTCATTCTCCAGCTGAAACATAATCACAAAGGTGCAAGTGTCTAAAAGAATTCAATGACATTGTGACAAAATTACTTCTAAAACACCTTTTCAGTATTTGCATTTTGAACATTGATGAAAGAAGACTGAGTAAACTGATTAAGTTTCAAAGAAAATTATTAAAATCTGAGTGATGGAGATCTACATACATGTACCTGCTTAAAATGCTGAAAATGGGTGTTTTTAATGAACTAGGGGTATTGTAATTCTGATCCAACACCCAGAAAGATGTCCAAGAAAATGCAGCTTTGAAATTGTTAATATTTTGAAAGACATATAAAACCAAGAATTCCATTATAATACTAATGATGTGTTGTAGGCAACCTCAAAATATTTATAGAATTTGCAAAAAGACCACTTTTTTGTGGAATTCACCTGAATTTATTTTTAGTGAGTATTCAAAATTCAATGAACATTTCAAGAATTACACTAAATAATGGTTTCTGATCAAACATGCTCTGGAAATTGTCTTGTACTCTTGTACAAACTATTGGGCAAAAGGAGAATCCATCTATGTATCTCCTGCCAACATTTGTTTTCCTTCAAAAACCATATCGTTTATTTTTAAAAACAAGATTTGCTTACGTGGTCAAGCCTGACTGATGCAAGCTGTTGTCGTGCCCTGTTCATATCTACATCCTCTTCCTGCACTGATCTCTCAAGCTCCTTGTCAATTTGCTTTCTATATACTGGTAATTCATCTGCCTTGCGCAGAGCCTCTTCTTCTCTTTCCCACTCCTCCCTCAGAACAGCATCTATTGTTAAATAAAGAGAAAAACCTATGAACAAAGGTTTGGAATTTCTTGATAGTAATTGTTAACTCTGCTCTAGCACTGAGTAGATTAATATCTATACCAAGGTATGTCATATCTGTTTCCAATAACCTCCTTCATATTTCAGTATGTTTGAAGATTTTAATGAACAAAATGACACTGATTAAAACAGCAGTAGGTTTGCTAGTGTCTAGCTGAGTACTTGGCCATTTATATATATATCCACGATCATTTAAGATGGATTGTTTCATTAAATCTTTTTAACTTATTATTACTTCTGAGTGAGTTTTGACATTGAAAGGACTAGAAGTTCCAAGTAACACTGACCAGCAGCTTTCTTCTCTCTATCCAGAATATTTTCCCATTGACTCTCGTACTGTGTGAACATAGCAAGTAAAGGCTGTGATGGGCCGTCTGGGGCATCATAATTCCTGAGGATGTCCTCAAATCTTTTAGTGAACCATTCTAATACAAAGTTGCCATGTATCACCAGTTGTCCAGTTGACAGGAAAACGGTTATGGTTACGTCATCAATATTCAAATTAATTTTTCTGTTTCCATTAGCCTCATAGAGTGTTCTATAGGGGTAATGCTGTACTGGATAATTGTTGTGGTGTTGGAGGACACGAATCCAGAGTGATGCCAAGGATATGGATCCTCTTTTTACCTTGTGTTTGATAATCACAGACTTGGACCTGGACAGATCCAAGTACACTTGTTCTCCAATTTTGTTTGATACAAAAACTTTGATGTGTTTTTCTATTGCTGTATCTTCAGCCATTGTGAGGTATCCAACTGCCAAGAAATCCAAAACCTTCGACAAAAAGAAACACAAAATTGCATAAAAAAAATGAAATTGTAGTTTTATTTGAACTGAAATGAGACTTCTACCACGATTTCATTACACAGTAACATGTGTTACCAGCCCAGATGTTTAATATCTGGTGAGGAAGCAAGTGCACGTCAAATAACATGGTATTTTAAGTAAAAAAAAAAAAAAAAACAGTAGAAGCAAATTAATTGGAAACATGTTTTAAGTTAAAATAGTTGGTGTATATTTCCCAACATTCTGTAAAACAGTGTGACTGACTGACTGCTTAGAAAGTGGGGAGGGGAGAGGGACTGCAGTTTTTATTTGTGCAATTATTTTGGTGACTCAATAGCTATAGTTGGTTGACAGACATTATTAACCTGTAAATAATGATTGGTATCTTTGGAAAACTGAGCTCTTAAAAATGAAATATCAGTATCCTACACTTATCAACTTTTACCACATATCTTGGCCACGTCATCTTTCAATGAATGTACACCAACTTGTGCATTAGTTACTCATTATATAAATTATAGCATGTATATAAATAAATAAGTTTGAGTATCTGGTGATTTTGTGACAGAGAAAGTTGAAAAGGTGACGCTAGTTCGAACCCCATTACTCCTTCCTATTACAATCGTTCACTCCAACGCTCCTATATAGGCTCCAATAGTTAAACATGTAGACAGACATATATACGTATGTGGTGTAGATTATACGAGCGTTTGTCATTTCATAACACTATATTTTGGTAAGTATTAAATGTAGTTATCTGTAATGTAAACAATAGAATTCGGCATAGAATACTTTACCGGGTAAACCAGTGTCACTTCTGATTTAAAGACGATTAGCTCGATACTATTCCAGTCAAGGCCGTCCCGTTGCTAAGTACACCAACCGGTATGTTGTAGATAAACCAACCAACCAGGTGCCCTCTGTCGACAACCATGGTCTACTTGTATTGTAACTGAAATAATATTAAATGAGAACATCTTCCCTTGGTTTTATCAATTATTCAAACACTCCAACAAAAACATTTGTGATCTATGCTACTCAGCCAAAGAAAATCAATAGGCCCTAAGTTGCATTGTTTACGATCGCATAAATTTCCCGCCAACATTAACTGATTCGGAGCACATTGGTTTCATTATATAACTAGAGGAGTCTCGAATGTTAACCTCTGTGATAACCCGGAAATGAATATTTTTACGGGAAATATTTCGCGCCAAATGTGAACACGTGAGCAAAACAAAGCAATACCAACCTTCATGATGGCTGGATTTGATGATGCAGGTGTATTTTTCAGTGATAACTTTGGATCTGAAGATCAAACAGACGAAAACCAGATCAACAGACAACAAATTAAGAAGAGATTCAAAGATTTTATTCGGCAATTTCACGAAGGAAACTTTTCATACCGATATCGGTGAGACACTGTTTCTATTTTGGGTTGAAATTTCGTCAAATTCGGTTAAAGCCAGGTCATTCTGACTATGTGTCCATTTTTACAGATTAACTTTGATGATTTAACCCGGACCGTATTATTTGTCCTTGGTCAAAAATGATGTGATTATTTTATTTCAAATCTAAGTTGGGAATAACATTTGATATTCAGTGCTTAAAACAAGGAGAAAGTGGTTAATTTGAATTCGCGCTGATCCAAACCCGAGGATATTTTTCCATCCTGGTGAATGTATATTAAATAAAGCCATGTTCATGTACTTAAGGTATTAATTAGTAACTTAATAACTTATCGGATGAAGTAGCTTTATTTCACATGCTTTTGGTTTTAGAGACCAGTTGAAAAGAAATTACAACCTTGGGCAGTACTGGCTGGAAATTGACTTGCAAGATGTGACCAGCTTTGATGAAGCTTTAGCTGAAAAACTAGGCAAACTTCCTGCGGAACATTTGCCATTGGTATGCGGAAACACATGAATATGTATTTTTCAATGAAGATCAAGTTTCTGTTATTAAATATTTGTATAAAAATGCGAATTAGTCTCGACCACAGATAATGAATTCATATGCTTGATTTATATTGAAAACCTGTTTCCTGTGTTACATACACAATCCCCATGTAGATTCCTATGTCATTTCTGTATTTTTTTTCTTGCATATAATGAATTGGCTATTATGAAATCCCATATTGCATGAACCAAATAATTATTATTTTTCATTGAAAACAAATAAATCGCTATGGTTTCTTTTAGACCTGACTTGTGTACAGGTACACAAACTGTTAATACCCGGTACATTTACATGTTACGAATGTCATTATGGAGACTATTAAACACATCAAAGAAATGAAGTGTATTTCACCAGTCACTTTATTTTTATCTCTGCACACATGAAAAATTAATAGGTTAATTATGTGTAATATATAACGATAAATATGTTGATCTAACCCTGTTGTTATCAATCATAAGATACCTTTGTTCAGCTGACATATCACCAATAAGGGGGATAACTTTCAAAAGCTGATCAACATATTTGGTTTTAATGAGACCTGTTTATTATGAACAAATACTAAGGGCTTCCTATCCAGGTTAGATAGTACATATTGTACTTGGAACATTTGGGAACTAGTGACTATCACAAAAGTTGTGTTCAGTTTGAAGATGCAGCAAAGGAAGTGGCTGATGAAGTTACTAGACCCCGTCCAGATGGGGATGAAGATGTGGAAGATATACAGGTCATGCTGAACTCCTCTGCAAACCCTAGCAGTATTCGTGAGCTCAAGGTCAGTATCTTCCCACAGCCTCTTTTGAATAAATTATTGACAACACCTATAGCCTTATCCCTCCTCCCACCCACTTGTACCCTTCCCCCTAGTCTTCATACTAACCACATGTATACTTAGCTTAAAATTTGGTTTATGACCCATGATTATAGAATTATATATTTTAATTAGACATTTGAGAATCGCTTTTAGAAGGAAAATATCTATTCACCTCACATGATGGATGTATAATTAATTTTTATAAATCTTTTAAAACTGGAAAAAATAATAAAATAAATACATTGATTCAAATATTGACTTTTCAGGTTAATGACTTGTATTAAAAAAAAATCACGAAAAAATTCTTTTCTGATTTTTAGTCTGAACAAATGGCCAGATTGGTGAAGATTCCTGGCATAGTGATCGCTGCTTCGGGTATCAAAGCAAAGGCTACCAAGCTAACACTTCAATGTCGGGGTTGTCAGAACATTCTCAACAACATTGCTGTCAACCCAGGAATGGAAGGCTATGCCCTACCCCGAAAATGCAATACGTAAGCAACATAGTATTCACTCATATTTTAATGTTTTTTTTTTTAAATTTTGAAATCTCTAATAAAAACAGGTTTATGAATTAGCTTCACACTGATATTTTAAGCATTTTGATATTTAAAAAAAAAAAGTGGAAGAGCATGACCAAATTGTTTTTAAGTATTTAAAATAATTTATTGTACTTCAAGAACCATTGAAAGTGATGTGTACCAAAGTGAAGCTGAATTAACATTTGTTTATATAAGAAAAAAAATTGCCCTGTCAATGACATTGTTTTGTAGTAAGGTGGAGTACATGTATGTAATGCACATTCTTCACATCATTATTAATTCAGGAGTAGATCAATGCTATTTTGGTTCACCTAAAATTTTCAATTTCATCAGAAACCAAATTGACCATAGTGGACATAACTGCAATATTTCTTAGGAACTATGTAAACTTTCTTCTGGAGTGATACATATTGAGTACCTGGCCAATTTCTTATGTTAATTGACTGAATTGTTCCTCTAAACAGTCTAGAGTAACTTTTAAGGTGTTGGAAGTTCTTAGCCACTAGAACAGCTATCAGAACATAGGAACATCTATTTTCTACTTCTCTTCACAGAGAACAAGCTGGCCGTCCTAAATGTCCTATAGACCCTTTCTTCATTGTACCAGACAAGTGCAAGTGTGTGGATTTCCAAAACCTGAAACTGCAGGAGGCTCCTGAGGCTGTACCCAATGGTGAACTTCCCCGTCATATGCAACTGTATTGTGATAGGTGAGGAGACTGGATGATATTAACCAAATGCCAGTTGTTAGCAAATTAAAAGCAGTAGAAATGGACTGGTCATCAGATTTTTTCATTTGTGAGCAAACATGTTTAAAGCATCCATCTGGTGGGCTGTCATTAGTAGAGAAGTTGGTTTTGGGTCTTGCAGAGATGAAAATAACTTGGTCTAAATAAAATGTGTGTGAAAAAATCTTATTAACACAATACTGTTGCATTTAAACTTACTTCAATTTACACTGATTAATCTACAATTGATTTTCATGAGTCTTTTTCAACTTCATTACTAAAAACAATGGGTCCAACAATGTAAAATTCAAGTATTTTCAGAAAATCTACAAGTCCTGTCAAAATTCTGTTAGTAGTGGACATGAGATTCGCATTTAAAATTATCACTGTACAAAATGTTGCCATACATGGTGGGTGAATAACTTGGCTCTGTTATTGGATGTCAACTCTTGTTTACAACGGTGGCATGGTTAGTGACCAGCAATTTTTATTAATTTTTGCTCAACACGCCAAGAATTAGTGTTAATACCAAATGCTTTATTTGTTCTTTGAAAAGGTTGAAAATTATTGTATATCTGGTGTGATAATGTTCTTTTATTTATCATGTTCAAACAAAATTTGCCATTGTTTGATTACAGATACTTGTGTGACAGAGTTGTACCAGGGAATAGAGTGACCGTGGTTGGTGTGTTCTCCATCAAGAAAACCTACCAAAGTTCAAAGGTACTGACTTTATTGAATCGTGGCATTTCCATGATTCACAGTTTGAAAGTTCAGTGAGAGAAAAAATAGTTATGGAATCACCACAAATTATGTTAGCGTAAAATGTTTGTATTGAGAGAACTTGAATAGGTACATTTGTGATTACAGAAGAACACCCGGGACAAGGTGAATGTTGGTATCCGCAGTCCATATTTCCGTGTGGTGGGAATACAGGTGGATACTGACGGGTCGGGTAGGAGCACCAATACCCCTATAACCCCAGCTGAGGAGGAAGAGTTCCGACGACTAGCCAGTAGCCCTAACATATATGAAACTATTGCCAAAAGCATTGCACCCTCTATTTATGGATGTATTGACATGAAGAAGGCCATAGCTTCTCTGTTGTTTGGTGGGTCAAGGAAAAGGTGAGATTTTCTGTCATTCATTGAAGACATTGTCACTTTTAATACGACAGCATTTTGTCTTTTGCCGCTCAAAAAAAAATTGAACACTCCAAAACAATTTTGGTATATATTGGAAAAATTTCTTAACAAATTAAAGTTTAAATATATGCAATATAGCATCTACATTTCTCCTTTTTGTACTGGTTTACCTGATGAATGAACAATTTCCTCCTTTATCTGCCCAGATTATTTGATGAATGAACTGTTTTCTCATTTCACAGATTACCTGATGGTCTAACAAGAAGAGGGGATGTTAACATCTTGATGTTGGGAGATCCTGGTACAGCCAAGTCTCAGCTATTGAAGTTTGTAGAGAGGGTATCACCTATTGCTGTGTATACCTCTGGTAAGGGTAGTAGTGCTGCAGGACTGACTGCATCTGTCATCCGAGACCCATCTACTCGCAGCTTTGTGATGGAAGGCGGCGCTATGGTACTGGCAGATGGTGGAGTTGTGTGTATTGACGAGTTTGATAAGATGAGGGAAGATGATAGAGTTGCTATACATGAAGCTATGGAACAACAGACTATATCAATAGCCAAGGTAAATCTCAATAAGTTTCTTAAAGTATATTTTTTTGTAATAATAGTATTTGCATAATATCATATTCAATACGTTGACGTAAATCAATTCCTTTGCAGTTTTGTTTCTGCATGAAAGAGCAAGGCTTTCAAAGGGCACCAACCAATAATGTTTAGAAATAAATACAATTGAAAAGGAAAAAAGGACTGGGACTGTCTGAGATATGGAAACAAATTGTCAATCTCAGCATCATTATCTGACATGTTTAAATGTATTTTCCTGCTGATTCTGATAGACTGTGGTTTTGTTCTTTACTTAAATGGTTTGTTATGAATCATTGAATTTCAGACAAACATCAGGTATACAATAATTCTTCACAACTATTTTAAAGTAGGAAACTATCTAGGTCAAAAATGATGGGCGAGGCATGGATGACTACAAAATCTTGAATTCTTTGCAATTTTTTTTATTATGATCAAACCTTTAAATTCACAATGGAGTGTTTTAGCATTTGAAAATAATATAAATTTTCAACTTTTTTTATTTGTCAAATTGTCACTTAGACTAAAAATTTGTTATTTCTTCAACTGTCTCTTGGATATAATTGTGGAAATCAGATTTGCAATATCTCGAAATATATATCAAATTGTATATGGTGTTTGAAAAAATGTGATGCATTCAGGAAAAAAGACCTGACTATAGATTTTTTATAGAAAAGGAAGGCTGAGAAATACGAAATATTGATTGCAGGCTGGAATAACAACCACGCTGAACTCGAGATGTTCCGTCTTAGCTGCTGCTAACAGTGTATACGGAAGATGGGATGAAACCAAGGGAGAAGAGAACATTGACTTTATGCCCACAATTTTGTCCAGATTTGATATGATTTTTATCGTAAAGGATGAACACAATGAAGAAAGAGACACTGTAAGTGTTGAACACCACAATGTAGATCTGTTTAGCTTAGAATTTCTTACAGAATTATATAAGGGTTCTCAGCAATTCATTTTACATATTCTGGTTGATATTTGATGGATATTGAAGTTGTCATAAGAGTGGAATATCAAATGAAATTAAAAAATAACATTGGTAAATATTCTTCTTGGATATATCCAGAATTATTATATTTTATTATTGATGTCCACAATTGCTGTCTTGTCCTATTAGATACTGGCCAAGCATGTGATGAATGTACATCTGAATTCACTTCAAATGACGGAGGAGCATGCAGATGGAGAAATCGACCTACTGACACTGAAGAAATACATCTCCTACTGTAGAACGTGAGTATTATATCTTATAATCCATACAACAACCTTGTTGTTAGTATGATTCAACCAACAAGATTACCTCAGTCATCTAGTTGGATCTTAATTGTGGTGATATCTTATGATGAGGAGATGGGAAAAACTGAATATTACATATAAAGGAGATGGGAGTGATAAATATTACAAACAAAGGGGGTGGTGATGATAAATATTACATATATGGGGGGTAGAGATGATAAATACTACATATAAAGGAGGCGGGAGGGTGATAAATGTTACATATAAAGGGGAGGGAAGTGATAAATATTACAAACAAAGGGGGTGGTGATGATAAATACTACATATAAAGGAGGGGGAGGGTGATAAATGTTACATATAAAGGGGAGTGTTAAATATTACATAAAAAGGGAAGGGAAGTGATAAATATTTCATATAAAGCAGGAAGGGGGTGGGTGGGTTGATAGATATTACATATAAAGAGGAGGGGGAGTGACATATTACATGTAAAGAGGGATTGTGGTAATTTCTTGCCATAAGAGTGACAGCATCAGATCAATGACAACTACTTTGTTGGACCATATGGTACCCCTTTGTGTTATGCTGTTCACTAGTCCATTTCAGCCTACTAAAGGCAAGGAAAACCGCAATCATCCTCATATCTACAGAACATTGATTTCTTCTGTGTAACCCAAACTAACCAACCCTACTTTTTAGGTCATCTGACCCGAAGGGTCCGATGACCTATAGTCATCATGCTTCGTCCGTCTTCGTCCGCCGTGCGCCGTCCGTAAACTTTTCATTCAAACGACTTCTTCTCAAATACTAGAAGGTCTAGGGGGCTAATACTTGGCACAGAGGATACTGGCATGGAGCTCTACCAAGTTTGTTCAAATGAATGACCTTGACCCACTTTAAAGGTCACAGGGGTCAAATATGTTAAAATATTTAAACAACTTCTTCTCATTAACCAAAAGGCTCAGAGTGTAGATATTGGGCCTGTGACATGCTGGGATGAAGGACTACCAAGTTTGTTCAAATGAATGACCTTGACCCACTTTAAAGGTCACAGGGGTCAAATATGTTAAAATCTTTAAACAACTTCTTCTCAATAACCAAAAGGCTCAGATTGCTGATATTGTGCCTGTGGCATGCTGGGATGAAGGGCTATCAAGTTTGTTTAAATGAATGACCTTGAACAACTTTCAAGGTCACAGGGGTCAAATATGTCAAAATCTTTAAATAACTTCTTCTCAAATACTAGAAGGCCTAGGGGGCTAATACTTGGCCCATAGCATGCTGGCATGGAGCCCTACAAAGTTTGTTTAAATGAATGACCTTGGCCCACTTTCAAGGTCACAGGGGTCAAATATGTTAAAATATACAAAGGACTTCATCTCAATAAGCAAAAGTCTATGAGTGCCGATATTGGGTCTGTAGCATGCTGGGAGAAAAGGCTACCAAGTTTATTTAAATGAATGACCTTGAACAACTTTCAAGGTCGCAGGGGTCAAATATGTCAAAATCTTTAAATAACTTCTTCTCAAATACTAGAAGGCCTAGGGGGCTAATACTTGGCCCATAGCATGCTGGCATGGAGCCCTACAAAGTTTGTTCAAATGAATGACCTTGGCCCACTTTCAAGGTCACAGGGGTCAAATATGTTAAAATATACAAAGGACTTCATCTCAATAAGCAAAAGTCTATGAGTGCCGATATTGGGTCTGTAGCATGCTGGGAGGAAAGGCTACCAAGTTTATTCAAATGAATGACCTCAACCCACTTTCAAGGTCACAGGGGTCAAATATGTTAAAATATACAAACGACTTCTTCTCAACAAGCAAAAGTCCATGATTGCTGATATTGGGCCTGTAAGATGCTTGGAGGAGAGGCTACCAAGTTTGTTCAAATGAATGACCTCAACCCACTTTCTAGGTTTGGCTTGCTTTTTGTCAGATGACCGTTAAGGCCCATGGGCCTCTTGTTATGTGGTTAATTCTGGAACAGCCCTTATAAATGATACGTTCACCTATAGTATCATAATGATGTTACCAAATCCATACAGAGAATAATTTTGTATTTGTTGTTAGTTGATTTAATATGGAACAGTGAAGCAAATTTTTGTGTTCTGGTAATATTCTGGAAGTCTTCTCTCTTCAGATGTTAAAATCTTCTTAAACACATATCAAATGTGAAGGAGACAGCAACAACTGAAGGGTTATGATTTGGATATCTGCAATACTGTGACCTGCCAATGTACTTGTAGCTTAAAGGTTTGTAAAGGTGTCTTCTTTATTATTGTAGGAGATGTGGCCCAAGATTAGCTGTGGACGCTGCAGAAAAGTTGAAAAACCGTTACGTGTTGATGAGAAACAGTGCCAGCGAGTATGAGCGAGAAACGGGGAAACGCATCAGTATACCAATTACTGTTAGGTGGGTCACAAGTTGAATGTCTCATTTTGAACAAAGGTTTCAAAGCTTTGTTCTTTTAGAACATGAAAAGTTACACGAAAAATTCTGAGGGGTAGTTAGAATTTTTGCAGTTGTTTGATGATGGCCTGGCCTGTCCTATTGTAGATTTGTTGGTTTCATTTGTTTGTGTTGCTCATAATCGTCCACAAAGTAACGGCTCATTAGCTGTGGAGGAAGTTTAATGTGAAAGTCTGAACAGCAAAGTTATTACTTTTACCAAAGTTGTTCAACTCGTGTTTTTGCTTAAATGTCATTGAAGCTTCACAAAACGACTACCAATATAGTGAGAAAAATCCTCTATATTAATCAGTTGAACTTTAAGCTTATATATAGATTATATTATCAAACAATACGGTGTTATTAACCATAAATGATTTAAAAGCATTAGAGGAAGGGTGTTGTGATTTAGAGTATTATTTTTATGACAATTATGTGGGATAAGAAAGTCTGGCGTGAATTGTTTTGGTTTTAGGAAATTACAGGTAGAAAAGCAATACTGTCTTACCTTCATTACAAGGTGTGGTAATATTAACTTGGTAGAAAATTTCTTCACCAGCTATGTTCTTGGTTGCAACATGTACAACAGCTTTCATACTGAACGTTTTGTTGGTTTAAGGAATTTTTCATTTAAGACAGCTGTCTTATTGTCAAAGATATTATGAAATATGACCTTGCAAGTGAAAACAACTATTGCATTTTGGAACATTTTGAATTATTTTATATTTTAATTATCTGTAAATAGGCAATTGGAAGCTATCATCAGAATATCAGAGTCCTTGGCCAAGATGAGAATGCAGCCGTTTGCCACAGAGGGAGATGTCGATGAGGCCCTTCGACTGTTCCAAGTGTCAACACTTGATGCTGCCATGTCTGGAAATCTGTCAGGTTAGTGTTAGACATAATTCCTATTATATGTGAATATCCTTTTGCCATAATCATGTTTTAGCTAGATCTCCTGGTCAGATCTCCTTCTCTGCTCTTGACAGCCATTTTGTAACTTAATTTCACTGCAATGGTTTCCCTGAACGACACCTATTTTAAATTTCGTTGCAAGTTCCATTAATGGAATTCAGATGAAACTTGCCTGATTGGATCCTGAGGCATTTCAGAATAAGTGATGTAATTTTTCAGATCAGTCTGAAATGGAGTATGGCCGTCAACTTAAAACTTCTCCAATTCCACAACTGCTATTGAGCTGAAATTTTGAAGTAATGTTCAGAAATTTAAACAAGGGTGTTTTTTAAACTGATAATGCTAAACTATTCTGATCTGTTTTAATGGTGAGATGATTGTTAATACCCAAGAGCCTCTTGTTTATGTATTGGTATTTAAGTTTTGAAAGCGCCTGTAAACCATTTTTGTTGTTGGCTGACCACTTTGATATTTCAGATGTAGATCCCTTTAGTGCCTGGTTGTGCATTGATCATTTTGGGACTGATAAGAGAAAGAAAATTGCTGTCAAATGGCCAGCTTGGATTTTACAGTAATATTTCATGTTGTTCACTGACATTTTTATCTCCATTTAGGTGTAGAAGGGTTCACTACAGAGGAAGACCAAGAACTATTAAGCAGGATTGAAAAGCAGATCAAACGACGATTCATCATTGGATCACAAGTATCAGAACATGCGATCATTCAAGACTTCACAAGACAGGTAGGAAACTTTGACATTAAGAGAGAAAAAAAGAAATTACAATTTCTTATTCAAGTTTTGAGAAAGTAGTCAGCAATACATGTTATAAAATACAGTAGGGAGTGGGCATATTTGTGGTAAAATAAGGTTTTCTATGTTTCAAAGGATAGTGTTTCCAGTTTTGACCAAAATTGACAAATGGGGCATTTTGCTGTTTATAGTGGTTCAAACCATTGGGGAATATAATGGATAAACTTGAGCAAGAGTATGGAAGATTTCATCTGTTTGTCGAGATAATCTGAAAATCAAATTTTTATGCTAACCTTAATATTTGTTTTAGGGACTAAACAGTTTCTATGTTAAGGCCACTCATAAGATGTATGTTCATAGGAATAACGAGCTACTTAGGGATAGATGAGAGCAACTAGAAATAGTGATTTTACTGTTACATTGGGTTTTTTTTTATTGCTTTCTTGTAGAAATACCCTGAACGCTCCATATACAAGGTGCTGCACTTTATGATGAGACGTGGGGAGGTACAACATAGAATGCAGAGGAAGATGCTGTACAGAGTGAAGTAGATTACAAACAGGATTTTCAAATCAGTTGGAATTCACAGAACATTAAAAACTATTTGTTTTCAGACTCTCTTAAATAGCAGAATGACCGAGTGTGCTCTAAAAAGCTGGACATTGTTGTTCAATCCGAAGAAAAATAATCACATTTTGCAGATGTTTGATTGTTTTTTCATACTAAAAGATGTGATTACACCTCTATCTAGCCCAGCAGTCATAATTTTCAGAATGTATTTGACTGTACAGTCTTTTCTTGCGGGATTTGGTAGTCTGTCATTGCATTTATTGGTGAATGAATTGTAAAGTGATATTGTAATATTATAAGTAGTTTCCTAGCTACATATCTAGGTCTTACATAATTTATGTTCATATATGATGGGGTTTTTTTTCATGTCACAAGTTCTGTAATACCTGCCATAAAACTACAATGTATATATGAAATATGTAGTGCTGTATTCTGTAAATATTTCAATGGAATAAACTTGCTGATCTGATGTACTTAATTTGCCTTCTTATTAATTACCATTTTATACACAAAAAACAGATTTGTGATGCTTTCACTGTAATTAACAAGAATCATGGTTCAAAAGGCATTGATAAAGTAAACAAATCACTAAAGGTCAGTCTTGTGTAAACATTCTCTTTCATTAAATTTTGTCATTTAGAAAAGAAAAAGTATTTCAAAACTTTTTATTACTGTCAAATCAAACTTATGGAAATCAGTCAAAACTCCCAATAAAACAAACAACATTTTTTTTATTCATAATCAAAACAAAAGTAAAAAAATTGCACAAGTTTTCAGATACATGGAAAGCAAAAGGTGAGCATGCAGCTTGTAAAAAGGCTAGTTCAACATTGTTGATATTTACATGGTATGTAACATGCTGCCTTGACATATATCCAATGGAATTTCATAGATCTACCTTCATTGAGAAGTTGATGCCCAGAGAAGCATCACAGAGTGATGAAAATATAAACTTAAATGTAATTTAGATCTTGGTGTACTGACCCGAAAAAGATGTGCAGCACGTGTACACAAAGGTCCCATCAAATGTCACGTACTGACCCGAAAAAGATGTGCAGCACGTGTACACAAAGGTCCCATCAAATGTCACGGTTTACACAATTTGAGATCAAGGTCATGTATCTAACAAAACAAAGTGAGTGATCAAAATATGATTTCAGTGTTTTAAAGTCAAAATTAATGATCTACATGTATCTTTAACATAGTATTTACTTGATAAAATGGAGTCAAAGTCACACTTTGGAAAAAATGGTTAACATTTTGTTTGGACATGATGCGGAATGATGTCAAGAATCAAAGGTCACCAACTGATGTTTTATTAAATGTTAGATGGAGAAATAGGTGAACTGAAACTTAAAGAAAATACCCAAATCTAAAGAAATTTACGGAATGAGATGTGGAAACAGATTGTTACAGCAACAAAGTTCAGTGTGAAGAAAAAAAACACCCATAATAAAAATATATATGAATATGCATGTAAAGAAGACTGGCTAAGACTTGATGTGGATGGTGTTAAAGTACAGCCTCTTAGGTGTTCTGGATCTGCTGTGGTTCTTCTGTACTCCCAGATTCATCTTGTTCCTGGAATGTGCCATAGTTGTCCCCCAGATATCTGTCATTTGGATCAAGACAGCAGTGCAGACACCTTTGATACCAAGGGCAAATTGCATGTTTATACTCAGGTGTTTATAAAGAGCATGCAAGTTGACAAAAAATTTGAATGGTCATCCTGACTTCTTTTAATCAAGGTTTTGTGTCAATTCTGTATTTCAAACAGATAGCTCATGGACTTATCTGACTGGACAAAAATTGTCCAGAACTTTTGTCTTTGAAAACAAGTTTTAATTGGTATACAAAAAAAAAATAAATGTTAAACGATCCAAAAAAAATATTACAAATTACTTCAATTAGTTTCATGAGAAAACTTTAAAAAATGCTTCCACATTGATGGAGAAAGGTTGAATACAAATGCAATACAATAGATATATAACTTCAGAAAGTTGAATATTCAACTTTAACAAGAAGGCAAATATGAGTAAACTGAAAAACAGAAAGTTCTGAAAACTGTCATATTCAGCTATAACAGTTCAGCTAAATAATGTATGAATGTAATGTGGAACAATTATGGCTTATATTTACACTTGCAACATTACCAGATTAAAATGTTTACCATAGTAGCATGAAACATTGACCTTTGAACTTGCACATGAAAATGCTATAGGCACTACTTCTGTCAATAACGTTTACATATAATTATATTTTGTTGAGCACATTAATGAAACAAGAAACGGAATTAAATTTTTAATCAGATGAAGTATGATAATCTGAGAAAATGTTTTTTTATGTATGATTATGATTAACAAAAAGGAAAAAAATCTACCAAACCATTTTGAAAGTGTTGACTGTTAGTCCTGTTAGATAAAAATCAAAGCATAGTTCCTAATTATCAATCACACAAAACACCCCATAAGATACCATGAACTTCTAGACAATTTAACATCAAATAAGCAAGCTTGTTTGTTAAGGATGTTGGTAAATATTTGTTAACAATTAATGTATCAAAGCTAGAAAAGAAAGAAAAAAAAGAACTGGGGAAGGTCAAGGTCACGCGGACCAGCTATGCCATACAATTTTGGGCTCCTGAAATTATGTCTTATTTCGGAATTTTGAGGTCATCAATAACCCTAATTTTTGGATGGTACATGGTTTATGGGTTTATGGACAGTACTATTTAGGTAATTTCTACATGCGAGAGTAGAAAAGTGACATTTGAATCTTAGAAAATCTAACAATGGATTAAGACCCTACCGTGATGACAACTGTTAACGACGCGCCCGTGGTGTATACAGTGTACATGTACTTGTGTGGTGTGACTGTATGATTATACTCAACTGTACTGGACTTTGATTTGGATATTTATCACCATTTAAAGTAAATTTCTGACCATGGGTAAACCGGGAGTTACTAGAAGCAGCAGCTCAGGTGGTGCTAAGACGACAGAGGAAAGGTTAGAGGAACTGACTGCAATGGTTGCCAACATTGTGACTAAGTCTGAAATGGACAAAAACATACAGCGTCTCACAGACAGGTTGGAAGAGAAGCTCACCAAACTAAATGATGATATTCGGCAGGAAAATCGTGAACTGATCCAATCCTATGAGGGGAGAATTTTCGAACTTGAGAGAGAAAATTCGGAACTTAAACAGACTGTCGGTCATTTAGAAACGATGTATTTTGAGCTAAAAGATTCACAGGAAGAGATAAATACAAGATACAACGACTTGGAGCAGCAGGGACGAAAAAATTCTATTCGTATCTATGGCCTAGACGATCCAACCGTGAGAGAGACTGTGGCTGAGTGCAAAGACAAAGTGACTAATTTTGTCAATTCCGAGTTGGGTGTGGCACTCCGTGGGGATGACATCGATATAGCCCACAGGCTTGGAAGGTACCGTGCCGGTAAGAAGAGAAGCATTATTGTGAAGTTTACGCATCGGACTAAGAAACATGAAATCCTGAAGGAGAGACGGGCTCTGAAAGGTTCCGGGATCACGATATTTGAGGACCTTACTCAACGAAACCAAGATCGACTTAAAGAAGCCTACAAACTGGAATGTGTGAAAAACTCATTCAGTGTCGATGGTAAACTTTTTGTTATTCTTCAGGATGGAAGAAAACGTAGACTGTTAAATGACACTCCACTAAATGGGAAATACTTGATGGAAGATGAAAATTTCAGAAATAGTTGACTGGACTGTGTTAAAATAAATCATCGGTAAAGGACTCTTCCGGGAAATGGCCCGGTTACCGATACATTATGTGTTCTATTTTCAACTTTTTCGCGAAAAAAATATATGTGTGGATTACTTATACATTCTGTAAGTTGATCTATGTGATTCCAAATCGTGGGATGTAAGTTGTGTGGTGAGATGATCTACAGGTTTATTAAGGTTATATTGACTCTCCGTTAAGCTAAATGATGACTCACTTATGGAAGATGGATACTTCATAAATCGTTGACTGGATCGTGTAAATTATCGGTAAAGAACTTCTCTGGGAAATAGCCCGGTTACCGATACATTATATGCTCCATCTTTCAACATTTTTAGATAAAAATAAGCGTGGATTAAGTGTGGTCAGTGTTTTTTCTATATCATGGGATGTATAAGTCGTCTGGAGAGTTGACTCATTTCGGTTGAAAGGTAAGCCAAATATAATATAATGTTTTTGTCATTATGAACTATGATTAGGATAATCTTGCTACTGGATTAATTCCTATCATCTCTTTATTTACTTTTTTTCCAGTTTGTAAATTCATCTTTATGTCTTGTAAGTTTTAATTTATTTACTATATGACTGCTGTACACAGTATATATAGATTATAATTCTAGAATATCCGGTTTCTTTCATTTTTCCGGACCTCTGCCCAGGCTCTTCAGGAAAATTAGCTATGCACTACAGTATATCCCGTAGTAGTAACGGCTATATATGCAGTTTAGTAAAATTGATATTTTTGTCCTGCAAGTTTTTAATTATCTTACTGTATGACTGCTGTACACAGCCTATGTAGACTATAATTCTAGAATATTCGGTTTTTATTACTTTTTCCGGATCTATTGTCCAGGCTTTGTTTTCACTTCATGTATATTAGTTATGCACTATCACAATTTCCTGCTCAACTTCCGGTTCTCTTGGCAGTAGTAGTGGTTGCAGTTTAGTAATAACGTCATGTTGGAGTGAGTTTGGGCGTGAAAGTTGATAGTTGTCGACGACCAAGACCACATAGGATATTTTTTATGTTTCCTTTATGTGTTTACATGTTTTATGTCCTGTTTTCTTCTTTCTTCTTCGTGACAGATCTTCTATCAGTTGTTAGGCCTAACGCTACGCTACCGGGTGTCGATACGGATGAAGAGATAAATGAGATGGTAACACATATGTTCCATGGCATTTACCTAAACACCTGTCCCGATTCTATGGATCGTAGCTGTTTTAACTGTTTAATTACTTTATTATTGTTAATAACATAACTATTCTTAGTGCTAACTGTCAGGGTTTATGTGACAGAATAAAAAGGAAAGATATCTTTACATACTTCAGAACTCAATCATATAATATTTTTTGTCTTCAGGACACACATTTTACTAAAGAGAAGGAGAATATTTTTAGAAGTGAATGGGGTACTGATTGCTTTTTTAATTCTTACAAATCTAATGCTAGAGGGGTTGCCATATGTATTAATAACAATTTTGAGTTTAGGGTTCATAAAGAAAAGGGAGATAACACCGGTAACTTTTTAGCTCTTGATATTACGATTGAAGGGACAAGGTTAACTCTTATTACTGTATATGGTCCAAACCAGGATAATCCTGAATTTTACAATATTATTTCTGAGACTATTGATGATTTTGAGAACTGCTCTGTTATTTTGTGTGGAGATTTTAATTTAGTTCTAGATCCTGAGGTTGATTATGATTGTAATTATAAAAACATTAATAATCCAAAAGCAAGGGAGAAAGTTTGTGAAATTGTTGAAAATTATGGTCTTATTGATATTTTTCGAGAACAGCATGAGAATAGTAGAAGATATACCTGGAGAAGAAACAACCCTATTAAGCAGGCAAGGCTAGATTTTTTTTCTTATTTCTGAGAACATGCTCTCTTCTATTAAAAACTCTTCAATTGATCCTGGGTATAAATCAGATCATTCTTTTCCAAAGATTCTAATAGAATTTAACAAGTTCAAGAGAGGGAAGGGGCTTTGGAAAATAAATAATTCTTTGTTCCAAGATATAGAATATCTCAACACTATAAACTCTCTTATTAATGATGTTAAAATGCAGTATTGTTTACCAGTTTATAACCTAAATAATCTCCATGAAATATCTGACACTGATTTACAATTTACTATAGATGACCAACTATTTTTTGAAGTTTTATTGATGGAAATTAGGGGAAAAACTATAGCATACTCAAGTCATGTTAAGAAACAACAGCATATTAGAGAAGATAATTTAAAACACACTATAAAAGATTTGGAAGATAAAGATAATGTTGATTTAAATGAATTAGAAAATAAGAAGAAAGAGCTTGAGGTAATTAGGCAACATAAAGTTAAGGGAAATATTATTAGGTCACGGGCAAAATGGATAGAAGAAGGAGAAAAACCTACAAAATATTTTCTAGGATTAGAAAGTAGAAATTTTACCTCCAAAATTATCCCAAAAGTAGAGAAACCAAACGGTGAGATAATAACTGATCAGACTGAAATTTTGAATAGTGTTAAAGATTTTTATGAAAAATTGTATGATGATTCCGATGATACAGATGATGTTAATTTAAATATTTTTTTATCTCATTGTCAAGTTCCAAAGTTAGATCTTATTGATTCAGAAAAGTTGGAAGGTATTATAACATTGGAGGAAGCTGGAAAAATTTTATGTCATATGAAAAATAATAAAAGTCCAGGCTCAGATGGTTTTACGACAGAGTTTTTTAAATGCTTTTGGAAACAGCTTGGCACTTTTGTAGTAAGATCCTTAAATTTTGGTTACCATAATAATGAACTTTCGGTTACACAAAAACAGGGTATTATCACTTGCATTCCTAAAGGTAGTAAACCAAGACATTTTATTCAGAATTGGCGACCAATATCTCTTTTAAACATTGTGTATAAAATTGCAGCTGGAGTTATTGCTGGTAGGCTAAAAACAGTTTTAGGAAAACTTGTAAATAATGATCAAACTGGGTTTTTGGAAGGACGTTATATTGGGGAAAATACTAGAATCATATACGATATTATGAATTATACTGAACTTAATGATATTCCTGGGATGCTTCTTATGGTTGACTTTCAAAAAGCCTTTGACTCTGTTTCATGGAAATTTATAGATAAAACTCTTTCTTTTTTCGGTTTTGGAGACAGTATTAAAAAGTGGATAAAAACATTTCATTATAATGCCAATTCTGCTATAATTCAAGGTGGAAATCTCTCTTTTTTCAAGGTAAAGCGCGGCTGCCGTCAAGGGGACCCTGTCTCCCCGTATATCTTTATCCTGTGTGCTGAAATATTAGCTATAAGGTTAAGAAATAATAATGACATAACTGGTGTAAATGTAAACAATTTTCCTATCCTTCTCTCTCAATATGCAGACGACACCTCATTAATACTTGATGGGTCAGAAAAATCTTTACAAAATTCAATCCTCGAATTAAATATTTTTGCTGATATCTCTGGATTAAAAATTAATGTACACAAAACTCAGGTAATATGGATAGGTAGTAAAAAATACAGTACTGACACTTTTTTACCAGAACTAGGTTTACAATGGGGCAGGGATAAATTTACACTCTTGGGTTTGGATTTTAGTGTAAATTTACATGAAATAGCTAGATTGAATTATGACAAGAAATTGGTAAAACTTAAGTCTTTAATTAAATCATGGAATAGGAGAAAACTTACATGTTAAAATACATGTTATTAAATCACTACTAATATCACAGTTTAATCACCTCTTCATATCACTTCCTAATCCAAGCTGTGCTTTCCTTAAAAAGTTGAATAAAATTCTATACAATTTCTTATGGAATGGTAAAATAGACAAAGTAAAAAGAAATGTCATAACTAAAGATTACTTTGAGGGGGGTCTAAAAATGATTAATATTATTTCTTTTATAGATGCTTTAAAACTAGGATGGTTAAAAAGATTCTTCCTTAGTTCACAATCCAGAAAATGGCAAATCATACTTAAGAATATTATTAATATGGATTACATTATGAATTGTGGCAATGATTACTTACAGAAATGTCAGAAATCCTGCAAAAATACTTTTTGGTGTGATGTCCTGAAGGCTTGGGAAAGATTATTGAATTCTGAATAACTAAAGGGCAGACAACTCTCTATACTAAAATCCCCATTGTGGTATAATCCTAATATAACTATAGGTGGTAAGTCTATTTTTTACAATAACTGGTATTCCAAGGGTGTTAGAGTAATAAATGACATACTGGAAAATACTAGTCCAGTTACTTTCTATTCCTATCCTGATTTCTTAAGGACTTATGGTTTAACTACAAATTTCCTCCATTTTCAAGGCCTTGTAAACTCTGCTAAATTTTATATAACTAGCTGTACACCGATAGACCCAGATACACAACTTTTACACCCGTCCATTCCCATTAACATAGAACCATTTTTCAGTAACACAAAGGGAACAAAATATCTATATCAACTTTTGTCTAAAAATGATGAAATTCCAACAGGTAGAAAAAAATGGGCAAATGACTTTGATTTTGATATTGGAGATTGGGCAAACATTTTTTCACTACCTTTTAAAATAGTTAAGGACTCGAAACTCTAGTGGTTTCAGTATCGGATATTACATAAAATTCTGACAACTAATTCATTACTATTCAAGGCAAAGCTAGCTGTAAGCCCAATGTGTACTTTCTGTAAAATAGAGTCTGAAACAATATCTCACATTTTCTGGGAATGTCCTAAGGTTCAAGACTTATTTCAGAACCTAGAAGTAGTTTTAGATGATCTTTTAATTCCTTTCACTATCAATAAACAATCTGTTATATTTGGCATTTGGCCGCATCAAAATGAATTCAGCAAAATAGATAATGAAGTAAATATTATCATAAAACATTACATTTATAAAACTAGGTGTCTTGACACCACATTAAACATAAATTCTCTCATCAACTCTATTAAAGACCATTATAATGTGAAAAAATATATAGCAACAAAAAAAGGTGGTGCTTTTCTCACCAATTTTAATAGAGGATGGGTAAAGTGGAAACAGATTCTATCTATATAATTTTTCATTTATACCTGTATTACAACTATAGTGCAAATATGTATACACCATTTAAACAATTGTCACATAGGCATGAGCAGCTGGCACGAACGAAACTTAAATATAGTAAATTTTATTATGACCACAATTCGTTTTCTGTTTCTTCCAAAGAAGGTCTGTCTGTCTTATTGTCTGTTTGTCTGTCTTATTGTCTGTCCGTCTGTCTTATTGTCTGTCTGTCTTATTGCCTGTCTGTCTTAGTGTCTGTCTGTGTCTGTCTGTCTGTGTCTGTCTCTCTGTGTCTGTCTGTCTGTCTGTCTGTGTCCGTCTGTCTGCTTATGTATTGCCTGTCTGTCCATACTTCTTTCTTTCGGCTTTTTTTTTGAAGCACATCACATGAGTCTAACTTACTTTTTGTATGTACCGGTATGTAATGTATGTGTGTGTGTGTGAATGTGTACATGTATGGGTGGTAGGGTTTGTGCGCGCATGTGTGTGTGTGTGTGTGTGTGTGTGTGTGTGAGGGAGGGTGGGTGTGTGTGTGTGTGTGTGTGTATGTATGTATGTATGTATGTATGTAACATGTATGTATGTATGTATGTATGTATATATGTATGTTTCTGTCAGAGAGTATACATTTGGCATTTTTGAACAATAGAATGATCACGAGTGTTTTCTGCGAGATGTCTCACTAGATATTTATATTGTATCTTTGTCATGTGCTTGTGTCTTGTGAAAAAACCTGAATAAAATTATAAATTAAAAAAAAAAGAAAAAAGAACTGCCTTGGTATTCTGTATGTTTTCCTTTGTTCTTTCTACCTGTGTAGGTTGAAATATTTTCATAAAATATACTCACATGATGATGATAAAAGCGATCCCCACAAGTCCAGAGGCAAGCAAGAATGAAGACCCATGATACAGTTCCACTGTGATAGAGTAAAAATTATTGAAAAGGATAGTGGCAACTAGGCTGGCCACACTCTCAGCACTTGCGACCAGTCCAAACAGGCGGCCTATATAATTAAAACAAGCGACCGGTGTAATTAACAGTTTTTATTAAGGCAGTGACAACAAGCTAGGCTGGCAAACTCTTGCTACTGGTTACAAGTCCAAACAGGCAACCTGTATAATAACAAGAGACACATAGAGCCTGTATTGCTCACCTAAATATCAAAACCCAGAAATGTTATTACAAGCCCATAGGTTTGGGTATTTCAAATATTTCCAAATTAAAGCTTAGTCACTTAACCTCTTTGATGGGGCAAGAACCCAGGGCCAGTTCTTACATCATGATTGTGTTCATCTCTTTATGCTCAGCAATGCTTATGGTATATGGTTATGGGATTGGGATCTAAACTGTTTTCAAACGCTTTTTCCCTATTCAGCGCCCTTCCCTCCTGCCCTAGGGGGTTGAGATCCACCATTTATACAAAATTGATCCCCTTTCACCAAAACATGGTTCTTCACAAATTTGGTCAAAATCCAATCATTCTTACACAAAGAGTAGGATTTTATAGAATTTGCTCTATTTCCCCTATTGGGCCCACCCATTCAGCCCAGGGGGATGAGACCTATACAAAATTGATTCCTCTTCACCTAAACATGATTCATACTAAATTAAGATAAAATCCAATCATTCCTACAGGAGAAGTAGAATTTTCAAGGACTTTTCAAATTTCCACTTTTGGGCCCCGCCCCTAAGGCCCTGGGGGACAAGATACACCATTTATACAACCCCCCCCCCCCCCCCACTCTCCTCTAAGGATGCTTCTGACAAAATTTGGCCAACATCCCCACTGCTGTTCACAGCTAATAGCATTTGTTGACAGACAACAGACAATGGACGGACATCACGGTATCCCTATAGCTCACTTGGCTTGTCTTTTCTTAATAAAGGCCAGGTGAGCTAAAAGTGGTCCTTATTAAGACTGTAACAACAAGGCTGGCCAACTCTCGCTACTGGCTTCAAGTCCAAATAGGCAACCTGTATAATTTAAATAGTCTTTATTTAAGACAGTGACAACAATGCTGGCTACACCATGTCTTAACAAGACAGTGGCAATGAAACTGGCCACACTTGAGGTGTTCAGAGTCCAAACATTTGACTTGTTATATGTACTTGGATTAAATAATTCATAAAGTGGCTACATTTATAAAAACAGAAAAAGCTGTCAAGCATGGATAAGATTAGGATCAATAGATCTTTCAAACATGTATAGATTCAGTCCATTAGTTTGAACTCTACTAACAAGTAATGAGTTTACTCAGTACAAACATTCTGTAAACCTTACACTAGAGGTAAGCTTTTGTTGTCACAAAGGTAATATCTTGTACCGATTATCAGCATCATCAACAGTTAGGTTCAGAATGTGTGGATCAAGATTCAACCAATGGTGCATACCTGTTAAAACTTACAGGCTGCATGACAATCACTAGTTTTCAGTATTTCTATAAGACACCAGGTTAAAGCATGACAAATATATTGATGAAAATGAAATGAATACCTAAACATAAGTATCTTCCATTTTGCTAAAAACTACTGAAAGCATACATTTTCATGTTAATTTACAACAGGCACTAGTATATGTTGGCTTTGTGGGGCAATTTACAAAGCAAGAACTACATTCTGACAAGGGGTAACAACATAAGAACAAAGAGACACTTTGTGACAGGCTAACTAAGGAGGTGATCTCATTCAATGGTGTTTGACCAACCTTGTTCGCTTGTGTCGACCAGTCCCGACATTAAGGACCTAAGTCCAGCTGATGGAAAGCCTTGCAGCACATTCAGCACAGGAACTAATGAACAGAAGATGATAACTTGATGTTATCTTTTCAGTCGTGAAAGAGGTCACTTTTTGTAACCTTATATAAATGTTGATTCAGAGATTAACAAATAATAACAGACTGAAACAGCTTGAAGTTGAATAAGAGATTCAGTATTGACTACCATATAATCAATTAAAAAATGTTTACTTCAAACAATAATATGTTGATACAAAGAGGAAGACATCTAGAAAATCTGTTCAAATACGAGAGATGTTTTTTCACAATAAAACATTTGTAAATGATATGATATTATAAAGTTGTTATGACACTGTGCATATTTAAGTTGAATAATGAACTGCATGCCAGAATGTTGGTTACAGCTCAAACAAAACTAAGTTCAGAGTGCATTAGACTTGATAATAAGAAATATAGATACCTGGTAAGTTAGATAGTAATTAGATATTCAAATGTCTGATTACTTGTTACCTAGATATATCTGCCAGGACTGTGAAGCCAGACTCAGAAGGATTAATCCGCTTGCTTTGGAGACCAATCCCATAAGAATTAAGATAGTATCCCTTGTGTGGAACATGTATCGCAGCAATGGGAGTAGGATAATGACAGCTAGACCACGACCAAAACTCTCCCCAGCTTTGAAAAACCCATACGTTGTCTGTGACCAGTCAAACTGGGGTAGTTTTGTATACAGGAGAAGAATGTCATTTTCTCCTGAAAACAAGATGAACAGTTAATTGGTTATGTCTAAAAAAAAACAATGATAAATATTGGATGATATTGAACAATGGGTCAGAATTTTTATGGGTGATAAATAATCTCCCTTTTGGGAAAATTACTCATCAAGTCCATTTCAAAATTATATTTCATAGTTGTGGATATATCAAGCAACATATTGTAACTTTACATTATATACCAAGTAAGTTATGTTATGGAACATTTATTCTTTTATTTCAATGTATATGTCCCTAAATTAGACTATATAAGTTCTCTGAAACACATCAGTTCAGATTGATGTGATGGTTAATAAGGGAATAGTTCATGAGATTAAAATCTGAGTTTTTTTACTTGAGGTACAGATAATGAGGATCACAAGTGAGTGTTTAACCTGAGGTACAGATCATGAGGATCACAAGTGAGTGTTTAACCTGAGGTACAGATCATGAGGATCACAAGTGAGTGTTTAACCTGAGGTACAGATCATGAGGATCACAAGTGAGTGTTTAACCTGAGGTACAGATCATGAGGATCACAAGTGAGTGTTTAACCTGAGGTACAGATCATGAGGGTGACAAGTGTCAAATGAGTGCACTTCATAGGAAATACAATTGAGCATTTTACAGATCATGAGGGTGACAAGTGTCAAATGAGTGCACTTCATAGGAAATACAATTGAGCATTTTACCTGATGTGCAGATCATGAGAATCACAAGAACCAATATCTCCATAGTCAGGTAAATAAGAACACTGCATGGACGTCGCCTGGAAACACAAAGCCACGAGTCTCTGAAGAAAAGTCTTGTATATAACCAAACTGATGTATCTGTCTGCTCCTGTGATGGTTTGAGATTCTCCAACATAAACACAGTATACAATAAAGCCAGAAATTGAATCACACAAATGAAAGAAAACACAAAGTTAAAACTTGTCTTGTCCACCAGTATTCCAGAGATGAGTACTCCAGCTGTTCCTGACAGGAAGATCATACCCTCTGCAACACCAACCCTACTGGTCCTGTTCCTGGCACTGGAGATGTGACCTATATAACTATATACAGACATCATCAGTCCTATATATCCCCCGGTCACACCGTTAATTATTTTACCAATAAGGATATACTTGATAGAAATGTTTGTGTGTGATGTCACAATTAGATTACAGGCAGTCAACAGCAAGTTCCCAATGATGGTAAGCATCAAAGGTATTTTTCGTCCCAAGCGGTCTCCCCAGGGGCCAAGAAACAGGGTAACAGTAATCACTGCTGGTATTGTGTAGGCCACGTTGTAGTACATTATCCAGCTAGATGCCTCTTTCTGAACAGAATATTCTTCCTCCTTCATTGTGTTGTTGCTGAGGTTGTCACATATATAAGATGAATTAGGGAACTTCTCGAGACAAACACGTGTGTAGATAAGGTCTTGTAATACAGGAAACTCCAGGAATGAAGCAAACATGTACAAAAAGAGAATGGGTTCCACAGTGGTCTGACGAAACAGGTCAGTCACTCGTTCACAAACCGCCATCATGGTATTAACCGTAGCTGCTTCTCAATGGGAATCTAGCTGAATCTGTTTAATTAACAGAGTGAATTAACACAATTTTAAAAATTGAAATGTATGCATTAATAATCTTTAATAGTTAAAAGATTTCGTTGTTCTAACTTTAGAGTTATATGTGGTCAATCAGACAAGATCAACTCCCATATTTGAACTGAGCATATTCACATCTTGCATTTGATTTTAATTTTTTATTTGTTTTACAGATCTAATCATTGGAAGTGTTAGTTTTATTTTACTGTTTAAGCAATTCAAGCTAGCAGCCAAATATGTACGTCTTAAGGTGTGTGTTTGTAGAATATAATCTATATATAAGTGTTAGATGTGTGTTTCTTGAATATAATCTATATATAAAGGGTAATATTCAATCGCAACAAGTCCAGGGTACCAGAAGAGTATATTTATTACAATCTGTCTACCGGTTTCGTCCGAACATGTGGGCTTCTGCAGGTCCTTCTGGTACCCTGGACTTGTTGCAATTGAATATTGCCCTTTAGTTACCACTATTTCTCAATCGCCCTGCATATCTGGAGGTACCCAAACTAGGGACCACGGAACCTACGAACACTACGAAAAGAACGGGGTTGGCTCCATACCCCTACGGATAATCTATATATAAGTATTAGATGTGTGTTTGTAGAATATAATCTATATATAAGTGTTAGATATGTGTTGTATATAGTATTATAGTATATAACATATATAACAAGTGTTTGGACACAGTAACAGTTTACACCTTTACGTGCACACACATGTATACACACAAGGTAACTACATGTATCTGATGGACACCATGTATCAAATTAAATCTTAACACAGTCACAATCATGTATTTTCTCAGGCCTCTATTTGTCTCCTACATTTATACAGCGGTCAGTCTACATGCAATTCACGAGTTGTGTACTCCTAGAATTTTCATAGGACGCATAGAATTTCTGAAAATATTTTGAATTTCCATTGTTGCACCTGTTGTTTTAAGCGATAAAATTGAAAAGGACACTGAAAGTAAACAGTAGATTGATAACTCTGTATCAATGTATACATTTAATCAAATATTAATTATGTTTGAATAAGCCATTTAACAGGTTTCATATTGAATATTTCGCTCAATTTTTTAAAGAAAATTGCATGATGCCAAATGGTCCGAATTTTTGCTCGTAATGTTTACGCTCTAGATAAATGTGCATGTGCATTTACCAATGTAAATATCCAAAAGGACTAAACAAAGCGATGCTTTCATCAAACATATGTTGTCATCTCAACCAGAGACATATATACGTCTCTGTCTCAACTGACTAGTCACCGAGCTCATCATGATCACCTGATCTTTTGATGCATGGATGAAGTATTATAGTTGCTATTCATACGATGCACTCGTGATTCTTTTGAAGTGTTTTGAATTTTCATCAAGACAAATCTAATTGCAAACATAAGAAAATGATAAATTTTATTCAGTATGTATACAAAAAGAAGTAATATGTCTTCATTCAACTTTTTAAACACTTTTCTTTATTGTTCGCAATTTCACGCTGGCTATCATGTTCGAAGTAAACTTCCGGTTTTATTTTCGGTTTCGACTAACAAGTACGTGCGTGTTTTAAAATAGTAAAAATGCAGCAAAAATACGCATTTGCCTTTGTAGCCGAGGTGTTAGGAATACTTTTTCATCTGTTTTTTACAAGTGCAGCCACTGGAAATACTAAACCAAACGTCATAATACTAATAGCGGACGACTTGAGCATCGGAGATTTAAGTTGTTACGGAAGCCGAGCGGTCAGAACAAAAAATCTTGATAGTTTAGCAGAGGATGGACTGAAATTAAACAGAATGTACTCTATGTCGTCAGACTCAGGAACTATGGCAGCACTTATATCAGGTATTGATGTTTACTCACCAATTGTTCGTTACAAAATGGTCGGAGATCGCGTTTGAAAAGGGATCTTGTATTTATAGTACATGTTACAAGGGCAGTAACTCCACAAAGGAGCATTTTGCAATGTTAGCATTTCAAATCTATCTGAAACGGAAGAGAGTGAAATTCGATTTGGTAAATTAGAAAGTCTTTAAATGTGACCTTGATGGGAGTGATGCTGTGGTTTGAATATGAATAAAATTTGTGAAAAGGTATTTGCGAGATATTTTGTCCAAAGGTTTACATTCAAGCAATGGTCTTGGGTGATTTCCAATCATGTGTAGACTTTGGTGAGTTATCTTGTATATAATGTTATCAAAAATGCATGCACACATTGACGCATTACATCACAAAAGTCATAAGTGGGGTGGGGGATGCTTTGATATACTCTCGGTGTGTGAGTGTGTGTTGGTGGGGGAGGTGGCATTGATAAATATAACAACAATACAAATTATTACAAGCTGGTTTATATTGTGTGATTATGGTACATTAAATGGATATAATAGAATGGGGATGGGTTGGTGATGGGGATGGGAGGATGGAAGGTGAGTATATATAGTTACATCTAGTGTAGTATACTAAACTTCACATATATCTAATGTTATAAAAAAAAACTTCACTTGTTGCAGTTGAACAGTATGTTATAATGTGAATAACTTTCTTCAGTCCATACATCAGAATCACAGAACAGAATTCAGATTATTATCTATAGTTTGTGGAAAAATTATTTAAAATTTTCAATTTATCACTAACGGCAGTGTGCCACCAACATTATACCTTATATACTTCCTGTATATTATTATTGTAAAGATCGGTGTTGGAACCATCAGATCAAAAGTGTTATCTCAACATTTTATAGGAGAAAAGGTGTTTTGAGTTACCTTTCAGAAACTATAGTGTAATGATCAAACCTCTTAGTGACCAAGATGATTTACGTTACCTTTCAGAAACTATAATGTAATGGTCAAACCTCTTAGTGACCAAGATGATTTACGTTACCTTTCAGAAAATATAATGTAATGATCAAACCTCTTAGTGACCGAGGTGATTCATGTTACTTTTCAGAAACTATAGTGTAATGATCAAACCTCTTAGTGACCAAGGTGATTCATGTTACCTTTCAGAAACTATAGTGTAATGATCAAACCTCTTATTGACCGAGGTGATTCATGTTACCTTTCAGAAACTATAATGTTATGATCAAACCTCTTAGTGACCAAGGTGATTCATGTTACCTTTCAGAAACTATATGTTATGATCAAACCTCTTAGTGACCAAGGTGATTCATGTTACCTTTCAGAAACTATAGTGTAATGATCAAACCTCTTAGTGACCGAGGTGATTCATGTTACCTTTCAGAAACTATAATGTTATGATCAAACCTCTTAGTGACCGAGGTGATTCATGTTACCTTTCAGAAACTATAATGTAATGATCAAACCTCTTAGTGACCAAGATGATTTACGTTACCTTTCAGAAACTATAATGTAATGATCAAACCTCTTAGTGACCAAGATGATTTACGTTACCTTTCAGAAACTATAGTGTAATGATCAAACCTCTTAGTGACCAAGGTGATTCATGTTACCTTTCACAAACTATAGTGTAATGATCAGTTTTGCAATATGGTTGCTGGCTTGTTTTGTTTATCATCATTTTTTATTTTATGTTGTGATCACTAGGGATGTATCCTGTAAGAAAGGGACTTGGCAAAGGATCACTTGGATGGTCTTCATTCTGGAGCCCTGCACAGTCTGGAGGTTTGTCTGCACAAGTTCCTAACATTGCATCGCTGTATGCCTCTCCTTCCATGAAATATCAGACAGCTTTCATGGGTAGATGGGATCTCGGTGCAGGTAGCCATGGAGAATATCTCCCAGGAAGTATAGGATTTATGTCATTTTACGGGACACCAATGTCACACAGTCCAGGATGCAGTTCAAACACAATGTTCAGGTTTACAGATTGGGATTTCTTCCTCCTGCTCTTGCGCCAGAATCAGATTGTGATCGCTTCTGTGGCTCTGGCTTGTATACTTCCAAGAATCTTTGGAGTCAGAAGGGAAGCATCTTTGATCCTTTTGATAACAATAGGAAGCTTGTCATTGCTAGTGTTGAGGATGTACTGTTGGATGGGTCCCTTGTCTCCAAGCAGCTGTATACTGTACAGAGACAATGAGGTTACTGAACAACCCTATCAGGACAACAAAATGACACAGCGTCTTACCCTCGAGGCTGTTAATTATCTCAAGTATCGACGATCAAAAACTTTCTTTTTAATGGTTTCATATTTACAACCAAAATATCCAGCCTTTTCCTCAGAGCAGTTCAAGAACAAGTCAGGAATAAGTCCATATTATGATGCAGTTTTAGAAGTAGACTGGAGTGTTGGAAAGATACTACAAACCCTAGAAATGGAAGGTATATCAAATGAAACTGTTGTAATATTTTTGTCAGATAATGGACCACAATTCACAGACATATTTACTGGAAATCAAATTCACAACAGCATGGTTGGACAAAAGGTTCTCCATCGTGACAAACAAAAAATCACTTTAAAGGGTGAAAAAGGTTCATCTTATGAGGGTGGAATTCACATTCCAGCTATGATCAGATGGCCAGGACATATCAATGCTGGTATGGAAACAGATGTTGTTACTTCTGTCCTCGATATATTCCCAACAGTGATTGATATAACAAATATAAAAAAGAAATATCAATTCAAAAAGTTTGATGGTGAAAGTCTTACATCATTGTTTAAAAATCCTAAACAAAAGCCTACTGCAATTCACAGTACTTTATTCCATGTGTGTGACCTTATTAATCCTAAGTCGGACTGGGCAGTTACTGCTGGGGACATGAAGGTCCACTTCGTAGACTGTAGCTTGGAGAAGGATTGCAAGTCTCCAAAAACACCTAAGATCTATAACATTACTGCTGATCCTGGTGAGACAGTGGCCTTGTCTGTCAAGGATCATGCAGGACTACTGTACAATATACAACTAGAGATGGCACACTCTAACCTCATGATAGGCACTAGTGGTTTGGATATATCTAAAACATCACAGTTTGATAAAATACCATATCCCTGGAATTTTCCATGTACTACAAGTAATTTCTTATTCTGTCACAAAGAACTTGACTATGAAGAAAATTTCAATTCATTATTACCATAATGTTCTAAGCTTCATGGACCTCAACAAAGTATCTATTGTTTGAATCTATTGTTTGAATCTATGGTTTGAATCTATTGTTTGAATCTATTGTTTGAATGTTAGATTTCTCTTCTTATTAAAATGTGTACTACATTTATTTATAGTAATTATATATACAATTATTTTTAAATATAATGAACAATATACAACCAATTATTTAGAAAGGAATGTTATGAATGAAAACAACCATATATCAGATGTCTCAATCATTACAACATTCCTGTATAACACCCATGCCTAGATGAAAGGTTTGTTTATTATATATATATTATTATCATCTATTGTTATTTACATCATCAGCTTATGCCACCTGTCCAAGTTAGTTCAGCCCATACAGAAGAGATCTATATTCTAAGCCTGTAGTATTTTGGTCATCTTTCTCATAGTTATCCCTGCTATTCTATTTTATCCTTTTGATTTTGTTTTGAAGACTACCTATAAATGACAGGTATATCTGGTCTTACATCAAATAGAGTATCAGTAAAACTGATGAATGCTCCATGCAAAACTTAATTGAACAAAGATTTGTAACAAATGATTCTGTTTATAAGGGGGTTTCAGGTCTTATATTTGTTACATTGCAAAAAGACTTAGGAAGACCTATGTACAAACCAAGTGTCATTATTCTACTTTAAAGGAGAGTAAGGTTGTGATCCAGACATAAAATTTTAACAAAGGCAAAGATTTTGTAATTAAAGAGTTGCAGGCCCTGAATTTGGTAACCTGTACATTGTCCTAGTAAGACTAATGTATACACAAAAAGTTTCAGTATCCTAATCTAAATGCCCACAAACTTATGCTCTTGACAAAAAACTTCAATAAGAGGATCACGAGCCTTAACGAGCATCTGACTATAAAAACGTACTGGTATATATGAAAGAGACTAAATATGATTAAAATGAATTGCTCAACTACTCTACAGCTTTCAAAAAAGACATTGTTGGTTCATAAGAACATTTTCTCTAAACTTAAAATCATATTCTTAATACATGCTACTACACAAATGCCATTATTCCTAACCTATTGCCAGTTGAAAAAGAATTTTTTGACCTCAACTCACCTAAGAAAAGAAATCTTGAATATGGATCAAGGTCAATTATTTGAACAAATTGGTAGCCCTTCATCTACTTATATCAAAAAACCAATATCAACAGTCTGCACCTTTCGTTATTGAGAAGAAATCGTTTGAAAATTTTAACACATTTTACCCCTGTGACCTTTAAAAAGAGGAAATGCCAGTCATATGAACAAAATTGGTAACCTTTCATCCAAGCATGCCACAAACCCACTATCAGCATCCTAAGTCTGTTGGTTAATCAGAAGAAGTCATGTAAAGATTTTGACATATTTGACACCTGTGACCTTGAAAATGGGTCACGATCAATGATATGAACAAACTTGGAAGCCCTTCATCCCATCATGCTAAGGATCCAAAATCAGTACCCAGAGCCTTCTGGTTATTGAGAAAAAGTCATTTGAACAGAATGTTTACGCACAGCGCTTGACATTGCACGAAACACAGCTACAGGTCCAATATCAGTACTCAGAACCTTCTAGTTATTGAGAAGTCATTTGAATGGAAAGTTTATGCATGGTCCACAATGACCATAGGTCATCTTGAACCTTTGTCAAAGGGCAATAACTCTGTAAGCAAGAGGTTGAAGGCCCTAACTTTGGTACACTGCACATCATCTAAGTATGACCAATGTATTGACCAAGTAAACGATTGGCAAAGTTATGGAAAGACAGGCAACTATATGCTCAGAAAAAAAAAAAATTCTGGGGAGCATAACAACCAGCTGACCTGTGACCTTCAAAAGGATGATAATCATCTATAGCTAGTTTCACCCACCTACCTCCACGTGACAAGTTTTTGTTTTTCCAATCATTCATGAAAAGTCATCTGTTGGTTTTCTAAGGTACTTGCATCTTGGCTAATAGAGTAAATAGTATGAGTAGTCGATATAAATGTATCATTATTGTCTTGAAATAAAATAAGTTTATCATATAACCACAGCTAGTGATAGAAAATGAGCAATCAGATGCATTACTCTGGCAGAGATTAGTCAGAACACAGGAATGTCAAAATTCATCATTTCAGTGGTGACACATCAAGTCTACAATCATGTGTGGTTTACTATCTTTTAATTATCATCCTTTAATGTATAGCACTTAAGTTTCAACAGATTGTAACAACATTGAGATTTCAACTTTAACAAGCACGTTAAAAGTACTTATGCCTTGTATTAAGTTAAGATTACTTTGACACAGCAGTGGGCAGCTTTTCTTTCTTTTTACAGTGTACATACATCTATTTCATACAATAATCACAGACATATATTACATAAGATATATCATTCAATCCGTCTTATAATGACTCCCACATTCACTTCAGTGTCACAGTCATGGATAACAGTGAAGATGGTATCTGAATCCCTGACTACAAACTCACTGTAAGGAAACAAATATCACAAGATCTTTACAGAGTAATTCTTTTCCTTCCACACAAAGTATTCAGTTCATGACCAGTCAATATATAGTATTTTAACTAAAAGGCAACCTCGATACTCCAGGGGTTACAATCACTATTGCTCTCTGCAACCCTGAAACATTTCCTGGCCGGTCACAGATTGATGAGCTTCTTTTAAGATTACAAAGGAGCAACATCCAACTTCAACACTAAAACAACATACTGCCTTGCAACCTTGAGATTTGTTTGATGCACATTGAAGGATAAAACTAGGCTTCTCGGCTTATCTAAAGTCTTACACATGGAACCTTCAGTTTTGTCATGAAATGATCCAGAGATGCAGAGAGGGATAGCGAGCATAACCTGTGGAGTATCGAAGATGACAAACAAGGAAAACATTCATCATATTGCATAAGTGATACTGCAATATGAGAGAAATAACCATGAGGCTGTTTTCTTGTATTGGTACAGTAGCAAGAAATTTCCCGGTAATGATACAACAAAGGAGTCGCCAAGTGTGGCATTATCCCCAGCTGCTGGTATAAAACCCAAATATATGTACCTGGGCATTTATACAGAAAGTTATGTGGGGTTGAGTGGAATGGTTTCGAAGTTGCAGTTCATAAAAGAAAGTTAACACTAATATTTTGTTTTTTGACTATGTTTCCATAGAAAAAATATAAAAAATGAGAAGTTGTCAATCATATATATACAGAATGTTTTCGTTGAGTTGAGTTGAACAGTTTTGAAGTTATAACCTGGAAAAGCCCTTGGGTGGACAGACGCACATCCCCATGGAACCCAAATTATCATTTCATATCTGTTGCAAACGTGTTTCACGAAGATAACAATAGGACAGAAATAACCATGAAGCTGTTTTCCTGTATCAGTACAGAAGCAGGAAATTTCTTAGAAGTGATACCACTATCCCAGTAAAATCTATCAAAGAGGTTTTCCTGTAATGGTAAAGGAACTGGCAATTAAATAATAAGAGGCACTTCTTTATCATCAATGTAAGAAAACATTCTACTCCACAGATATAATGGATTTTGTCTAGTTTCAGCAAAATGTGAAAGATATTTTAAATAGGTATCATGACTGTTTTAAAAGTCTTCAGGGAACTGTAAATGGGAAACATGCACATAACTTTACCTTTTTGTTTAGAGTTAAATTTGTTCTTAAATAAAGATGTATTGCTGTTTAGATATAAGACTTTAGCCTAGATTTTAGTTTTGTCTTCTTAGCAAAACGGAAAATTACATCAAAAGTAAAAAAAAAAAAAAATACGCTATATAAACAACTGGTGTTCAAAAATACACACGGAGAGAAAAAGTTTAAATGTCAGGAGTTTCTTTGTTTTATTAATTACTGAAATCTAGAATTAATAAAATTCAAGAGAGTACACCCAACTGAAATACATTGTATAATAGAATATATGTTAGTCAACTAAGGAAGGGAAAATATGCAGGAAGTACATATATAACAAAGCAAATAAAGGTTTATCAATCACTTATTTCATTACTCCATATATATACATGCATGTGTTAAAACATTTCCAGAATGATATGAAGAACAACATTAATAGTCAAACTTTCCTTTTAATTATTAAGATGAAACACAATTAATCTGATTCATACCAACAACCTTCATACTTCTATAGCAAACAAACTTTCATGTAGTTCACTTGTTCTGATGTGTGATTATCACACACCCTGTCACATCTTCAAAATCAGAAGGTTCTGTTAACAATATTGAACCGGTCTCACAATCCACTCTCTGTACATATCTGTGATCTCTCTGATACCAAGAGAACTGACATAGTAATACAATTGTAAAATTAACTGGTCTTGATGTTGATGCAGCTCCTATACTTCAAAGTACAGATATCTCAGTTAGATACAAAGTACAGATATCTCAGTTAAATCTAAAGTACAGATATCTCAGTTATATCTAAAGTACAGATATCTCAGTTAAATCTAAAGTACAGATATCTCAGTTAAATCTAAAGTACAGATATCTCAGTTATATCTAAAGAACAGATATCTAAGTTATATCTAAAGTACAGATATCTCAGTTATATCTGAGTACAGATATCTCAGTTAAATCTAAAGTACAGATATCTACATTAATTCCAAAGCATCTAGATTAAATCCAATGACAAGCAGCTGTAAGCCTTCGATTATATTATAACATGTTCCATGTGTGTTGGCCAGACAAGTATATTGGGAACAGAATAATTAGATTTTGAAGATGTACATATGTCTTCAGATCTTGACATCACACTTGCATTGTTTCTCTAGCAATTACCTACACACTGGTAAAATGTCTCGGTAATCACACTGGTATAATGTCCTGGTAATCACACTTTATGATGTCTGCAGTAATAACACTTGGATGATATCCTCAATATAACATTGTACGATGTGTTCAATTATTTTAAGTATCACATTTGTAAAGTGTCAGATTACCATCGCACAAGTATTGTGTCTCCAGGCTCAATAGAATAAAAGCCTATTGATCGAAGATCATTGTCAAATTCTACTTCAACATGTTTCATCTGCAAAAAGAAAAGAATAATCAAAAGGGTGATAACAAAACTGAAGTTTGAAGAATATCTCACACCAAGGTTTTGTTTAGAAGACATTTTTTGATTGGACTGCCCCTTGGTGTACATCTAGTCCTAACTAATAATACAATTAGTAATACAACGTCAGATGTAATGATAAAGAGTTCCACTTCAGAATTGTTGTCAAGTTTTTTCCTAGCTTATTTCCCTTCTCAACTCATTCACCTCTCATTTAACTATGGACTTAAAATCTAATTCTGTAGACGGGTACATTGCCAGATTTACCCTTTTGATTGTATTATTTTACCATTTTGATTTTATACTTAATATGTTTTTCATTTTTCAAGATAATAAATTTTTCAAACAACAATAATTCTGTGGGATAAAAAAACATGTACTTCTCAATTAATTGTTAAAAACTTCAACAGATATCTAAATAGTCTGACAATCTTTCTTATCTGAGAAACTGGTCATGGATGAGGTAAGTACCTTTTTTGTTTCGTAGGAGAGTTGTAACTCTCTATCATACCATTTGAAAAGCTTCTGGATCAAAGACTTGAGTTTCTGTACTGTCATTGTCCCTGTAAATGACACAATAGAAATTTCCCTGAGATTTCATCCTTTAAAACTTCATCTCTATCTAATGTCAGTGATCCCTGCAATATTTACCATGGGTCATCTATCATCTTGCATTATAATGTTATTTCTTTCTTAAATAGCAATATTACATGTAGCAATACTCTCAGTTTAATCATCAAGTATACACAGATTATAGAACAATAGTATAGTTAATACTTTTCTTTATATTAAATATGGTATCATTTCACTGTCCATGTCTAAAGATAACAGTGGAAAAGGATTTTAACTTAGCACAGAATGTGTTTGGTGTTCAAATTTGTTGCTGCTTTTTTTGGTTGTGCATTGTCTTAAACCCTTCCAAAAAACTAGCTCCAATATACAGCCTTATTTTATACCATGATGATGCTTTTTGAAGCTAAAAATTGCACCTTCACAAGATGTTTGAGACAATCTGATTAAAGCCATAGCTGAATTCACTACAACGCTCTCCGTAAAAAATATGGCAGTGAGTTAAGATTTGGCGTTAATCAGATCACTGCATAAGGAAGAATTTATCATAACAGTAAATGTTGCTACACAAACTACCATACACTGTAAAGGATGAAAACTGGGAAGCTATGGATTCTATCGGTACCATGATTTTTTAAAATTGTATCAAGCTGGATTTGTTATATCACAATGTAACTGTATCGTATCTTACCAGGGATTTTCTTCTGTTTGGAACCCGAGGCAGGATCATAAGGACTGGTTATTGTAACAGCTGTGTCTAGTTAAAGAACCTTCATGAATCTATAGCAATACAGAATTATACACCAAATATCATTGTGTACCATAATAATACAGCTTTATTCAAAGTCATTGTATACCATAGAAACACAAAATTACTCAATGTCATTGCACATCACAGTAACACAAAATTACCCATTGTCATTGTGTATCACAGCAACACAAAATTACCCATTGTCATTGTGTATCATAGCAACACACAATTACCCATTGTCATCGCGTATCACAGCAACACACAATAACCCATTGTCATTGTGTATCACAGCAACACAAAATTACCCATTGTCATCGCGTATCACAGCAACACAAAATTACCCATTGTCACTGTGTATCATAGCAACACACAATTACCCAATGCCATTGTGTATCATAGCAACACACAATTACCCAAAGTCATTGTGTATCATAGCAACACACAATTACCCTTGCCATTGTTTATCAAAGCAACACACAATTACCCTTGTCATTGTGTATCATAGCAACATGCAATCACCCATGTCATTGTGTAGCATGGCATCACACAATTACTCTTTGTATTTGTACAACATATCAACAAAGAATAAATAATTCTAGTAGTCTTGATACTAAAAATCAGTTACAATTTTTGTAAGTTTCCTAAATTAGATCAAACACCATTCCATGAGCTCAAACAAGATTGCAATTTGTTTTTACCACACAGAAGATATCTCGAGAAAACTGAGTTTAATTATGCTTAATTCTTCAGAATAGACACCAGACAAGAGATCCAAGAAGGATATAGGTGCCTACTATTGCTTAGCATTTGTTTTGTTCGTGAAAAGTTAGATCTTTTCCCTTCTTTTCTCTTTTGAAAATTCCTCAGAAGAAATGTCAATAACAATTTTTCATTGTCAAATCAATGATGGTTGCCTATCAGCCATTTTGTTTTTCTGATCAATTTCTTTCTAACCAGTATGTCACACCTTGGGAAAAATGGAAACCTTCATGTAAAATTTGTGAAGGATCGATCCGTATATTCATTATAAAAGATGGCCACCTGCCATTTCAGCTATCTGATCAGTCTAAAAACCAATAGGGCACAACAAGGAACAATAGAAAACAACATAAGAAAGATCCAACCAGTACTTCTCAAAAAATCATGATGACAAGGTTTGTTTATGAATGACAGACCATGGATGAAGGGCGGTTTGATGATGGTGGGCTTATAACAAAGAACACCTCAAAGATAAGGGACTTATCCTGGTGAGTGATTTTTAAAGCAGGAACACATCGTCATCAGAATGCTCATGCCAGCAGCTTGAACAGAGCCTGACCTGACTGCCAGACAAATGGTCAGAATGGTAACAAAAGGATACTGATCAGGCTGTCTTTAAGGGATTTTTCTTTCTGTTGCATCTCGGAATTTTCAGGCGGTCCATACACTGTAATATGAAATACAAGCTGAATGCAGCGTTAAAGAGATAATATGCTTTAAACAATACATCAACTTCAAAACACCTGTTACTTTGTATGTTCAAATTCATTCCTGATGTTGGTTGTTTTTTTAATTAAGCTGTGAACATTTTTGCATCTTTTATTACATTAAGTCTGCATAAATCAACAAAAATGCAAAAAATATACAACACTTTGATTAAACTAAGGTGTGATATCATCATTAAAGTCATAACAAGTTTTACCTCAAAAGAGTACAGACTCAAGTCACAATGACCTAAATTTAATAACACCACTCTTCCATCTTTGACAAACTTTGGAATGAAAGTATCAAAGAAATAAAGAATAGAGAGGGTAGCATATGGATGGATGTAATCCCCTCCAGCAGTTCTGAAATGGACGGGATGTAAACCCCTCCAGCAGTTCTGAAATGAACAGAGTGTACCGGTAAATCTCTCCCATAGTCCTGACAAGGATGAAGTGTAAACCCCTCCAGTAATTCTGACATGGATGGAGAGTAAACCCCTCCAGTAATTCTGACATGGATGGAGAGTAAACCCCTCCAGTAATTCTGACATGGATGGAGAGTAAACCCCTCCAGTAATTCTGACATGGATGGGATTTAACCCCTCCAGCAATTCTGACATGGATGGAGCGTAAACTGCTCCAGTAATTCTGACATGGATGGAGAGTAAACCCCTCCAGTAATTCTGATATGGATGGAGAGTAAACCCCTCCAGTAATTCTGATATGGATGGGATTTAACCCCTCCAGCAATTCTGATATGGATGGGATGTAAACCTCTCCCGTAGTTCTGACATAGACAGAGTGTAAACCTCTCTCGTAGTTCTGACATGGATGGAGTGCAAACCCCTCCAGTAATTCTGACATGGACAGGATGTAAACCCCTCCAGCAGTTCTGATATGGACAGAGTGTAAACCTCTCTTGTAGTTCTGATATGGATGGAGCGTAAACTGCTCCAGTAGTGTCCAGCACTTAATGACATGGATGGAGTGTAAACCCTTCAAGTAGTTCTGTTTTATTAAAAAGTTTTCTTGTAATAACAAACCTTTGACAAGTTCTTGGTAGCGAGGGTGTTCATTAATGAAGTCAGAGCTTGGTTGATTTTTATTTTCATCCTGTGAACCCCCACACTTAATCCACACTTGACCAAATCTCTTGAGGTAGTCAATCTCTGCCCCACGTCTCTCCTCCTTAGTGACCTGTAACAAAGACTTTCTTAGTGTAATCTACATATAAATTCACTGATTCTTCCTAGTGTACATACTTAATATCATGTACATATATTTCACCAAATAGTAAATAAGTTTAATTCAAACCAAGAACAATTATTGAATTCCTTTTATACCATTATCATAATATATAGTTTTTCTCTTTTCACAATTACTTGTGGCTATTACAACATAAAGTTTCATCATTGATACTTGATTTTGTAATTACACTGTAAAAGCTTTTTGGCATCTATTTTTACTCTATTTTCTTTTATTTCCACACGTCGTACTGCCAAAATCACATCAATTCTACCAGAACTTGTCTCTCCAAAACTTTCTTATTATTTTTTCACAGTGGACTACTAATCTCTCAGCTCCACTAAGATTATCATATGGACTACTAATCTCTCAGCTCCACTAAGATTATCATATGGACTACTAATCTCTCAGCTCCACTAAGATTATCATATGGACTACTAATCTCTTAGCTCCACTAAGATTATCATATGGACTACTAATCTCTCAGCTCCACTAAGATTATCATATGGACTACTAATCTCTTAGCTCCACTAAGATTATCATATGGACTACTAATCTCTTAGCTCCACTAAGATTATCATATGGACTACTAATCTCTTAGCTTCCCTAAGATTATCATATGGACTACTAATCTCTCAGCTCCACTAAGATTTTCATATGGACTACTAATCTCTCAACTCCATTAAGATTATCATATGGACTACTAATCTCTTAGCTTCCCTAAGATTATCATATGGACTACTAATCTCTCAGCTCCACTAAGATTATCATATGGACTACTAATCTCTTAGCTCCACTAAGATTCTCATATGGACTACTAATCTCTTAGCTTCCCTAAGATTATCATATGGACTACTAATCTCTTAGCTTCCCTAAGATTATCATATGGACTACTAATCTCTTAGCTTCCCTAAGATTATCATATGGACTACTAATCTCTCAGCTCCACTAAGATTATCATATGGACTACTAATCTCTTAGCTTCCCTAAGATTATCATATGGACTACTAATCTCTCAGCTCCACTAAGATTATCATATGGACTACTAATCTCTCAGCTCCACTAAGATTATCATATGGACTACTAATCTCTCAGCTCCACTAAGATTATCATATGGACTACTAATCTCTTAGCTTCCCTAAGATTATCATATGGACTACTAATCTCTCAGCTCCACTAAGGTTATCATATGGACTACTAATCTCTCAGCTCCACTAAGATTATCATATGGACTACTAATCTCTTAACTTCCCTAAGATTATCATATGGACTACTAATCTCTCAGCTCCACTAAGGTTATCATATGGACTACTAATCTCTCAGCTCCACTAAGATTATCATATGGACTACTAATCTCTTAGCTTCCCTAAGATTATCATATGGACTACTAATCTCTTAGCTTCCCTAAGGTTATCAAGAGCCTGTTTTGGGGAAGTTGTTCTCATATTTGCCAGTAAGAAATAATCAATAACACACTTGTCACAGAAATTAATACCTTTGTCCTGTTACAGTGCTCCAGACCTGATATCTTTGCCACGATGAGTTGACGCACTGTCTCTGGTACAGCTGTGTCTAACAGTGGATTTTTTATCATCTTCAGTTCTTTTAAACATTTCATTTTATTGAGCTCATTGATACTAGACCACTGCAAGAAAAGACAAAAGCTTAAATTAGTCTTTAGCCTCTGATAACAAGAAGTAATGAAATAGATTCCATGTTTTAATGGATCTTGTATCTAGAGCTGATACTCATTGTCCCAATAAATAAAAAAGATTATCCCCTGTCAGTCAATTCTCTGACTGAACACTTAATAACTATCAGTGTTTCTGGAAAGATTACTACAAAAGAAATACATATATTTTCCATTTACCCAAGAAACATTAAGTATAAAATTATATTCATAAACCATTAATTTCATTGTTTGTCAATCTCCCGTACAGAGTAAGAGTGACCATGATACACAGTCCAGATAGCCTTGAAGCTACATTTTGTATTTTACTAAAATCAATTTCAAAAAGGTGGTGTGATAACACTGAATCAAGACAGACATAAATAACAGTTTATCACAGTGAAAGGATAACAGTAATGGGTGCTCTGCAGTATTTTACCAGGTGGTGTGATAACACTGAATCAAGACAGACATAAATAACAGTTTATCACAGTGAAAGGATAACAGTAATGGGTGCTCTGCAGTATTTTACCTGGTGGTGTGATAACACTGAATCAAGACAGACATAAATAACAGTTTATCACAGTGAAAGGATAACAGTAATGGGTGCTCTGCAGTATTTTACCTGGTGGTGTGATAACACTGAATCAAGACAGACATAAATAAATAACAGTTTATCACAGTGAAAGGATAACAGTAATGGGTGCTCTGCAGTATTTTACCTGGTGGTGTGATAACACTGAATCAAGACAGACATAAGTAACAGTTTATCACCGTGAAAGGATAACAGTAATGGGTGCTCTGCAGTATTTTACCTGGTGGTGTGATAACACTGAATCAAGACAGACATAAATAACAGTTTATCACAGTAAAAGGATAACAGTAATGGGTGCTCTGCAGTATTTTACCTGGTGGTGTGATAACACTGAATCAAGACAGACGTAAATAACAGTTTATCACAGTAAAAGGATAACAGTAATGGGTGCTCTGCAGTATTTTACCTGGTGGTGTGATAACACTGAATCAAGACAGACATAAGTAACAGTTTATCACCATGAAAGGATAACAGTAATGGGTGCTCTGCAGTATTTTACCTGGTGGAGTGATAACACTGAATCAAGACAGACATAAATAACAGTTTATCACCGTGAAAGGATAACAGTAATGGGTGCTCTACAGTATTTTACCTCTGCTATATTGTTGTGGTTTATACAGAGATACTTCAAGGCTTGGAAGTGTTGTGTTGTTTCACCACAGCCTACATCAGGGAACGTAATGGTGTCAATTTGATTGTCGCTCACGATCAGGCTTTCTAGCCTTAAACAGAAAAAACAATCCATGTATTTCAAACACAAGCAAAAAATGTCCTGAATATTTATAATTTCTAAAATTCATTTTCTTTTGATTGTAACCTCCATGTCCTCTTAATTAATGCCACATTTACCTAAAAACATAAAAAATAGAAAATGCAAAAAAAAAAAAAAAAAATTCAAAATCAATCTTATCAAAACTATCCCAAACATTACTCCATTACCATAAAACAGATATTTAACAATATCAGAACAGTTTGCCTACAAGGCTGCACACTAAAACACTTAACACATGAAAAACCAAGAGGACAGACATACTGATGGTGTTACTTACTTGGGTAAATGGCTGAGATGAAGTACTTGTGACCATGTTTGTACACTGTTAGATTCCAGGTTGATGAGGGTAAGATTCTGTAGGTGACCTTCAGGTTTGGATAAATTTGTGATGCCATTAAAACAAACATGTAATTGCTCTAGAAGAGGAAACATAAGACTACATTCCAGTATCTGTAACAAGAAAAAAATCCTTCATTAAATACACATTACAACAGCATGTATGATATACTATACATTTTACAGCAACTCAATTCAGACCATGAGTGGTGTAAGACAAAATATCTTCAATCCTGTCACTACAATATCAAAGTCCCCATCAGGGACATTTGTCCCCGTGTTACTGGTTATCAAAAGACTTTGTCTAAAATCCACAATGTAATTCTGTTGCTGTAGAACTTCATCAAAGTCATTTGTTAATCTTTAGCTACTTAAACATAATAGTGGCTCTGAAAGATCTTTGCTGGAAAAAAATAAATTTAGGACCCTCGCTTGTATATGATGTGGAGGCGATTCCTTACCCTTAGTAGTTAGTATTTCTTCCATACTTTATCATAAGGGATAACAAATTTTCATGTCAAGAGAACCAAGGCTGTAAATGTACCTTCAAATATACAATACTCAATTCTGCAGGCAATCCATTAATTCAAACGTTTATCTTACATGCTTGATAATGTTGTGTACCTGTTGCCAGCTGTAGGTAATCCTATTAAGAAACAGGACCTTCAAGCCTGGGAATGCTGATTCCAATTCTGTTGGATTAGATGGTAACACCAGATTGTTTTCACTGAAATATGATTTCATTTGTATTAGAATAAGCAATATGTACTGATGAAACATCAAACCAACTTGATTACCTGCAGATAAACTCTAAGAATATACATTGCAATGATTTACAGTCAATATCCATATGCAATTAATCAAATGACATCCACAAATATTGTGATTTTTCTGTCTTAAAGTGACTTTGTAACTGATCTTAGATCTATAGACTGGAAAAGATGATTCTAGCCTAATTACATAATTCTTCAGACATAAGTCTATTTTCATAATTTGATATTTGAAGCACAACTGTAATACTACATTTCATTAAATGTAAGTCTATTTACATAGTTGGGAATCTATTTTCATAGTTTATTGGGAACATTTGTAGTGCAGTGGCACTATACCTGACATTGAGGCTTGTCAGTCCTGGTAGACACTCGGTGATGGCTGCCACTTTAGACCAAGATGGCAAAAGACTGTGGGCCATATCCAGCTCTGCTATACTACAGCCATGTGTCCTTAACTCAGATGAATGTGGGCCGACACCATAAACAGACATGTCACGCACTACAACTTCTACAAGGCTGTTCAGTTGGCTACAAATAAAAGGGTATTGGTGAGTGGTAAAATAACTAAAACATTCTAAAATACAAACTTAAGCAGTCTGTCACGACATCACATATGGATATATAAAACTTAACTAATGGCCTGACGGTCCCTAACAATAAGTTTTTCATATACTGACACACAGCAGTGTTCTCAAGAAATAGGTATGATAATTCAAATCCAATTCATGCATTGGATCTCAACAAACCTCAGTCATTTTACTTAACATATCAGCTCTTTGTAATATCTATATATCATTAATTGTAGAGTCCTATATAAAGAAGTGTTTTAGTTTATAGGAGTACTTCAATACCAAACTTTGACATTTTCCCATGGCCCATTAAGGTGAACAAGTAGCTGACTGGAACAAAGTTACCAATAACGAATTTGACCTCTTGGTGAGGCCTTTGTCTTGACATAAGGGCCTTTCTTGAATGAAATATTACTTCATTCTCTTTCAGCCAAGGATACATATTTCCACATATACATGGAAAAACAGCAGTATGGTTTGATAAAAAAAATTCAATCCAGTTATTTGATTTGATCTCAAAGGCAAATAAAATATGTAAACAAGAACAGATATTGCAGTCAAGAGAAAATTTGTTTCATAATGCTATCATAATATACTCACTAATTAGAAGATTGAACACTTAGCCTGCTAAACCAATATCTAATTGTTTGTCGCCAGTAAGCTTTTCAACTTTGCTAAAAGAATTAGGAAATTTATTCCAGATCTCCTCATTTCAACTTTAGTTTATAATGAGGTAAACTTCACTTTACCGTGGTCTTTGATTCAGTGACCTTGACATTTTGCTAGGCAACTTTTCATCTTATTCTGATCATCTCTGATTTATCACATGATTAAAGATTCACCAGTAAGGAGATGAAAACTTGACCTTGACCTTTGATTCCCGTACTTTTGAGCTTTGATCTTGATCTTTGATATAGTGACCTCAATCAATGATTTTGCATGACTTCATTCCAACCATATCAACTTCACAAAAATATTTTCTAATTTCAAACCACTTTATAGTGTAAATACAACCCTGCACAACCACTGTGTGTAGAAATGGTATCCTTACGCCATAAAAGGACCAAGAAGTACAAAATTTGACTAATAAACTTTCATTGAAACCTGCATCAAAAGTCCTAGTTTTACAGAGATGGATAGCCTTGTTATTGATAAAAGTATTCTTTTATATTTCCGACTGTTTAAGTAAACAATTCTATAAGTTTAAAGTAAACACAATCTTATCTCTGACAAAAGCAAGCAAACTACCACTGATGTAGATATAAAATATACCTACATTAGATACCTTTATACTTTACCTCTGTTTCTTATTTACAGACTTCGCACCAACCATTTCCACTACTGTCTTTTTCTTGTTGTTGTCAAGAACAAAGAGTTCAGAAGTAATTACTCCTGCTTCCTCTCCCTGCTCTTCTCCATAGCGATCCTGGAAGGCGGTGTAAAAACTCACTCCCATCTTTACCTTTTTTGGACGGACAAAAGATCCTCCAGTTGGGTGACTTTAAAAGAGATAATTCATTATAAGCTGACCAACTTTGGACTTTTGTGTTTTCCTTAACAACTAGTTATTGGACTTTCAGTAAGTAATACAAGATTTTAACATCCATTTGTATATTTATTACAAAATATTTGGATGTAATCTTGTAATAGTGAAATTGAAGCTTTCTTCGATTTCCATATATCACCAAATCATTTCTCTATTCTGTACTTAAAGTGATTCTGAAGTCATTGTTGTTTAAATATACATGTTCAAATTTTTAATTTACTGCTAGAGAAGTCAATGTAAAAAGTTAACATTAAGTTGTTCAGGTTTATTACTTATTGCTCCAGACATGTTATTAGAAAATATCTCTTAAACCAAATTATTGTGCCATGAATTTTGTTCTGATATTGCATGTTGTCATTAATGTTTCAAGATTTAACATTAATAGAGATGCATGATGCAGTCTTGGCCATCATATTTTTTTACATGTGTACTTCTTCACTGCCATTCATATTACTATAATATTAAATTTAGAAATCTAAAATGGTACACTCCTTTAATTAAAGATTAAGAGTGTAAAATATTATTGCACCCATGTATCTGAAATTATCAGAAATATATGGGCTTCACTTGTTTTGCAACAATCAGTCAATAGTGGGCTAATATGACAGTCTGTCATAAATTCTCAAGAAAAAAATAGACCTGTGTGAGGAACGCTTCAGTACATAAAATCACAAAAGAGTATAATCATAGTGATACACAGGTACTTATCATTCAAATGAAAAATTCTTGATTCCTGACACTTTATAAATCCCTTATCAAGCACTACATCAAACCAAAAAATAGTTACCTTTTTATTTTATAAGATAGGAACTATTGTATATGAAATCATAAAAAATAAATTCTGCTTTTAATCTTGGAAAGAATTTTACAACTATCATTGTATCATGGTCACTGATACCTTAATGAATTCTGTGATGTAGGGTGTTACATTATAATTTTATCTATCATGAAATTTTCCAGATCCTACTACTGCTATACACTTGGCACAGTCAGGGATCTTCCTAGAAAATCTTCAGTACCAGCTGCAGCTGCTAAGCTCATGTTCCTGAGTATATATACACCTTAAATTCCACTCAGGCAGATTCCGTAGCAGTACATAATTAGCAACACTATCATTTTGTATACTGGTTACCGTGAGAAATGAAACAGATAAATTGTGAAATCCTAATAGTTTTGATTTCATGATACAATGTCATTTGAAAGAAATCATTTTTGGTTTAAATGTGGCCCTTTAATCTGCATGTATCATTGTGACTAATACATCAAATAGTGAAATGGATACAGTGCAAAAAATCTGGTTTGGTTTCATTTTTGTAAAATGACAGCTCTGGGCATTAGATGTTTAGAAATAGGTGCTGCACCTACAAGAATGAGCTTGGGGAGAAGTCTGGGTACTATATTATATCATGGTCACCTTGTGCTAGTTCTTTGTAAGTAGTCTAGTAGAGTGCCTGATAGGAGATGTATATATGTCTCTGGTACTCTACATTGACATGTTAAGTGTACACATAAAATCATGATCTCCTTGCGCTACTTCTATGTAAGCAGCCTAATAGAGCATTCAATTGAACGTAGATTAATTTCTTACTTAGTGCTGAAGTATTGTTTGCCTTCATGCGTTCCATTGTGCTTTCCTCTGGAGGAATCATCCCATTCAACCCCAATCCAGGAATCTTCAATAAAAAAAATGAAATAACTGAAAATCATAATCGTCATTGATGATAATCAAGATATATATCAGGGCTCTCACACCCCATTTTGGGACAGGGGCCGGGGGGGCCCTTTGAACTGGGAAAAATAATGGTGTTTACCTTAGAATTGGGAAAATCATAATATTTTGCATTGGGAATCATTATATGATAACAAAAGATATATATTGTTAGTAATCCCATTCAGTCCATGCTTTAGTTCATTTCTAACCTTTTGTACTTGCGATTTCCCCAATGTAGCGGACAGTTCCATAGTGGTCATCAAAGATAATCCTGTCTCCTAGCTGTAGCAGACTACCATCGTTACGATTCACATCCATCCTTCTTTATCCAAGTCAATCTGTAATACAAAGGATTAATGTAAAAATTACTCTCCATGCTGCAACTACTGTCTTCCATTAGACTGAAATCCAAAATTAAGGAAACATGCTACAGCATCTACAACAGCAATCACTAGGAGCCAGAAGAAGGGATTACAGGCTCAATATGTTTTAGAAGATCAATAGAGAACTTATTGTAATTAAAAAAACCGAGAGATTAGTAACATTTCTGCTAGATCTGACAGTCCCATAATCACCTGTTAACATCGTGCAAAACTGACTGAAGCATTCAAGGCTGGTGTGGCTGCACTTAAGTAACCCCTTGCTTTTCAACCAATTTAAATCTGTTATTGTCCATACACTTTTTGATTCAAAAGTGTTTCTGTGACACTTGCACACATCTAACACTGCATAGTCTTCAAGAAGACAAAGGAGGAAGTTTAATGGCAGACATAGAAGACATAAATAAAAATAATAGGATTTGACAGACTTCACCTGCCATTCATTTACTTTAGGATTATTACATGTGCCTTTTGATAACCCCCACAAGTTCTCTCAGCGCAAAAGTTTATGTCAATTTATATTTTCTTTAAAGATTACAATGGATATATGTATTCATAAAAATATACCATATGTTCCAAAATTCCTGTCAGATTGGATTTTCCTTATGATTAGGGTATATTTAATATATTTCTTTCTCTAAAAGCAAACATTTATTTACCTAAGAGAATGCACCGGTATATTAATGTTAAATTTCCATAACTCCCTAGCGATGTCTGTCACTCGATCCCCAGATGACCTGCCACACCTCCAGTTTCTTATGTCGTCGCGACAAAAAGCTTGCTAAGCTAGGACCTATTCAAAAATATCCTGACAAATGTACCGGTGAGCATGAACACCGCTATTTGGAATTTTTGCTGTGTGTTTTTATAGTCATCATAACGCTTAACGGTCATATATGGTTTGTGTATTAGAAGCGCTTGTCTGACTACGATTTAAAAGCGGAAGTACTCTGGAAAGGAAGTAAACAGAAACTGGAAGCTGAGATCATTTCTCAAAGGAGATGTCCGTGCTTTATCAAATTGTTTTTGAATGTATCTTTGTGTTGTTGAATCAGACAAACTGAAAGAAGTCTGCTATCATGAACATGACACATATTTGTCGACAAACCGGATTTTGAAAGTTGTTCTGCTGCTGTCAAGGACTCTTCGGTTTAACCTGTTAACCACAACAATAACACCTTTATATATAATAACTGCAAAATACATCCAAAATGCCGCCCAGGCGTGGTGTTCCTGTTGGAAGAGGAACACCTTTTATAATCATTATCGAAGTACTAATCACAATTGCCATTCTGTTCAAAGATATGATGATGTGGATACACGCAACACTGAGACGAATATCTGCTGATGCCCCAGTCATTGCACTGGGTGTATTCATTATTGGTACAGTATTACATATAAGCTTACAAACGGTGCCACCAGAATCATCCTCAAAGGTAGACATATGGAACTGGATGGACAAGAATGGCCTCAAACAGTACAACAATGTGTTTACAGAGCAAGGTAATTATCAAGCTGTAATGAAAATGGAAAATTGATTTTTTTGAAAAGGGATGATGACTCATAATTAGCAATTATATCAAGGGATTACTTATATTGCTTCATACACAAAGTTTTTAAGATGTACTATTAGCAATAGCATTAATACCTTGTCTCCTCTGTCATGGACAGAATATTCTGATAGGAATAAAATACATCTCTCATCCTGGTGTAGGAAATGGGTTGGGTACAAGACCTGTGCAAATTAAGCAGTACAAGTTCAAAACAACTTTCAAACATGGATTGCTCTTATCAGCCATCTGGAAATGTCAAAGTTGAGAATATGAATATGCATTCATTGTAGTGTTCTCCAATAAATCTGCATGTAAGACCTTTGTTTGGTAAAATACCTGGTCATTTGTGTGGAGAGACAGTCAATGTAATCTTTATGAATTAAATGTATATTGTATGTATCTCTCACCATTACCAATAGATAAGCCAGCATAAGTAAAATCTGCCAATTTTATATTGCTAGAACTAGTACTGGACTAGTTTATTTATTATTATGATGTATCATATCAGGATGAATCTAACAAAACTTTTTTTATCTGATCTGACTATTGTGATCATTACCAGTTACCAATTGTGCAAAGAATAATTTTTCTCTCTAAAACAAAATAAAAATATGTGCAACAACATATAAACCATCTTGAAATTATTAGAAAACAGCTGTCTTTTTCTGCTGATAATCTAACGAATCAGAACACACATGGCACTTATTTTGACTGACTGATCACATGCTCACTATTGTGGCTGAATATAGCCAATTCTCATAAAATCTTGTGTGCAAAAGTTACCGCTTCCGTATAAAATATGATGAAAAATTAATATGGGAGGTAAGTACAAAGTATGGAAAATACAGCTGCAAGAAAAAATTTTGGTTGAAAATATGGGATATATATATATCCCCCTGCCAAAAGATATTGCATGTAAAATGACCAGTTTACTGATTATTGCCATTATTCATATCTTGCCTCCTTAAGGATGTACTTCTCTGATGTTTTGACTGGAAGTAGTAAATAATTCAATACAAAATTAATTCCAAGATATCTTGGACTGTGGTAGTCTTATACTCTTTGTTATCTAAAGTTATACTTATAGACTTAAATTTTTAGGATTTTTTTAAAGAATGTGGACTTCCTTTTTTGACAGCATTCCTGACAACTACATCAACAATTTCATTGGTTTCTTGTTGCTGATGTACTTTTCTTAAGTATAACTCTAGGAATCTGAAGTAGATATCAACTAAGTTTTACATGAATTATTACCACAAATCACAGATTTCCAAATTTCTGAATTCCGACTTGAATGATCTTTTTCGCAGAATTTTAGGAGCCAAAAACAAATAATTTCTTAATCTGTTTCTTGATCTTGGAAAAACTGTCTTTATGGATGAAAGTTACAAAAAAAGGATCACAGATAATTTCTCTATCCAAATTTAAAGTATTTAAAAAAGTTAGTACTAGAAGATATTCAGATGAAGGATTTGGGTTATGTTGGAAAAGTTTCAGTTTTTGGCTGCCATGCAGAATAAAACTTGTTAAAACTTAGCATTTTTCACATTCTTTTTTCTTAATATCCAAGTATCATACCCTTCTCTTGTAATTAAAGACAAAAATTCATTTTATAAACGGTTGCAGTGAAAATAACGGGGAATGTCTGGGGAAAAAAAGAACAATATGTGAAAACGAATTATTTCCTGTTAAATATATTCTGATGCCTGTACGGGAAAAAGTTGTGCAGTAACATATTGAAATTTGCAGTAAATTTACTTTCTGAAATCAAACCTTTCTAAAAATCATTATCATCCTTAAACAACACAGCGGTCAGATCGTCATGCACTCTGACTCAATTAAAAAATCAAATCAACAACACAGTAGTCATTTACCACATTATAGATTAATAAACTTGGATTTTATCTCTAAGTATATTTTTTAAATATCAGAAATCTGCTTCATTAAACTAATGTTTCAGGAAATTAAAAGAAGTTAACAGCATGTTAATGGTAGTTGATTTTGGATGTTATTTTGCTTAATATTTTCAGGTGTAGAAACAACTAAAGACATTTTGTCTATGGAACTTGAAAAGATACCAGAGTTTTCCTCACTGCCTCCTGATCAACAGCATGAGCTCAGAAATGCTTTCAATGCATTAAAAGAAGAAACATACCTTCAGATATTACTAGAGAAAAACAAAATTCCTGCATCAATATTCGACAGGTGAGCTGTGTATACAAAGTTGGTTAAGAAAAAATAGAAATGTTTGAAAAAAATGTAATAATTACTTCACTAAATAAACATTGGGTGCATTAAGTAAATACGCACTATATATACTTATATATGATGTACATACAAACTTGTCTATCTTATATATAACTACTAATGCATGTAAAATGTATGAAGTTAATCCCTAATTTGCACTGCATCTCTTTAATTTCTCATTTGCTATCGAATTGAAAATGGCTTGAGAAATAGATACTTTGTTAAATTGGTGAAAATAATTAGCATAGTTTTTGAAAAATAAGTCTTCTGAAACATTTCAATAATTTCTGCAGGTTGAAAGCCAGAGGAGTAGTGTCTTTACAGACCCTATCACACTTGTCTGATCGTGTGATACAGACAATCACAGAGACCGACAACACCCTAACTGACTTCCAGAATCTTAAACATTGTGTGACACATGCCAGAGACTACATAGACAACCGGGATGAGCTGTACCTCTACAGTCAAGTTGGGAGAGATTTTGACTCACCGGTCACTCCCTTTGTAATGAAAGCCTTCAAAATAGGTAAGCATATTGTCTTTGTATGTACATTCAGCCATGCAGTATCCGATTCTGACTTTCTTCACCATAAGTTTGCTTGAGGAATATTGAATTGACAAATGTTAATGGAGAAAGTATTACAGCTGTTATAATTATGACATGGTTAAAAAATTGTATATTATATATAAAGTACAGACAACAAACTGAAGAAAGATCAGCAGGCAGGTATCTAGCCAGGCCAAACAGATCACAGTGAAATCTATTATTAATGATAGAATTAAAGACAATGAGATATGTCTTGAAGATTGACAATCAACAGAGAGTTATATACCATCATTAGTGATAATCGAATGGTATGTTAATGAAGGGAGATAACTTCCACGTGCTAAATTGGTATTTCTTTTGTGGCATGTTTGATTTTCTGTATGATAAGGGAGATCTTTCTATAAATGGAACTTTCATTGTTTTGTTCTTAGACACATTTTAAAATAAGAATGTATGTTATTGACTAATACAGGAAAATGTATGTGTGTTTTCCTGTAATTCTTATCGTCTGTAACATCAAGAGGGTTTGGCAGTTCTGGTTCAAACCTCATCATCAGGTAGTTATAAGAGCATGTAGCGCTTTTAAGATTGGAGAATGGCAATTCCTAAATGTGTTGCTTTTATTTTTTTCCAAAAACTGGAAGCAGTAATCCACGTAAGACCCAGGGTGAAATATAGTTTTGGTATATATAAATGTAAATTGATTAACTGCTGTTTAGATAACAAACTTAGATGCAGAACTCTATATATATTGTTGTATCCTCATGAGAGTGAGAAAAGTACGGTACATTGTAAATTGCTCTTTCAGAACCAAGATATTTGCAAAGCCAAAGCATTTAAATCCACATTAGCATACATATTGCAAAGTAAACTTGTTCAAACATGAATGAATTAGTCTATATATTAATAAAAAAGGATACATTTGTGTATCACTGAATGTAGTCATATTGTCATATAATCAGATAAAATTGAATACAGGATAATAGAAAATGATACTTAGTTACATGCCTTGTTTCACCCTGTTTAGTAATCATATACATGCGTTTTACTGTAGCAAATGCTATGCTCTTTTAAGGCCTTGTCTTTTTCATATTAGAATGAAAATTGAAATAAAATAGTTGTGTTGGGAACGGATATTTTTAGGACCACATGTGAGCATTGTGTGTTAAATCACAATCAGTTATGTAATATTATTAGTTTTTACACAAACTTAGAATAGATCCTATTCGAAGTCCATGGTTTTCACTTGAGGATATTATGTGCTTATTAAAAAACAGTTATATAATTACTGTACGCATTAAGGTATTGTTATGTATGTATAGTCACAGAGTAACATTGTAAATTTTTACCGTTCACAACATTATGACTAGCTGCAATGTGCCTGCTTTTATACCTCAACAATATAGTCAGTTCTCCTTGATTTAATTTGGAAATTGTTCAAATACTGAATACCAGGAATTATTCGTCCTCATTATTTTTTTTCATCATTTAACCAATTGACAGGGAGGTAAATTTAAGATGAGGGTAAAAATTTGTTACACACATATATAATCCTTTTATATAACCCTGATAGGGCAAAATGAACACGAGGCAAATTAGTGTGCAAGGGCAAAAATAACCTGGGATGAAAGTATCCCAGTATAGAGTATATTGATTTGAAAATAAGGTCACTGTAAAGCATGACAACAAGTAATGTAATATTGCAGGAAAATACCGAAAACTATGATGCTAAATACTTATCTGTTCCTGAAGAAGGACATCACATGCTATCATATTGTAACTTTATTTAAAGAATAGGTGGGGAGGGGAGTGTATTAGCTGAGTTCTGACCATCTTTATTACTAGCCCTTCTCCGCTGAGTTGTGGGTTCAAGGCTTATGTGCGACATTGCCAGGTAACGGTTGTTTTTCTCTAGGAGCTCAGCCTTTCCTCCACCATCCAAACCTAATAAATTCTTAAGTGACTCTAGCTGTTTACAGGACAAACAGCAACAGTAAACAAAACCAAACATCTTAACAAACACATTGTATAGACTTTGTCATTATCAAGAAATTAACAGCTTTATTGGTTAATTACTAAGATATTCATTGTATCAGAAAGGTAACTTAACTCATAATTTTGTTTGCACTTCACATTATTTTGACTTTTACCACCATTTACAAGCAGGGTAATTGTTACAGGAAGACATGCTTGAAAACTAACAGGAATCTATCTAAATATGGTCATAGAAAATTGTCATGGTAATGTGTTCATGCGTTATAGGGAGTATATGATTCACCTAGTTACATAAATTACAACAGAAATGTCCTTTTAGTGAAATCATGCAACACAATGTGTTTATTGATTTCTGTGTGAGTGATACAACCAAATGTGAGAAGTTGTCGATGCCCATAACAGAAAGTTAAGGGAAACATTTAGCTGGATCAAATTAAATTACCAGAAACACAAAATTAATGAAATGGGGGTACTGTATTTGATTACACAGTCTTGTACAAACTACATGCATTGTCAACTTATTTTCAAGGTCACAGGGCTTAAATCAATTAAAATATGATAATTTTCAAACATTTTCTTCTTGCAAAATATAATGTCTTGAGTCATGCAATTTAGTTTGCAGTTTGCTGGTATGAAGAGATAACATGTTTGTGAAAAATGGGAACTTGGCCAGCTGACATGGCTGAAATATAATTTACTTACTTATAATTGATACAGGGACATGTAGAATAATTATTGCAAACACAAGCATTAAGCATAAGTGTAATTATATTTTCTATATTTAAATCCAGAGAGTGAGAAATATACATGTTTTTTTCTCATATATACTTAAATTTATACACACAGGTGGAGGTATGTAGTCAGGTGTGGTGTAGCAGGAATGGATTTTGTCAAGTGTTATCATCAGTACATTCCATGTAGGGTTTATATCCTAGTATCTTATCTTACTGGTTAGCATACCTGTTTTTACAGTTAGCATAATCATAATCTTCAAAAGCCAATGTTTTGTCACAGCTGGTTGTATTTCTCATGTTACTAAGTGATCACAATTTCTAATGTTTTTGTTGGATGTAGACACGTTTTTGCTTCTACTCCAACTCTCTATTCATTGGCCAGAATTTTAAGGGCAAGGGTTTTGATTGGTTTAATTTTTCATAGTAATTCGGCCAGGATCAAGCATATTTTAAACTTAGGATAGCATGAGATATTTATGTTCTCTTGTACATGTGTATAAATTCAGGTGCCATAAACTGGTAGGGTCACTTTTCTCTCTCTCTCTCTCTCTCTTTCTCCCTCTCTCCCTCTCTGACTGAATAAGTACTGGTAGGTAGGAGTTGGGCTGTGACTATGGCTAGGTAACAAACAATGCTGGGTGTAGTATTAGGCTAACTGTCAAGATATTTGAATTGTTAACTACTTATTACGTAGTCATCATTAGGAGATGTGAGAAGTCTGTGTATGAAATTAGTTATTGATTGTTATGCCTTTGCCTATTGTTTTGTACAATAAATGTTAAATGTTTCCTCAAATCAATCATAGAACTAATAACTGCTATCTGATAAGGAAGCTCATTTGTAATCCTCAAACTCTGTTCTTGTTGTGATGTGTATACAATGTGTTATTTAAACATTGTCTTTAAATGACCAATAAGAATACTCCAGGTATAGGCTGTGACCACTATGTTACTCTGAATGATGTAACCAATGTGACCTTCAATAAGCTGACTAACGGTCAGTTGTAAAGTTAAATATTGATTATACCTGATAGCTATCTAATCTACCTGGTAATGTTAGATCATCATGTTAAGGTGGATTACCTAATATTTGATCAGAAAACTTCCACAGGAGAATTCATTAGTATACAAACCTTAACAAAGTGCTGGTCATTCTTTAAGACATGTAATTTTGTACTGGGTGATCACAACCTGTGTTGATACTAGAGGTAAACACTATACTTATGTACACACAGAGAAGTACATTAGTTTCCACAGCAGGTGTCCAGATTTACACCTGTGATACAACATGCCATTACCTGAAAAGTGAACTTTATATGAATATATTGGCTGACACCATCAAATGTTACATTTTCAATAATGGGCTATTTTGTGTGCGTGATATTGTAATGTGGAACATTATGTTGTATTTCACACCATAAACAGGATGTACTTATCTGGAAATGGTACACTCTATCACTTATATCCCTTTATAGGTTAATCAATATGTTTAGTGAGGGACTGTCCAGAGAATAGACATGTAATAGGTTCTCTTCAGCCAATGTGTTCTGAATTGCATGTTGATACTGCAATGAATGTGCTCTATAGTGTGCCAGCATCGTTTATATCCGGTGACAGTGGTCTACAGGGATTTCGGGATGAAGGGCTAACCCCCAGTGCATGCCAGGGCGCAATATAGCATGCTAGGTATTTTGTATCTAATTGCGGTGATTAGGGAGATCAAATTGTTGATCAGCAGTCTGTGAAATACACCAGTGATAACTGGATGTCAGGAAATCAATAACAAATGTCTTCATCTCCCCTACATCAGGGAACTCTTCTATCCATTGTGTTGTACACAGTATAGCATTGTCATTACTCTGCTACATATTTGTTAATAGAGAAGCTGAGGACATGTTAGATACAGAGGTTGAAGAATGGCCCGGCCATCTGTACTTACTGTGTTGGATTAGGTCATGTAATAATGCAATGTTATTATGGATTCATCAATTATATATGTAACTTAGGGTGTTGTGTCTATGTGTGAGACATGGCCACCTGTTTACTGTATATAAGGAAAACTTGTGTGTGACCCTGGCATTCTGGTAAGTAACATTGTGAGTAATATCTCCTTTGTTTCTTTGTGTTTAATGTGTTTATCTTTACAAACTAATCAATCATCTACTATAATGAGAACAGATACATCAACATAACATGTAATGGTGCCTAAAAGAAAGAGATACATCAACATGGTGTGAAATTGATGTTAAGT